ATATTGACTACCTAGTATAATTGATACACGTACGTCTACCATGTTTGATTAATTGACGGGTTTTATATCGGTATCGTTTTTTACATGCATCTAATGTGTCGTATTTGGGTACGATCCACTTAAAGAATAATTAAGCAAATCGTTTAAATAAATAAACTATAAAATTAAAACAACCTTTGATGTTGCATATCAGCATACGCTTGTATACTGCTATACAACTTCTCCTACTTCGAGTACATACTTCTATATTAAAGATTGCATGATTGGCCTAAATACGATATACGAATGACAGTTGGATACAGAATGCCATACCACTGAGTTACGATATCACCGATCGAGAAGAGAAACTTCTCAGATCAATCAAGAATTATAAGAAAGAGAAACTTAATATTAATAGTTCTCTCAATGGATTAGCTACCCAGAGAGAGAATAGAACAGCTATTAATATAAATGGTTTATTTACTTATATATTGATATAATTATACTGCTGATAAAGAGTATAAAGAAATAGTGTATGAATTAATGGATACCTAGCTTCTACAACCAAATATACAAATATCGATAAGACATTTTATATTTGGGATCGCAATTTATTCATTACAAAGATAATGAATAAATGATCAACTATTATGTTCTATTGCCAATTACACTTGACAAACAAGTATGCATCTTTTACAGTAACCGTTGCATGATCTGATAAATAGGTGTCTCATAAGATTAAAAATTTATTAGAATACTCGTGCTCCCGATCCAATGATATGGGACAACGTTAACTGGAAACAGTTCTAAAAGGTAGTATTCATTTAACCCAAGGCGGGAAACAAAGTATAGATCTATTCCAAAACCAGAAAGGTTGACTCATCATTAAAACTCAGGAGAGTTGTGCAATATAAAAAGGATCAATTATTTCATAGCAGCAGAGTTCTTTTAGTCTATTTTTACCCTTAATAAAAATATACTTTTATCTCATTACTTTTCTATGTAATATTTTGTCAAATACCACATAATGAATGAAAGAAAAAAGTTTAAATTAGAAATAAAAAATATTTCCTGGTTGGTGTATCACAAGACTATCTCACCATAGTAACAACTACTTTAATGTAAATACGGAACATATAAGCATCACCAAAACAACAAATACGAATCATCGACTTAATAAACATGAAAATATAATAAATATTAGTGTTCGGAATGAAGATCGAAATTCTCGAGCGAGCTTCGATTGTGTTCCAGTCGAAGCTCGCTCAAAGTTTCTTAAGCTCGGCTCGGTTGCAAATACGATAGCTCGAACTCGCCCGCCCTTTTTATTACACAAAGCGCACGTCAAAGTGATGTTAATTACAGAAAATTATGATAATAAAATTGTTATTTATTGAAATAGAAGTTGGAAAAAGAAAAAAAAACATTTTTTTTCACCAGCCTTAACACCAAATTCGGATACTTAAATGAAACTATTACTGTATCTATAAATATAATACAGTTGGATTTGTGAACATGGAAGTTTAAATTAATTCTGCTAAGTCATGTTATTATGGTTGCTGTAAAAATTTGGCTTAGTTGGGTTTAGTGTGCAACACTGTATCATTTCCTATGCTAAATGTGTTCGTTGGTTGTACAATTAAATAAAAGTCTAAAGCATTTTAGTTGCAATTATTAAAGCATAAATAAAATAAAAAATGGTAAAGGGAAGAAAAGATTAAAATCAAGGGGAAATGCCATCACTAGTCTTTCAAGGACCTTAAGTTTAGAGTGACTACTATCGACATTTAGCCGAGCGAGCTTCGATCTGTGATAATTTGAGTATAAAAGGGTAATAAAATAAAAGATAAAAATAAACAAGTAAAGAAATGAGACTCTTTAATCCTTTATTATAAGTTGGAGAGTTTGTCATGATAAAAATAGAGGTCCTTTTTATATTCAATTATTACTTCAAGATTTTTCCTGCGCAGATCGAATTGACTATTTACCCGCAAACTGGGAAATGGTAGAATTAGATTTAGAAATCAGTTACATATGAAACATAGCTTATTGTTATATACAAGGAGCTAGTTGACCCATATCCGGCACTTCTAGAGCATTATAGTTTATCCATTCAATGACAGGGTCCTTGATTGGATTACTAAAATAAATTTATGAGAAACTTGAAGATTCGGCAGCTACTCGACCAATCCAGGAACGATTATGAAATCTGATCTCAGTTTGACATATGAGGTAGCTGGTACTGTGTCGTACCAATAGGAATGTATTCGCAATATGGTACTTATAATACATAGGTTATATGTATTATAATTGAGTGACAAGATAAGAGTAATTATATTCGTGGAATTAGGCGTCAAATACGACACGATCGATGCTCGCTCGAACCCAAAAAAAAGTGGCGCAAGCTCGAGTACAAAAACTCGGTTCGAGCTTCGTTCGAACTGGCACAAGATCGGTGCAAGCTCAAAAAGTTCAAACACTAATCTTGTACAAATGAATGACTCAAATCCTACAATTGACGAAATAGCTGAGAGAGAGAACATTCGCGCTAAAATGAATGGAAGCTCAATCCAGACAATTTTAGCACTGAACAACGATGAAGAGGCTTTGTAATTAATTCAATGCAAGTGCTGTAGGTTGAATAATAAGTTGGGAGTGGTGATGAGGGAAGTCAAAATCCTCGGTAACAATACCACAGGAAAGAACAAATATCGAATATTACAGCTGGGTTTGAATTATAAATCAGTAACGACATAAAACATAGCTTATAATCTATGGCTTAATTTATCGATGTGTAAGCCTATGATCGTGTGTCTGGACTTTTTTAGGAAAGAAATTGCTTAAATCCATTCAAGAATTTGAACGATAATTGGAGTATTTGGGTGGTATCTTGTGATAGTTGAGAATAGATTTTAAAAGAGAAAAACAATAAAGTACTTTGAGACTGCTTATAAGTTTTTATTAAGAGTAAAAGTAGATTAAAAGATTGAGAGGGTTCTATTCTAACTATCAGTTTGCATATTTATATATGTTAAGAGAAATCGGATTATGAATTTAGTTTGATGGATAAGTTACACAGCACTAAAATAGTGCTTGTAGTTGGATATGATATAATGTATAAGAAAATAGTTCGTGTTGTGATGTAATAATGTATGGGGTGATGAAGTGAGATTTAATTTTAATATTGTTTTATGGTGTGATTAGTAACAACAGTAGGTGGATCACCACATATCTGACAAAATAGTACGCGTGAAGCATAATTTGTAAGATCATACCCAGTAATATGCGAGTAACAATAGCATTTTATTACCTGATCTTAATAAAAGTTTATTTATGTGCGAACATACAATAAAAAAGGTAAATAGTTGTCTGTAGACACGGCTAGCGCTAACGGTTGCAGCCAAAAAATTTTACATTAGGTATATAGACGTAATTTTTAGGCTAAAAATCACGTGATTTGCCTTCTTGGCTCAGTTGGCAGAGCGTCTGCCTAGTAAGCAGAAGGTCATCAGTTCAATTCTGATAGAAGGCATTAATTTTTTGTGATTTCTCGAATTACGTGAGATGTTCTTGGTAGTTTTTTTTTTTTGTTTTTTCTCGTTAATTTCATTTACTGGCTTCAGGTACGTTTTGGGTATACAATGTATGCACCAACTAAGAGAAAGATAACTTACAACATCTTGGTGCCTCCCTTTTAATGGCAATGTTTGATTATAAGCGTTCTTAAGTTCAGACGCTTTTTCTTTATTGGGATCCTTTTTTGAAATACTTGATCTTTTATCTGTTCGTTGCACCAATGACATTCACCTTACATTGCATAAGTAAACACAAAAAGAAGATCCACCGGAACTGCCGATCAAATCACTACGTGGGTCGATGAATTGGATAAATTGGAACAGCAAGAGTATGAATATTTGGCTGCCGATGTTGATGCTAACAAGATGGTACTTAACAAAGAGCAACTTCAGAATGTTATAGTATCCACTCAATTTTTAGTGAGGGGAACCTGCAATCATATTAGGCGCATCTTTTTTAAGATGATACAGCATAGGCAGAGGCTTTAATTTGAGGAATTCACCTTGGATGGCATATTTTGAATTCTCTTTTACGCAGAAAACAAGATAACTCGGGCTAGGAAAGAGATTAAGACATCATACAAGCATAGAAATGACCATCAGAATCAGGGGCGGAGTTTAAAATGGACCGCAAATAGTTAGACGAGAGAATGAAGGGAGAGGTTGGCCTTTTATCACTGGATCAAAAAACAGATTGAATTCTTCGAAAAGGAACGTGAACTCGGTAATCTGAATGCTCAAGTGAGTGTTCTGAATGAAGAGCAGTCTACTTTCAGCAAACAAGGCGATATCAGAGCCGAACTATTTACAAAGCGTGCTAATAAAAAATCAAAAGAAGCTGACATGATGAAGCTCTATCAAGGCAGTATTAGTGATGTTAAACATTTACTCAACTCAAGTTCCATAATGATGGCACTCTTTTTTTACTAGTGAGATACATGAATTAATAAAAAGGAGATGAATGTGTGTGTGTGTGTATACGAGAACAAAGAGATATATACGATGTAAAGGAGGATCATTGCATAGACCATGTAAAGTTGGCGTCGATACTACATGAATATACACTGAAGTGTATTGTGTACAATAGGATGAATGAAGATATATCAGTGCTATTAATGTGGATGATGTAGATACGACTCGCTATGTTAAAATATGTATACGAAATAACGATGAAAAGGGAATCCAATTGTAAATGAAATGATCATATCTTGCAAATTATGATGTAATTTGATAAATTTTATCATGGATATAATCGATCTTTTTTTTTATCAGCTAAAAAATGAATATAAAAGAATAAAATAAAACGGTTTCATCTTTTTCTCTTCTTTTTCTTTTCTTTATCTTATAAACTATAAACAAGACACTTCTAATCATTACAGGTAAGCATATTTATATATAAAAGAAAGAATAACACATGTATTTACTTTTAAAAAAGACTAATGTAAGATGCACCATACTTCAAGAGTGTGGATGTTCCATGGCTTACTCAAGGTGGCAATTAGGTTGAAGCCCAAGGTCTTCACCGAGGTGGGGTCTGGTAAAGGAGGGTGTGTTAACCCGGAGACGGCTTTACCTTATCCGCCTGTATGTATAACGGGCTCTGAGATCATCGGCCCGCCTGTAATACAGGCTCTGAAATCATCGGCCAGGTGTAAATACAGGCTCTGAAATCAACTGCCCGCCTGTAATACAGGCTCTGAAATCATCGGCCAGGTGTAAATACAGGCTCTGAAATCAACTGCCCGCCTGTAATACAGACTCTGAAATTGTCATTTCTATGCTTGTACAAGGTAGCCGTTCCAGCAAAGCGGACGAAATGCTGTTCTGTAAAGGGTACAAAAAGATAGTGCAAGAGTATGTTTGCAACTTTAAAATGGACATAGTGATGTTGGACATACTTGAGAACCGTGTACGAGAAATCACCATGCTTGACCAAGAAATGAATATAGTTCCATCTTCATGGTTGGCGTACCTTGAACAATTCATATTGAAGCCAATGTGGTATCTAAATGCTTCAAGAACCACGCTTTTTATTTTCCTTTTATAAAATAAACTATGGCCCCTCACAAGCACACAAAAAGATGTTTAATGGACTCTTTTTTATTGTTGTCCGTTTTTTTTTTTGTTGATAATAAAGGTTCAAAAAGAAGCAATTTATCAGAAATTGGTGACAATGCTTTTTTCAATGGATTGTTTTGGATGATTAAAATTGATGTTTCCCTCGAATGCTAAAGGCCCCTCTCAAGCACAAACAAAATCAATGGTCTAAACTAAGGTTGGGTTGCACAGACGTAAAGAATTTAAAAATATGTATGTATTAAACCGAATTTAGCTTGTCATGTAATTATATTAACATACACGTTACAATAACACCAAGTTATTCCTACTATCTAAAAACCACAGTACCAATAGAAGACAGCATTTAATATTAGAGGTTTTATTACACTTTCTCGGTATTTTAGAACGCATTTATACGTTGATTAATAACTCTGATCCTTAACTAGTGTTGTATGAGGAATTCCAACGTAAATACGAAATACATAGCTTTGAAACTCGTAAAAAATGACAGCTATATCTATCCAATTGTCTATTTATATTCAAAGTCCAAGTTATGTCATGATCTCTAGTTTCAGGAAGTGATTTGGATATTTGACAAGTGAAAGATGTACATATTTTATTTTTTGACTGGTCTAACCCGTGACTATCATTCAACATTTTTTTTTTTTTTTTGGTCTACCCTGTAACCCCGGCCTTTCAAAGCTCACTTTCTTAAACTTATCTTTTTAAAAAAAAAATCATGTTTGGTGTAATTAAGTCCATCCCCAGAGGCGCAAGCCGTATGCCTTTGACTGCCAAGAAGGGACACAACTTTTATAAAGGTCAGCATGAACAACCTGGAGTGCTTTTCTGGAATTCCTTGACTGACCAAAGTTTTCTTTTTTTTTTTATTATTATTAGGTACTGGATCTGGTGCCATGGGTAGACATACCAAGAATGGTGGATATTTAGTTGACTGGAACAAGGTCAGAACTTTTGTTGTTCCTGATCTTGAGAACTTTGCTGTATGTATAACAATAACCAAGGCACAAAAAAAAAAAAAAAAAAAAAAACTAATCGTGATTTTTCTTTGTAGCTTGGACCTTATGTTTCTCGCAAAACTCCTGTCGCTTTCAAAAAAACCACCAACACCAACACCACCACCACCGCTTAAAAAATCAACCCTACCACCAATAGATTTATTACCCTCCTTCTTCCCAACAAAAATTGTGTATAGTACCCAAAACAATAAAAAATAAAAAACGTATTGCAGAACAATATAAAAACGTATTGCAGAACAATATAAAAACGTATTGCAGAACAATATAAAAACGTATTGCAGAACAATATAAAAACGTATCGCAGAACAATATACGTAGAGAGAGAGAGAGAGAGGGGTTTTTTTGAAAAAAAAAATGAATTTATACAAAAAGGGCTCATGGGCTAATGTCCATGGCAGTAGTTTTCTTGCTCTTTTGTTCTGCTTTCCATGCAGCAATTTTTTCTTTCAATTCAGTAGCTGTTTTTTTTTAAAAAAAAAGGAATATAGGTTGTGAGTAAACGAGAAAGATAACAGTGAATAAAATGACTTACCAGGCTTAACCATGTCCATGGATAAAGGAGTACGATTAAAGGGATCACGGGTATCACCCAGTAAATGAGTACGAATAGTGCCTCTATCGACAATGACACCAGAAGTAGGCAACAAGACGGGATCTTCCATCAAGTTGAAAAAGATAGGATCCAAGAATTCATCAGGCACCTCACCCAACTCTTCCTCTTCATCGGCCCCACTTTGAATAGCGATTTCTACACGATTCACAAACTTCTCCAAGGCATGAATGTCATCCATTTGTTTTAAACCATGTTTTTGTAAAATGGAGGCTGCTTTCGAAAAATACTCCTTACGGTAGGATCGACCATCGCGTGCTACGGCCTCAACAAATTTATCCGAATTTAAATTCAAATAGACATCAATGATTTCAGATAACAGTTTACGTGGTTCAAAGTGGTATTTCTCAGGATTAGCCACTTTCAAGTCAGTACATTTAGGACCGACAAGTTGTACGAGGTTGTAATCCAACATGGCGGCTAAACGATCCACAATCTCATTGACCAAGAAAGGTTGAATAACTTCTGCAGTCATGTATTTTAGCATGTGTACGGTTTCTTTACCAAGAGCAACATAGGATTGAGCTTGTCTTTCCAACGAGGGGAGACTACCTTCACGTTCTTGTCGGTGTTGAGGTGTCTGAGATTCCCAACTGGCTTTATCGTTCATCTCTAACTGAATTTGATGAATTTCTGTCAGTTTACTTAAACTCTCGTCCATCAAATAGGTAACATCACTCATCAACATATTGACAAAACGAGTAAAGATCTCCGAGTTCCTATAGTTTGGTTTGGTTTGTTTTAGAAATCGTAAAGAAACATTCCCCTACCAATTTCTAATGAGTCACTTACGTGCTTTCTTCTCGCAATTTTTTACGATGGGCAGGGTGATTCCAAATGGTCTTCATGATATGACTAATGTTGTAACGAATATTAAACTTGTCATAGAATTGTGAGCTAGCTCCTGTTTGTTCCACCTCTAACAACCATAGAATGTCAACGTCAATTATGTCTTAGATAAGCTAGGAAATAGTGGAGGAACTTACCAACATAAAAGTTCATCAAAGAAGGTACAAGATGTTGCAATGATAAAGGATGTGAATTCAGCACAGACTCCAATTCACCAGGAACTCCCTTTGCAATAGGATATGTAAAGAAAAAGAGAATCTACCACACTAGTGTGTAAGTCACATATTTCACTTCCTACACTTTTTTTTTTCTCTTTGTTTGCTTTACCTCCACCAGTTTTGCCTTCAAGTAGGGATTCTTGACATATTTTGTGTTTCGCAAGAAAGTGATGATAAATGTCACCAATTCTTCATGAGGACATTGGCTCATAACATGTGTATCATAGCCATACTTGCCAATAAAGATAAAGAGTTCGACAATATCCTCAATGATCCATTCAGGCAACATGGAAAATACTTCAGGAATGGCATCAGGTAAAGGTAACTGTACCTTTTCCCAAGGATGTTGATGTTTGGGATCCACAATACGTACCATCCAAGCCATCACAAGATCATAGAATCGAAGTGCCTCTGTTAAAAAGATGGGATCCAAAAGCATCGTTTCGTAGGCTAGGCGGTAGGTTGTCATTTGATCAAACTTTTCCTTCATTCTCTTGGCAACAAAATCGCTCATGATACCTTGAGGAGTCTAAAGTAGTAAGTGGGGGGGGGGTTAGTCTCCACTTTTTATTACAACTATGTGTGGTATGTTTCTTACATTGGCATTATTGGCAGCGTCTTGTTGTGCTTTCTCGTTTTGTTTCTTGACTTCGTTATATTCTCTCATGAATTCGTTAAAGTTGACAAGGGCGCGGATAGGACCATAATGCATGAAGGATAAAGTGATAAAGAAAGATTCGGTAATAAAGTTATGCGATTTCAAGTCTTGTACTTGTCCATAATAAGCATCGGATTGCTCCTTGGTAGCATTAATCTTTGTATCTTCTGAGACATCCAGACGTTTACTTGTGCGGAAATAAGTTGGATCGATTTTATCAATTTTGGAAGCACGAATATCCAAAAAAGGATCACAGAACATGAGCAAGACAGCAGCAATATTATGCATAAATCCATCCGAAGAGACAGCTTGTGTATCCACTTGCATCTGAGCTCTCTTTTCGTTTAATCGAATCGTATGCGCAAAATAATCCAAGAGCTGGTTTCGTGAGATGGGGCTGGCACGCACAATCGAATTACAGATGGCGAACATGGATCGTTGAATATTTTGTACACTGCCTCGAAGCCCGTTTTTACAGGATGCTAAGTCACCTGCGTTACGGTTTTCCGAGTTTTGAAAGTAGGATTCGGCTACCTTGGGTGCAATGTCAGGGTAAGCACTGAGACGTAACATAGGTCCCAAGATTGAAAGTTCCTCCATATTTTTAGCAGTGGCGTGTTGAGGGTTGAATTCATCCAAATTGGTTACCATCATCGCAATAGGTTTGTGTTCAAACAAGTATGTCATTGATTGGAAACACTGTTTATACTCACCCAGAATGTTTTGTGCACGAAGTTCCGAAGAGAGATAAACGATGGCAGGACCCAATATATCATCTAAGCCATCATTATTAAAGCGCGCGATAAATTCATCCAAATAATCGGTCGGTAAACCTCCACTAGAATCAGGTTGATGTAAAAGGCGGGGTACCAGTTGTTGAGGTCCCAAAACTCCATTGACTGCTTGGGGAAACATGTCAGGCATTTGAAGTACAAGGCCAGAGTAAGATACTAGCAAGTTCTTTACTGTATCTAATACGGCTATTCTCTGATCCAAAACGGACTTTTCCAAATTCTGTACAATGCTATTTAGATAAAGAAAAAAATAATGGTGCTATCTTTCCCTTTTTTTTTTTTTTTTTTTTTTTTTTTTACCTTGCTTCGAAGTAACGTGTTTTTGCGAATATCGTAAGCTTGCTTCCAACAATTTAAAAGATAGTCGAAATGCAATGTATGAAGCCCATGGGCAATATCTTTAGGAAGTTCATCATGAGGTTCGTTAGGATCCAAGGATAATCTTGCTACAATAATACGATCCAAAAATTGCTGTGAGAGCTTATCAGCGTGAGGCTCTGTGAGTGAATTTCCTCTATTGATTAGTGTCTGCATCTCCACAAGTGAACAATTTCTTTCCTTTATTTTTTTGTACCTTTCTCTTCAATCAATTCATTTGCTAAACCTGATAAATAAACACATTTTCCTTGTTTGTACATATTGGCTGGCTACGTAAGTTACAGAAAGAAAAAAAAAATAAGCCAGTTAATTTAAAGTTGTTTGGTACGGACAACCTTTGATACATACGTTTAAAGTGACTTGAAGGATACGCGAGAGCACATCATCTTGCCAGTCTTCAAAACTCTTTGCAGGCTTAACCTGAATTATTGGCGATGATACTGGTGTTGTCTTTTTCACTTGTTCAGGCTTAGAAGAATGGTAATTTTAGGGTCATGTGCGCGTCCTTTTTGTGCCTTTTTTTCTAATGTTTACCTCTGTAGGAGTACTTGTCTTTTTAGGTGAAGGTCTTTTAACAGGAACAAATTCTTCCATGGTTTGAAGAACAGGCTTCGGTGTAGTGGTGGTGGTAGTAGTAGGTGATTTGGTAGGTTCTTCTGCTTTTGAAGTGGAGGCTTGTTGTTGAAGTTTAGCTAAACGCTTGAGTCGGATCTAAAATGGGTCCACCCCGCTTTATATTTAGTCTTTTATGTAAAAGTAACAAACATGGTTCAATGAAATTTATACTTTTTCCGAGTCAGAGATGGGTTGGTCAGTGTTTTCCATGGTTTGTGTGTGTCCAGAAAAAAAAAAAAAATAAGGGGGAGGGGAAAAAACAGTTTAAATTTACCGACGCGCATTGAGGCGTGTTAAAATCCCTTTAGGGTAGAACAAAAAAACTGGCCAATCAAAATGTCTCTTTTTCTTTCAACGATCCATGATGTATAATAAATATATCTGCGAAGTGGAAGTATCTCTTACTTTACGGTTATATATTCCAAAGCAGTTACACTAAATATTTGTAATAAAGGGATTCCAAGCTAGACCTTACATGACAAATTCTACTTTTCCTTGACATACAAGAAATTCCATGCTTTTTTTTTTACGACTGTCTGTTGCTAAGTCAACCATGGTCATCCACACAAGAAGGGCACATTCTTGTTTAATATTGAGTTTTTTTACCTATAGTGCTTATTTTACTCAGTTCAAGAATCTAAAGGAGCTTTATTTAAATCAAATACAGTGTCACTGAGAGCCTTGGGAAGTGTACCGGATAATGGTAGATCTTTTGTTTGCCTACTTCAATAAACATACTAAAAGTGAGATTTTTTATCTCAAACGTATTTTTCTTAGAATTACGTGATGGTCTACACGTCGATTATTGACATGCCATATCGTCTAACCTTCATAGGATGATCGATTTCTGATTTCCATAAAATCTGCTTCACTGTCATTACAAGCTACTACTAAAACGCAGATATACAACTACCAAGTTTCGATTTGCTTGGGGGGGGGGGGTTTGCATATGTTTCTTTTTTAAGTAAAGGCCCAAACATTATGGATGATGAAACAAACAATTAAAAAATTCTCTTGTTTATCAGACTATAAATAAAGCTGGTTCACACACTTTATATTCTTCCTCTTTTTTTTTCCCTTAATATATTTTTTCTATCGTCTGAAAGTACCCGATAACGTAAAAAAGGTTAGTTAGTAATGAATCTTGTTTGTTTCAAAAGATGCTAAATCGAAAAAGATATATTGCGGCTGCGGCTAGTCTTTGCTATAGGAGGGCGACCTCCTAAGCAGGGTTCTGGAGTTTTTAGAACCCACATACTGTGAATAGCAGGTGTTGCACTATAAATGGTTGGGCTTATACTGGCCTGCTGGCCTTAAAAAGAATTGATGTAAGTGGTATATATATATATATATATATATATATAAAATACGTTTGAAAAAAATACGGGAGGTCTAAACATTCATTTTGTGGAAGTCAATGATGTTTTGGAAAGCTGCCAAACATCCGTGGTCACAGGATTTGATTGTGAGTGAGCCATACAGCCTTACCACTAATGTTAAAGGAAAGCTTTCAGTAGTTCAGATTGCCTATGCCTCATCTGTGCTGGCTTTACATCCGGATCCTATTTGGAATGTTTTGCCATACTCCTTGGTTTACTTTCTAAAAATTGCCTGTCATTTTGAAGCATGGACGTCAAGTTGGTGGGGACTTTAAGCAAGTAAAGGATTAGTTCGGCATTGAATGTGAGGGAGCTTTTGAACTTGGAAGATTCTGCAAGCTGAAGAAGGTTGTGAAGTCTGGTAGGCTGTCTCTTTCGGCCATTTGTAAAGAAGTGCTTGGGAGGGGACTGTCTAAAGATTTAAGAATCAGTGGCTGGGTCGTACTCCCATGAGCTCACCGCAAGCCAAATTCATTACGCTGCGCTTGACGCATGGGCTTCTTTGGAGATTTATGATGTTATAAACAATATTAGCGAAGAATTAATCAGCACACCAACAGTAGGTCAATACCTATCCTTGTGGTCTCCAATGGGTGTAGCAGGTTATGGAATTGTTGAAGCATCTTCTGGATTTTTAAGCAATGGTATTGTTCAAGTGTCAATTTTTCACATTGTTCGTGCTAGTTTTGTATTACCTGCAATATATGGTTATCAAACAGAAATCACACTGGAATTAATAAAAAATGACCTCCTAAAAACGGTTTCTGTTCACAAGTCACTTTTGCGCAATGATAACAAAAGGCACGATGATTTAGAGATTGGTAAAAAAAAAAAAATCTGCATTACCACCTCTTTCAAACAATGTTAATTTGGAAAGTACTGGCGATCAATACTGTAGTCAAAGATCAAGAGAATGATATGAACGTCTCTGCTTTAATTTTTGCTCAGATTTTGTTTAAAGATGATATTTAAAAAAATGTGGATGAAGCAAACATTGAATATGGTTTTAATCTTAATATGACAATAACAATGATAATGGTAATGACCAAACACGAAGAAATTGTCGCTTTATTAAATAATTTAATAAGTCTGAATAATGTATTAGAGAGTTGCAAGATGTTAACAGGCGCAGCGTTATCAAGACCTTGATACATAAACATTGTCCTGGTGGGATTGACCTTATTACGAATAAAGGAGTGCCGCCATAGTGTCCAGAGTATTCCAGGAAAGCACGGAAACACTACCTGGGACAAACTCAACGTGAACATCATCAGGGACTCGTTGATTACCGGTACTGCAAATACTCTTGAGCAATCAAATTCGGAACTTATGGAAGCTAAATTGGTCACTTCATGTTTGCTTGGTTCGTTTGCAGGAATGCAACCCAAGGGATTTGCAAATGTTGGCATTGTTGACGTTTGTTGGCATTGTTGACGTTTGTTGGCATTGTTGACGTTTGTTGGCATTGTTGACTTTTGTTGGAAGAATTTGAACTTACAAGTAATGAGCTTGTAAGTGAAGAATTACGATCGAAAGGTTAAAAGCGAAAGGTATGATGATAACCAAAGTAATTGTTAATAGGCACACTTTTTTATTTACTTGTTTTCTCTAAGTCTGAAGGTTTGAATGACAAAGAAAAACGAATACCATTGGAAGTGAACGTCAAATCAAAAATTATAATATCCAATCGCCTAGTACAATCGTGCCATTGAGTTCACCTTTCATTGAAGAATATAATTTTTCGAAAATCGCGACAAGAATTGATATTTGCTTGGGAAAAAACACAAGACATGCAACTCAAGCAACGCTCCAAGAGTTCAGAAAGCTTCAAACAGATCATAGGAAAAACAAAAATCTATTAGCAATAGAGTCCTCATTTGGGTTGTTTGAAAAGTTTATGGGTATTGGAAATGAAAATGCCTTACAGCGTGTTGCAGCTTTGGATTGTGGCGATCACAAATTTAATCAGTTAATGAAATACTCGTTAATTAATTTTACTATCAACTCGATGAGAATAACACCAATACCTACAAATGATAAAAGAACGATCTTTGTTGAATATATTGTCCCCATAGTCAAATACTTTAGTAATATCACGGCCTTAATGTCTTTCCTCTGGTAAGTACGTATTATACGTAAGCTGTTACTGAAATTAACTTCAATGATCGGGGTTTAGGTGCGAAAGAAAGGACAAAGAGTCAGCCTCAAGTATTTTTTTCGTCACTCAAGTAAAAAGCCCAACAACTCTTTTAAATAGGATCGGTACTAAAACAGGCATACTTTTCTAAGTAAAAGTCACCCCCACAAAAAATCCCGATGCATGGTCATGGAGTCCTCAGGGTAAGGAATAAATGATCTTATGATGTTAGTAGAGAAAATAGTTAACCCCTCTTCACACAGATTAAAAGTAACAACTGATATTAATCATTTACTTGAAGACTCCATGAAGAATTTTAGAAGTGCTACAAATGCTTTGAAGAGTATCATGTGTAGATTTCCTAATGCAAGCATGAACACAGTCAAACTAGCCAATGTATATTCTATCCAAATCATCCAAACAAAGATGACACTGATCAAATACTCGTTAAAAGATAAGGACACATTCAAAGCAATTGAGTGTAGCTCCAGGAACCTTTCTCCCCTTCAGTCTTCGAAGTTTTCATTTGAATGTTTGATACTACCACCAAGATCTGCACTAGAGGCTGTTTCACTCCGGTTCATACCAAGAGCTTCTTACAAACAACAAGGGAAATTTACCGTCGATGGATTTATAAATAATTTTATTGCTGAAATTACGAATCAACAATCGTTAGAATCAACGTCAGAAAGCAGCAGCAGCACCTCTATTCCCTCTTTTGAGTCTGAAAATGATACAGAAATAGTTATTGCCAATACAGATTCAGTAGAAGATGACTACCGTACAGTCAGTAGGAGCCTTAAAAGAGTAATCCATAAAGACTTTGATTACAATATATTTTTACAAAGCATGAAAGATTTACAAAACGAATGCACCTTAAGTATGCATGGAATGTCTCAAGCAATAGGTTCATTAAGTGAATCTATTATTTCTGGCGCTATTTTTTCTTCAAAGCCTAAATTCTACTTCGACTATATTTGTACCGGACTTAATGATTTAGAAGCACATCTAAGGAAAACACCTATTCCAATCCTAGGTCCTGCCGAAAAAGAGTTCCTTGATGATAGTGGCATTTTGGCTTATCGTAGCTTTTGGTCTGTTTTGTCCTACTGCGTTGGAGGAAAACTCAATTTAAAAAATAAGCACCCGTAGGTAATCTTTATTTATCATCCTTATAAATATTAACATATATTTTTTATGATCCGATAAAGAGCTATTGAGTTCATCAAAAGCAATTTGGAAGCACGACACATGCGTGATTTTGTAACAACTCCTACTATTTCGTACGCCTGCCGTCAATACTACACGAACTTTACAAATATGTGGACTTATCAAAAGTACATGCATGATTTAAATGTTGTAGTAACTCTAATTATTAGTGCTAATCTTTGCAAACAAAGATTTTTTTGTAAACCCACCCATGGTAGCTTCAAATGCCTCCTCGTCAAAAATATTCTCCTCTGGTAAAAAGGAGATCAAAAAACTATTTATAATGAATGAGCTTTTTGATTATCTTTTAAAGTATAATCGACATAAAAAGAAAAAAAGGGAAAGCTCTTTGTCATAAAACAATTGATGGAGAGACTGTTTCAAATTACAGATACAGCCAGCGACAAAGAAAATACAATGCTGGTTACAAAGTTTTCGTCCGTAGATGCTGATATGTCTTTTTTCGAACATTATAAATGGGAGAAAAGCAGTGTCAAAAAGATAAATGAGAAATGAGCCAAGAGGCATGACTATCTTTGCTCTGCCTCTAAATGTGCTTTTATGATAGAGTTCTATGGGCGAGCCCTTCTTTAAGTTGCGAATCGAGTATATGTCCTTCAAGTATATTCAAAATAAAACTCGGGATTTGACTTTAACAATACAATCAACACAATTTTTTTGTTTTGAAAAAAGTGTAATAGAGCCTTATGGGTGGAAATTTCTCTCAAAGTGAAAAACGAAGCTTCTATGCGTTCTTATTAACATACGATTGTTTTTGTTTTAGGTGATTGGGCAAGGATGTTTTTCTGCAGCACACGAGATTGGTCTAGATATACCTTTGTACCTTGGCTTGTGAATTTTTATACCTGATAGGTTGCTTGAGGTATCAAATGAAATCCAATATTCCACGGCAATTTGTCTATGTTTAGATAATTGGCCCTGGAAAATTTCCAATGGGAAATAAATACTATTGCATCCTTATATGGGTTCCATGAGAAAAAAAGAAGTGTAGGAAATGCAGGCCCGATTTAAAAAAAAAAAAAAAAAAAAAAAAAAAGGGAAAAAGGTGTTAGCAAATTTCTCAGTGCGCTTTTTGTTACTGTCTGCCGTGGGATAGTCGCTTACAAACATGAATTAAAACTAGAGGAATGTGTGTAAATTATAAAAAAACCAGCAGTCCTCTATCGTTATCTGAATTTTTTTTTTTAAGTGGGGAAAGGATAATGATCGTTCTTGTGACGTATTGATTGAGTACAGCTGTAAATCATGAAAATGTCTAAATACAGCTTTATTATCAGTTAGGAACTGTGCGTATTTGACAGAATTTCGGGCTAATTTTCTCCTAATGAAGACTTTATTCTTTTGATGGGAATGTCTAAAAAATCAGCATCACGAGTCGTGAGATCATATCGTTTTCACTCTGAGCGCCATTGAGCAAACCCTAAACTGTAATTAAAGCGAATTTTAAGGGTATGTCTAGGCTGTTCCACAAGAGTGTGGTTTAACAAAAAAAAAAAGGTAACCATAACACATATTTCAAGGATGGAGCCGAATATCTTGCACATATAAACCCAATGTTATTTTTATCGTTGCGTTTGCTCGGAAAGAACGAATTAAATTTCATAGAGGGTTGATACTTCACGACGAATTATACAGCGTTTTTTCTCTTTTTTTTTTTAGTTTTAGAATTCTTGTACCTTGGGAAAATAAATAAGCCTGTCATTTTTCCAAAAATAAAAAAGGTGGGGAAAGTTATGCCAGCGAGATTGTAACACCTTCCTTTCTGAACTATTATGGTAAGTTACTAGATCAAAGAAAAAACGTGACCATGTGAACTATTGGCTGGATTATTTTGAAGTTACATCCAGCTGCATGTTTCGTATAAATACAGAGCATCCCATTGTCTGTCAAGTTTTTTATTTTTATTTTAATAATTTTAACTACAATCCTATAAACCATGTCCTCTATTGAAAAGAACGATATTCAACACCTTGAGGTGGAAATCCCTACTAGCACTGATTCTAGCGAATACCCAGTCGAGAGTAAAAGCAATTCGATCAAACAACATCCTATTCAAGCTCAAGTTGCCAAATTGAATCCCGCTCCCATTGGTTTTGCTGCCTTTGCTCTGTGCTCTTTTGTGCTTGGTTTGTATAACACCGGACTCGTTACCGACTTACCTCAGGTCGCTGTTGGTGTTGCTTTTGGTTATGGCGCTATGGGACAATTTGTTTGTGGTATTTGTGAATTGGTGATCGGTAATATTTTTGCTGCCACAACTATGTTGACATTTTCTGGATTTTTCTTGACTTTTGGTATTATGATGATTCCCAGCTCTGGATTTCTTACACTTGCTATGGCCAATGGCGGACTTGAGGCTGTGCACATTTGTATGGGGCTTGTCCAAGTCGGTTATGCCATTGCATCTTTCCTCTTCTTACTCGGCACTCTCCGCCAACCCATTTTAATTCGTCTTGTACTCCTTCAAGTCTTCCTTGCTTTCTTGACCGGCGGTATTGGTGGATTAACTCAGATCACAAATTTCACTCTTGCATCCGGTTGGATCTCCTTCACTTTGTCCTTAACAGCTTGGTATGTCATGGCCGCTATGCTTTTCACTCCCGAGAACACCATGATCAAGCTCCCCTTCTTTTAATTGTACTTTCTATTTTTTATCGTCTTTTACTATATACCACTTTCCATTTAATATTATTATCATGCTGTCTCCTTTCTTTATCGTTTACGGCCCCAGAGCCCAATGAATTTTTTTTAAATAAAGCTTTGTATTCACTACTAATTTACATGTGGATAATAATTTATCACAAATGATATTGCGGGTTACAAGCTAAATATAATAATAAAAATAGGCTGTGAAGTGACGGATGTTGTGGGTAGAGTTTATCCGATCTACGATTTTGTGCGCCTTCTCATCTCAGTTTAATTGATTTGGGAGGACAAATCGCTATTTACAGAAAGAGAAAGTTTGATTTACACAACGGAAATCAGAAGATCGTGCTCTTTACATATTTCCAGAACTCTTAAAGCTTTCATTTAAACAAAAGTGAACCAAAACCTTTACTGACTCATAATGCTTTTCAGCGTGCATATTTATATATTTTTTTTAAATAGAAGTGCCTTTTTTTTATTTATTTATACTCTAATACTTGTTGGGGAATCTACCATTTGGTTGCAAGGGGGTTTCCCAAGTTTTGAGTAACGGCGTGGTATTGTGTACGAAGCAACTGTTGTGCTCTTTCAGAAGATGGGTCGATAATCCATTCACTAGAGAAAGAAAGAAAATTAGTTGAAAGAAATGAGAAGATCTTTTTTTTTTACGAGTCAACTTACTTGTAAATAGCTTTAATTATTTCATTATCTTCTGGTTTTACACCTTTTGAAGATCGATATAAATCTTCAACATAGCTCACCCAGTCTTTTGCATTTACAATCTGTTCTGTGTCAGCCGGTAATTGACCACCACCATTGGCACATCCACCGGGACATGCCATCACCTCTACGTAATGATAGTTGCATTTACCCGTCTTAATTTTACGCACAACATTTTGAATGTTTCTGAATCCATAAGCGGTGGCAAACCTTAACAAAATCTTGCCATCATCTCCGATTAAGAAATATTCCTTGACGTCTGCATTTTTACCGGTTTTAATGACTACGCGAGCGGAAGGCTGTGTGGGATCTGCGTCCTGGATATGAAACAAATCTCGCGCTGCGGATGCGAAAATATACTCCAATGCACCACCCGAAGAAGATCCTGCTACACCATAAGACGTTTCGATACCAGTAGCAGGATCAATCCCGACCTTGTTGAACATGTCATCAATGGGACTCTCTGTCATTGTTGCGAAATCCAAGTTCTGCTCATGGAACATTTTATCGATTTCGCTGGTGGTCAATACACAGTCAACCTCACGTGTCTCATAGGCCTCCAAAAAGAAATCAGGTCGACTTGCTTCCAGCTTTTTATCGTAACATGGCATAATTGATACATGGTATATTTGGTTTGGACTAGATTGTAACATGTAATGAATTAGTCATTTCATATTCATAGAAAAACGAAACCGCAACTCACGCTAATCCAGATTTCTTTGCAAAATAATCTTTCACCAAAGATCCCATCATTTGTTGTGGTGATTTGGCAGCTGTTACATAAGGCAGTATTTCACCGTGTGTCTTCTCTGCATAACAAACCCAGCCGGGACAAGAAGATGAAAGCATGGGTAAATCTTGATTTACAGCCGGTGCCTCATCAGTTGTAGCGGCCTTTCTTCTTCTGGCTCTAACTTTAGGTTTACCGTCTTCGACAGCCTTCTCGAGATCTTGCTTTTGCATGGCTTGTTCCAAAGCATCGCCTCCGTTTTGCATATAACGCTTGAAACGATCATTGAATTCACGAGCCGACTCGACAAGAGATAAATCTTGGGTGAATGAGGTGTTGAATACGTGGTGCGCTCCAAGATAATGCTTAAAGAAATAGACAAGTCGATGATGAACTTGGAGAAGTGTAAGACGGTATTTGGCAGCTAAAGAAGCTCTTGATTGTGGACTGATCGAAATGACAATGGTGCGATGGTCCTGGGGCTGATTCTGTTCAAGAGCCGTTTTATTCTGTTGTAATATCTTAAAGAGTTCTTCTTGTGATTGCATTGAAATTAAGACACTTTCTGCAGAAGTTACGCAGCCACTTTATATTTGTCAGCAAGACATGTTTTTTTTTAAAAAAAAGATCTTTCTTTACCTGCATGCTAAACAATCGTCCAAAGAGATAGAGGCCTTTTCAAGTTTCTCTTCTCCACCGTCTTGTGTAATTTCGTAATAACTACCTTCGTCGTCAACTTTGATTTCGGTCTTTAATCAAACAAATAAAAAAATTAATATACGCTTTAAGATAAAGAACAAAGCTGTCATGTTGCTTACAGGTCCTTGTGTTTCAGACTTTGACACTTCAACAGGCTTTACACAAGCTTGTGAAGGAGCAATATAATCGTTAAGATCGGTCAGGACAAGTGCCGATGAAAAAGCCATTGTAATTTGTTTAATGTAAGTGGTAAAAGGTTACAGTTAGCTTACGGGCGAACTCAATCAATTCTTAGATAGGTCGGAGCTACACAGCCAGCCAGTGCTAAAGGTCGGATAGGCCAATTAAATTCCTGATTCAGATTATGCCTCTAAAAAGTAAAACCAGGTTTTCGATATGGGCGATATCGTTTTCTAAATTGAGATACGTATAAATACGGCTGGGAAATCATTTCCCATGGAGTTTATTTATTTATTTTGAGATGATGACAGATGTTTTTGGAAACAACGGTGTCTCACTGCCATAGCAACCCACAAGTTTCGCCAGTTTAACATTTTATAAATGTCCAATGTTCATCGAGAAAAAATATACAAGACCATCATTGATATAATGAGGTTGGTGGTAAAAAATCCAATGTATGGAAAGAAGAATGAAAATCTTAAAGACATGGATGGACTAGATGATGTCTTTAACGAGGACGGGAATAAAGTCGTGTGTTGATAGACATCACTGATCCAAATATATTCTTCGCTACTACAATATATCTATGATCAAAGTGAAAGTGTATTTTATGAAGACTGTCGAATTTCTATGGGAAGAGTAGGATTAGCCATTTATCGCAACAAAAACAAAAGATGTCTTAACGCTTCTAGGGAGAAAATATTACACATGGGAAATTACTGTTATTTTACAGACATGCATCCAACAATGATACGAGATTGTATAGAAGATGAGCCAGGAGGATTAAATTATATCACGCGGAGACAATTACGTCTTAGGATTGAAGCAATAACTAAATGTTTAGCTACTTGTTCGTCCAATAATAACAGTGGATTATTGATTTCAGAGAAATTAGAGGAATGCTACACTCAAAGGCATTTGATTGAAAATAGCAAGTGAGCTAGATCAAATAACAGTCTGAACATGAGAATTCATTTCGTGCAAATAATTTATATGTTTACAGCCAAGTGATTGGGATTAATTTGAAACAAATGTTTGAAAGTTTGTCACGAAACAATGCTCCATAACTTTCACTTTAACTTTATATCATCTTGCTGTCTTTACATGACATTCCTTACACTTGTAGATATATCCCCTTTTTTTTTTAAATTAGCAACACATTTTTATGAAAAAGTTGTTGGAAAAATGAAAATTCCCTGTTGGGACATCTCGTTTTAGATGTTCACCTGGAACACCTTTTTAATCAAGGAAAAGGGGGGGGGGAGAAGGGGCTGACATCGTTTTTATAGTGTACATGTCTATTATAACTATATTTGGAAGCTTTGATTTTTTGTTGTTGCTGTAATTTGTTTATTCAAGATGTAACACGTTAAATAAACGTCTATTCTGTTCCGTTCTATTCTTTTCTAGTATCCACCACAAGAAGCTAATCTCTGTTCCAACTTTTTTTTTTTTTTTTTTTAATTTTTTTTTGCTCAAGTAAATACAATCACACCAAAATATAAAAAAAGGGTCTATTAAGCCTATCTATTGCTCAACTATTGACACTTGATAAGGTAGCATACACCTATTAGAGGACAATTGATTTTATAAAAGTGAATTCCATGTATCTAGCCACAAACAAAAAGATCGCCGCTTTTTTGTTTCTCCGAAAATGGGCCAATTGAATTGGTCACCCTGGCACAATGAGTTCAAGCCTTTTTTTATCTTTCTTAATCTTGAATACAATTCCAAATGAGCGCAATAAAGATTGGTTATTTGCTAGTCAGGTGAAATTAGGAACTTCATTCTTCAATGTGTTTGAGAGAGTCTGACATTTATTTAATATGACCCCAAAAAAGAACACTAGCAAAGCCAGTAGCGAATTCCATCAAGACACAAGCCAAGAGCCATCCCAATTTTAAGGCGTTTTGTATTGGTGTTGCTCAGGTATGAAAAAGGGAAGGGAAAGGAGCTTAGGGCTGACAGAGGAATGGTTTAGCGTTCGCATCGTTTAGAAATGACCTTAAAGATGAAGTTCCTTGGGTATAAAACTGAGAAAATCCGACCTTTAAATGATGCCAGGTAAAAAATACGGAAGAAGGCATGTCAGAACACGGTGCTAATTAAACAATCCGATAGGGCTATTGAGAGTGGAGCCAATTTTCTTTCTGAAGCCTTTGTGTTTTCAGTAGCAGCATCTGTGATTCTGGCCGAAAATTGGAGGTAACCTATATAAAAAAAGGAGACTATTTATTTTTTCCGCAGTAATTTTAAAGTTAGGAGAACAATAGATCGCGAGTGACAGCCAAAAATCGCCGAAATTATGTAGACGATGCATTGGAAAGTTTGGAAGAAAAGAATCAATCATTGACGGAATTACTAGAAGAGACACGACAGATGAACCAGACAAACGAAGATAGGTTGAAGCAAATAGAGAATGATAATATGCAATTAAGAGGTCTCTTAGACGAGGTAAAAAAAAAAAAAAAGGTTTTATTATGCGTAAGCAACACCAGTAGCTTACATTCATTTGAATTTTAGGTTCTATCCGTCAGCATGGGATTGAAGCGACATACAGAATACCAACAACAACCCACGATGATTCAACTTTAAAAATAAACTTTTTTTAATTCTCATGTCACACAGCATACATTTTTACAAGTGCCAGGAATCTGTCAAAAGGGAATATGACTATTTATGTAACAAAAGGGTTACTATAGCAACAGTTTTTATAATAAAGCATTCCCTGATCACCATGGTAGACACGTGTTACACATAATGAAAACGCCGGGCATTGGAATTTTCCCAAGAGGTAAGGGGCTTGTAATGAATTAAAGTTGGCTGCTCAAAGAAAAAAAAGGGGCTATAGGAGCAACAATAACAAAATGCGTATAAATTAAGGCATCTTTTTTTATTATTATTCTTGTGCGGCATCCATATAAAAAGATACCCGCGCGCGCTGTAAGGGGGCCAAATTGAAACCGTCTCGCACATGATATGACTCTTCTGTTGGCGTGTAATTAGATCTTTGCAAAGCAATCTGATGCAATACTCGTCACCCTTTGAGTCTCCGCCAAACTCATATTTTGTTTTTCTCAAGGATTTTTTTATTTTTCTTAATATCTAAAATGTCATCTAGAAGAATTCTCCAAAATGTACTTGTGCAGTCCATGCGTGTCACTGCCATGAGAAGCTTGAGAGCAGCTCCCGTTCTCCGTGCTAGTATATTGACTAAGGACGTACCTACCTTTACCAGACGTCAGTTCAACAGCCAAGCCAATGAGTCAGAGATCTTTAAAGTAGTTGACTTTAACGACATTCAAAACATTATCAAACGAGACGGCAAGGTAAAAATGAGAACTCAGTGTCACGGATTAGCGCTGATGCAACTGAAATAACAGGGATATGATTTAATTGATGTGCGCGAAGAAAAGGAAGTTGTGCAAGGCGCTATTCCCACAGCCAAGAACGTGCCATTGGTAAGAGAAAATATGGATGTGGGTATGTGGAATAAATGTTGACACATGTTTTAAAAAATAGAGCCAATTTGCAAATGCATGGACATTATCGGACAAGGATTTTGAACAGCAATTTGGATTCGCAAAGCCTAAAAAGGAATCCCAAGTGATTTTGTATTGTTTGGGTGGTGTTCGTAGTTCACGCGCAGCCGAATACCTTTATAGTTTAGGATATAACAAGTAAAGTAAAAGGACAAATTAATCTGTACATAAAAAACTCACCATGTTAATATATATAGTCTCCAAAATTATATCGGTAGTTGGGCTGATTACGCTGAAAAGGTAAAGGAGAAATAAGCCTTTTTCTCCTTGTTCAAATAATACAGAATAGTCCCCTTTCACAAGAAAGATATTGTTTTATTTTTTTACCCCTATTTTGTGGTATTATAAATATATATTTTGATTATTTTCCTCCCCTTTTTTTTTTCTTTTTATCTCTCTTTTTACTTTTTTTATACATAAACAATGGGTATTTGCATATCAAACGAAGAAAGAACTGAAAAGTTACACAGTTACAGTATTGATCGCACAATAGAAGAAGAAAGTCGAAAGATGAAAAATGAGTGTAAAATATTATTACTAGGTAAAAAGCCCTTATATAACCAAACAATCCGCATTCATTGTATTTTATAAACTAACATTTATATATATATATATAAAAAGGTAGCGGAGAAAGTGGGAAATCCACGGTAATAATAACAATACAATGAGTATAAATAAAGCCGGACTAACAAAGGAACACAGATCTTTAAACAAATGAAAATTCTTCACCAAAATGGATTCAGCACAGACGAACTATTAAACTGGAGAGTGACGGTCTATCGAAACTTGATTCATTCAGCTCAGGCAGTTGTGAATGCTTTAAACGAATTCGAATATCAACTTTCGGATGAAAAGGTCCAATACGAAGCACAAAGAATCACGGAATATCGCCTACAGGAAATTATTGACCCGTTAGTGATTGACGCTGTCATTTCTGTTTGGCATGACCCTGCAGTCACCAAGTTGTTAGACGAAAAGGCTGCCGAGTTTTACCTCATGGACTCTGCACCATAGTAAGACATCATATCCATTCTTACTTATTCCTTTCTTTCTCATATCTCTCATTTTCACATCTAGCTTTTTCGAAGAGATCAAACGAATTGGCAAAGCAGATTATATCCCAACAAAGCAAGATGTGCTGCGTGCACGGTCAAAGACAACCGGTATTGTCGAGACACGGTTCTTGATGAACGAAGTGAACGTACAGTAAGTGCATCAAAGCCATTTTATCGATCAGGTACTGATATCAATATAGCATGTTCGATGTAGGAGGACAGCGATCAGAACGAAAGAAATGGATTCATTGCTTTGAAGCAGTACGATCCATCATCTTTTGTGTGTCATTATCCGAATACGACCAAGTTTTACTGGAAGAATCACGACAGAACCGAATGATGGAGAGCCTGGTTCTGTTTGAATCAGTGATTAATAGTCGTTGGTTTAGCAGAACCATCATGATATTGTTTCTAAACAAGATTGATCTGTTTCGAAAAAAGATAAAAAAGATACCGCTGGAGAAATTCTTTCCGGACTATACTGGAGGCTCTGATATCAACAAATCCTTAAAGTATATTCTTTGGCGTTTCAATCAAACAAACAGGGCAAACCTCAAGATATTTGCACAGTGAGTGAGATCAATCATGTTGTTATTATTCATTCTAACATTGTTATTGTTTTAGTGTGACACAAGCAACAAACACATCCGATGTAAGTGCCAAATTGCCACTTGTCTAACACTTGTCTAACCCTAATCCTACAAATAGATGCAACTGGTATTCAACACAGTTGAACGCACGATTCTTAACATGAGTTTACAAGATTCTGGTATCATGTAAACCCACTAATAATTTTCTCTCTTTCACTTGTATTTTTTTTTTTTTTTTGAGTTTGACATTCAATCCTCAAATGAACCCCCCACCTATCCCCTTCCTTTTTTTTTCTCTAATAAAACTTTAATAAATAATCGCATATATGAAAAAAAAAAAAATTATGCAAAATCAACCTTTGTTTTTTTTTAAAAAAAGATAAAAAGTGTTTAAGCAGAGGCAGCAACGACCTTCTTGGCTTGAGTACCTTCACGGAAACCATTCTTGAAACGACGTTGAACATCCTTCAAGTGAGCCATACGACCGGTACCGGTAGTCTTTCTGCGTTGACCCTTTTCAGACCAGTTGACTATATCCTTTTATTTAGTTTTTTGATTTTTCTTTCCCGCTTTGTTATTTACTTACAAGATCTAATCTTGGCAGCAGGATAACCACATTGAGCACAGGTTTTCTTTTGCTTGTGGAAGGCACGATTACCACAACGACGACACAAGGTGTGAGTCTTGGTGTGACGCTTACCGAATGAACTTGTACCCTTAGACTATTTCACCAATTTTGTTTGAAGAAAAAGAAGTTTAATATACTAAACTATAAAAGAGAAAAGTGACATTGCATCATCAACGCGCAAAAGAAATAATGATGTTCCACGTGTAATGTAAAAAAAGGATGTATATGCATGGTGCTACAGGCTACATCCAAGTTGCTATCCATCCATCCATCCATCCAATTCCATTCCATACTCGGTAATCTAATTTTCGGCGCGTTGATGATGCTTCTGTCGATTGTAGGAGACGGGATTACATACCATTTCTTAGAGATTAGTACGTAGAAGGAGGGATATGCCCTATTGCGGATGGCGACACTCAATGACATGCCCCCCGCAGGGTGCGGTCAGCCCGCGCACATCTGACTTTTAAAATGATGTATTATTTATTGAAAAAAATAAAATAAAAAATGCAATATTATGCAAAGACGTCATTTTGTATGCCGAAAGGTCCTACTTTGCAGGTCTCAACAGGTGATCGATTTTGTAAGCATATCCATTTATAGCTTCGATATAATGCACAGTATCAACAGTTGCATGGTCATTGAGTACGGTCTTTTGAGAAAAGAAATGATGCTTGACATGAATGGAAGCACCTGACATTGATTTGAGAGGCGAGTGAATACGTTTAAGAGCGTCTGGGTCAATTTTGGACCCTCTAACAATATGGTTGCGTAAAAAGTCGTCTAAATGCTCACGAGTGTATAGGTCCAATTCATTTTTAAAGGCAGAGTTTACGGGACAAAAGACGGTGATCATATTATTGTCCTTGTCGTCTGTGTTATTGACAAGGTGAAATACATCTTGTACTTGAGTGAGGACGTCCATAAAAGTAGACAAGGAAGCATCAGGCGCTAATTTATCAAATAAGGACTGTGTAGAACAATCCAAAGAAGCTGGTTTGTAATCGGGTGCATTGGGTTCATACAATAACTTTTCAGCCATCACACTATAAAAGATGGGCACGGAGAATAGAAAAAATAATAAAAACTGCATTTGTTTATTAAAAAAAGAAAAAAAGAGGCTTTTATTTGGAAAGAAAAAAAGCCCTCTTTAAAAAGGGCTTCCTAGTGCTATTTTCTAATTGGCTCTGAACCTGATACTGTACCACCACCAAATAACCTAAAGTGTTTGATAAATACAACTCCGCACCGAAAATATTCGACACTTTTCACAAAAATTTGAGTTCCTTTAGTCATGCATTTTTTTAAAACCAAAAACTTGTTAATAAAAGGTATCTCAAATTCTACCAAACTTGACAAAATAGCAATATATATATATATTTTGTAAAAAGAAACTTTTTTATTTACGTTAATAAGTGGTATTTGAGCCACGAGCTTTTTTTACTGCCCGGCATCTATCGGGCATACTTTCTACAAGCTTATGACACACTTCATCCCCCAACAACTTCCATTCCTGATGAAGTGCAACCTCCAATTCATTAAGATTTTGAAGCTGGGCTCTTCTTTTAGCAATCCTTTGTCCCAGGAGGCGCCAAAGGTTCTCAATCGGATTCAAATCGGGACTTTGAGCGGGCCATCGCTCAAAGCCTGCAATCCCAGCCTTCTCTTTCCACCACCTCGTATATCCTCCTGTATGGCATGGGGCACCGTCTTCTTGGAAAATAAAGTCATGACCATATTTCTCTGTCAATTGTTCAAGCCAAGGGAGAAAGTTTTGACTTAAACAATTGACATATTTTTCTTGATCGACAGACCCTTTTAGTGTCACCAAAGGGCCCAAACCGCCTGCCCAAAAACATCCCCATACCATCACTGATCCCTTACCAAATTTAAATGTTGGTAAAACAAATCTATCCATATACCTTTCACCCTTCTTTCTAATAACTCTCACACCACCGTCGTTGTGCCTGAGTGCGAATCGCGACTCATCGGACCAGATTACCTTCTTCCAGTCATCTAATGTCCAATTCATCTTGTCGTCGACCCATTCTCTTCGCGTTTTTTTATGTCTAAGACTCAAAAACGGTTTTTTGGAAGGTCTGCAAGAATAAAAACCGTTTTTGCGAAGTGCATTCCTCAATGTCGTCAGGCTGATTGGATCGGTAGCCTTCGCAAGATTTTGCATATGAACACTTAAAGGTTCAAAGGAGTCCCTTCGAACTAAAAGCGTCAGGTGATGCTCAGCTCTTGCTGTCAGCTTTGCTGGTCTTCCTGGACGAGGTTGGACAGTCGTGATCCCTTCAGTTCGATACTTTTTTATAATCGTAACAACGGTTGTTCTAGGAACGCCCAATTCTTTGCTGATTTGGGTACCTGTCCATTTGGCATGCTCTGCCAAACCGCAAATGACTCCACGATCGAAATCTGAAAGTTCCTTGCTTTTTCTAGAGACTTTGTTAGTAATGTCAGTAAGTGGCATGATAAATTGTGTAATAAAATATGAAAGAATCGTTGAACGAAGAAAGAGTAGGTTTATTTATTTTTTTGGCTCAAAACGGAAGTGTCGAATATTTTATGTGCGGAGTTGTATATATCTCGGAAAACCCATTTTCTGACCCGTGACACACACAACAACAACTCAAAAATGCAACAAATAAAACCCCCTCTCTTTCTCTCTTTTTTCCTATTTCCCTCTCTTTTTGTATTATTTATTAATTTTTGAATATGATTTTACTTACTCCCAGTCAAGAGAATACTGCCGAGAGACTAGACATGATTGAAACGTTAAAGTCATTTCTGGCCACAGCACCCAATGGGCAAGAAGATGCCATCAAGCAGCATGTGTTGAGCACAACGGGTGAAAGCATCACTTGTGTCAGATGGAAAGATGCATTTTATATCACAGGTACAGATATTGTTCGATGTCTCGTATTTCGTTTTTATGCATTCGGCAGACCTGTTCAAAATCTCAAGAAGTTTGAAGAAGGCATCTTTAGCGACCTTCGTAATTTGAAGCCTGGGACAGATGCTATTCTAGAAGAACCCAAGTCTGCTTTTTTAGACTTATTGTTCAAGAACAATTGTATTCGCACCCAAAAGAAGCAAAAGGTCTTCTTTTGGTATTCGGTTCCTCATGATAGACTATTTTTAGACGCTTTGGAAAGAGACCTGAAACGCGAAAAATTGGGCATTTATCCTACCTCCGTCTCGGTTGCTAACCCTGCAGAGTCTATCTCGCTCGACACTACCCAAGCCATGTTTGATGATTTCCGCAAATCCATGCTGACCGAAATGAACTTGCAACCCTTTTATTCCAATCAGCCTTCGTCATCATCAGCATCACCCAGTGTAACATCAGAGTCTTGCTCAGTCTCTGACAGTTCAGTATCCCCTCACCTCCATCATCACAGGGTTTCATCATCACGTGAAGGTGATCTCCAGAAAGCTTCTTCTGCCATCTTTGGTCAATTCTCTCTCTTTGAAGGATCTCCCACTTACAAACAACGTAGACGCAGATCCACTCAAAAGTCACAACAAGAAGCTCAATCGAAATACATTCGTACTAAAAAGTCAACTACCAACACCACCAACACCACCATTATTCCTGACTCAAATACAAGCACCACTGCCTGGAGTTCAGATACTAGCAACACCAATACCGATGATGATAGTACTCACGTACGTTACTTTTACTGCCCTTTGAATACATGTGGTAAATACTTTAAACGTTTGGAGCATATGAAGCGCCACTTGCGAACACATACCATGGAACGTCCTTACTTGTGTGACCTCTGCGGTAAGCGTTTTTCAAGATCCGATAACCTGGCTCAACACAAAAAAACACATCAGCGTTTGCGTGGGATGAAGACTCTGGATGAGGAAGACGACGATGAAGATGATTCTTCTTCTTCTGATGAGCGACATTATGTATACAATGGTAAAGTCTCAAAAACATCCTCCAGCATTGGGAGACGACTTGTTAACACTAATACAGGTAAAGGTGTTACATCCATCCGAAGAGCTGTCGACATGACCTCTATCAATTATCGATCCAATGGGAAACGCTTAACTCATAACAACAATAACAACAACAACAACAATTACAAGCATTCAGATGACTTGTGGTCACCTCATGACCCTAATGACAACATTGAATACATGAAGGCTGAACCTCCACAGTTATTGATTGTGCCCGAGTTATCCATATCCACTGCCTCTACTGCCTCTTCCTGTGAATCTTCACCTATATATACAAGAACACTCCCTACCATCAAGGTCGAAGATACCGAACTATTTTACGATCTTTCCAGTGGGCAACAACAAATGAATGATACAGCCATGATGATGGAAGAACTCTTACCTCCTCAGCCTAACCAATATTGGCAAGATAACGAATCAGCAAGTGATTGGCAAAGAAGAGTGGATTGGGATCAATATTCAACGATTCGACCTTCGGGCAATTATGATACGGGAGAGGACTTGATGATTGGATATCAAGATATTCAGTCTTATTACTACTTACATCATCCATATGCATATCCACCTGCATCTTCGCCTTTGTTTGGTCCTACCAGTAACACCACAGCCAGTAATAGCACCGTGACCACCGCAGCCAATAGTCCTGTTACTCGAGCTTTTGATCTGTATCCTTACTCTGAAAATCCAACCATGACACCAAGCGATGCTTTACTTCACTAAATCATCTTTTTTTTTTTTAATTTTTCTTTTTTTTTTCTCCCCCTTCGTATGTTATTATCCACTCACCCTTTCATCTGTATATGTCTGTACTATTCTTCATATTTATATTTCCCTTCTTTTACATTTCTTTTTTATTCATCGACATATATTCACAAGCATTATCTGTATAGTTTATTAAAACAAAAAAGCATCCCCTATTATTATCAATAAAGTAAACAAATAAAAAAAAAAAAAAGAAAACGTTTTCTGAAACGTAAACTTTAAAAAAAAACAAACAAACTTCGACAATAGAAAAAAAGATCAGAACGGGGTTTTTGTATTACATAACCATTTTTCAGTAACTGTCAAATGCCAAGCAAAAATAAAATCTTTCCTTTATCCTCAGCATTTGTAGCAGAAGCATGGTGAGAATATACTTGTGAATATTTAACACTGATTAATTTTTTTTTTAATAAAGTCTTTTAAAGTCAATGGGGCACAAATAAAGGGTCTTTATTAACATGTTGAAGTGGGGTCCCCCCTTTTTTTTTTTTGGAAGTGATGAGGACTTTTTGAGACCCAGCTACAAGCTCGGACTTCAGCCAAATAAGGGCAATGGGTTTACCCACTCGCTACTACTACTACTACTACTACTACTACTACTACTACTACTACTACTACTACTGCTTGCTTATAGACCACCGCACCCGTTGTAAAGGTCAAATTATAACATTATTTTTCGGTTAGCTAAATGCTCACAAAAAGACAGACCTAAACAATTTGAATGTATCCGAACATCCATTGAGATAATATTGCTGTAATATGTGGAATTTGATCAAGAATCTTGAATCCAGTGATCATCAAGGTCGACAAATACTAACGAGAGAATTTCTTGTGCATTTCAAGTACATTAGCATGGTGCTGGGGATGCGCAGAAGAGCTCAAAGTGTATTGCAGCTGATGCTAAAGTAGCTTACACAATATGATCACTTATAGAATGATGTTATCATTGATTTCTTTAAGAAGAACAAAATAATAACATACGCAATCAACAACAGTTCCCTGTTGCAGGATTATAATAGAAACCACACACTCAAGTTTCCGGATAAGATGGCGCTTTATTTACAAATAAAACAGGACACAAATAAGAAACTAGGATGAACGACCTTTATTTGTTACATGTGTGAGCCCTTGTATGTTCTCATGGAACAATAGATTTTTTTGTCTATAAATGATATCATCAACACACAATCAAGGTGCGTGCTTGTGTGTGTGTGCGAGCATGGCGTTACTTAAATCAGCTAAGCAGTTTTTAGTGATGCGCAGGCACAATCCTGAATGCTCTGCGTAATGCTGTACACGCGACAAAACGTCATTATAGCTTTGCATGAACAGAAGGTTACAGGTGCTGATACAATTCTTGAATATTATGAATCTACTAGCATAAAGTAAATTTCTATCCCTCACTCTAAATAGAATCGAATAATTAAATCACGGTGGTGCGTTCAGGCAATGGCATAGCAAAATATATAAGACGTATATATTTATGGGTCGTACTTTAGTAGCGTCTGCTCTAAGAGATAGTAAACTAAATACCAAATCAAGAGTTGTACTCCTATTCCACATGGTACAGACACACCTACTTGAAGCAAGTCTCATTAGAGTTATAATCACTCATTGATGGGCAGCAGAGTTCGTTCACTCAGGCTAAGATACTAGAGTCTTTTCATGCAACGCCGGATTTTAAAAATGACGGAAGCTTAAGTTTACCTAAACTTTGATAAAATATAATCTGTTTTTTTATCGCCATTTCTTCCTTACTGTAAATGGCTGTGGTCAGACTGTAAATGACCGGACTCGCTGACTTCAATGCTTTAAGTAACAATGGTGCTTGCGTCTTTTAAATACGCGACGCTTTATCCATTGTTCGAAAGGGCGCATTTCCCCGAATGAAGCTACCAACCGACCTTCAGACATTACTTGACCTTTTAAAGGTAAAGGTAAAGTTTCCTACTATTCAGCCTGTGAAGTTGGTTTATTAACATTACCATAAAAGAATTCTTGCAAGAGTCAAAACATGAGTTATGGACCGTTTTAGAACTCTATAAGAAACATCCTGGCATCTCCGAAAAGCAAGTACAAGGCAAAGTGTAGAATGGCCTTGTTGTTTTGAAAAAAGCTGAATGCTGAAAACTAGTACATCTTGAATCAAATCAAGGTAAATAAAAGTATGACTCTTTGGCGATAAGTGGTGATAACGACAAACTTTCGTTTATTAGTCAGAAGAATAGATGCCGCGAAGAATTTAAAAAAGTTGTTTGCCTCGACAAAATAGACAGTATCAACCCATCAAACTATATGAGAGTTGTGCTGTTTACTGCAATACTCGTGATGCTCAAGAAGAGGCAGTGGCACCTGAGGTTTTCGCTGAACTTTAAGGTACATCTCAAGGCAGTCCACACCAACAGGGCTCTTTATCAATGTGACCTTTGCCTTACCTTTACCCGGTGGATAAAGGTGAGTAAAGGACAGGCCAAAATCAACATTAACTCCTGAAGATCTAGGCCTCTCAGATAAACCTGGAGTTATTATATCTTTTATAATAGAAAAAAACATTGTAAGCCTTATGGTTTCTACTATCCCAGTAGATCACCTAATCCGCTGGCCGAATACTTGGGGAGTCCTTATAGTCAGCGATACACCTCAGCTGACTGTAAGTAGTGATGATGCCCTTGATGTTGAGGAGGAAAAAAAAGTCGATCCTTTTTGTTTCTGAAGGCCCCCACCTCTTCCGAAAGCGATTTTGCTACTTTCACTTTGATCATGGTTAAATATTGTAGTGATGTCTGTCAACACACCCCTCCATTGGATTGTCGACTTTATCCCTGCTCCAATTAAAGACATTATCTAGCCCAACATCTTTATAATAAAAAGTGCTTTTAATCATTATGTTTGTCGAAGGTATCTTTCTGCATTCGTAATAAGGGAGACCGATATTAAAAGAAAAGATAGTTTAAACAAAAGTAAAAAAAAAAAATCATTCTCAGCTTCACAGGACCTTATTGTAGAGTGTCGCTAAAGACTGGGATGGCTTATATTTTGAGTTCTTCGAAGAAAGAATCGTACGAAATTCCTATATCTGTGAGCTTTCCATAGAAAGGTGCACTCATACACAACAGAAAAACTTGTTAAGTTCCTCACTATTTTACTCTTTGCTCATGTTGTAATCCTCCCTTATGAACATATAATTTTTAAGACTAAAATTTACAATTTTTTTTATTATAAAAGTTATAATAACTCCTCCTTAACATCAAGGGCATCATGGTAGAGTACAGAGCCGTCACGTAAGTCAGCCGAGGTGTATCGCTGACTACAAAGACTCACCAAGTATTCGGCCTGCGGATTAGGATAGTAGAAACCAATAGGGTTCTGTCCGAATTCGAAATTATCGGCGTTATAATAGCCATGTGAGAAGTAATCCCCATAGAAGTCAGAGTAATCCCATTGGATGCGTTCAGATATGTAGTCCACCTGCTGGCTGGGCGGGGTCCAGTCGTAATCGAACAATGAGTAGTGCTCATCCTTGGCATAGTACATGGGTTCTTCATAGACCTCGTCTGGTGAGATAACGGGTTGGAGCAAATTATTATCGTAAGTTGATAAGTTAGTTTGTACATTATCAAGGATATCTGCACGTGTACATGGTCTGTATAATTGGTTCCATAGAGCAGAGCCGACACCATCGTTGACAGAAAGGATGGAATAAGAATCCAAGTCAATTGAACTTGATGTCTCGATATCCCGGAATGTGGGGGAAAAACTAGTGACATTGGATCTATCCGAGCCAATACTGTTGGAGCTGGAGATAGTTGACTGACGTGCACCGGGTGCAATGTCAGTAAGAGGTGGTAATTGATTATCACAATCAAAGTATAGTGACTGATCAGTGACTGTACTTTGGCTCGAGTGTGGCGAGCTAATGTAAGTAGGCGTAACAACACCGCGTGGTTCATTAACATAGACATATGGCGAATTAAGGTTATCGGCACATCCAATGGGGGAATTGGCGTCACCTGGCAATTGATTATTAGAACCTGTAGCAGCGTTTATATAACTATTGTCATATTGATCACCTGTTTATTTAAAAATGGTTATTAGAATAAAATCCAAAGATATTGACAGCATTATTATTTTACCTATTGAGCTGGTATCAAGGGATGTAGTTACCATAGGAGAAGCATCTTGATAGTTATCCATCTTGTCACTGTGCATTAAAGAGCGACCATCCTCGGAAATTGTGCTGTCGATTAAAGCAGAGTTCGATTTTTTAGCGGACTTGGAGAACAAGATAAATTCAGCTCGAGCATGCTTGTTATCGGCAGACTTGGGGTGGGTATGGGCTCCCTCGATCTTGTTTCGCAAATCATCATAGCAAGCGATGCATATCTCCATGCCACAGCTAGCACATATATAGTGTTTGTCGAATATACTGGTAGAACAAGTATCACACAAATGTTTGTAACCTTCAGCGTAATACTGTTGAATAATTTCGTCGTTGTAGTAAGGGCGAGCATCCATTAAAAGTTTCAATACCCGTCGAAGTGTTGAACGAATTTGATTCGAGGCGTAATTTTTGGCACCTGGTGAATATGGCTTGCGGTTAAAGCGACGGCTTCGGCAGCTGCGCAATATATCGTCCTTTTTAGTGTCAGGAAAGTAAGGTCCGTAGACTAAACCTCCATCGATGGTTGAGATATCGAATAATCGTAATCCTATGAACGAACAAGGTTGTTCTTCTAAGCAACTATTACAAATCATGTCAAACTGATTGTAGGGCGGTGAGGTGCACGGAAATGCTTGGAGATGGGTCTCGACATTGTTATTCTTCGTGACCTTTTCATATAGTTTGGTAGCATTGCGCTTAGCTTGAGGATTTGTCTTCATTGTCGCTTAATATTTGCAAATGAAAAAAAAAAAAAAAAATTGCAAAGAGAAAGAAAGAGAAGGAAAAAAAAAATCCTTTGTCACCCTTTAAATAGTTTGTATCAGCCAGCCATTACAGCTATAAGTGCTTAAGCCGCTCCTTCTATTGACTGGTATAAAACGCGTTAGCACTACCTCCCACTTGATATATACGACAACCCCCATTGTCAAGCATTGTCGAATCGGCCACTCCCTCTCTTTTTCTTTTTCTTTTTTTAAGGCCGTCATCAGCAACTCATGTATGCCTGGGAACAATAAATTGTCATCAGTAGGAAAATGCCAAATTTATTGTTCAACCCTCATGATAATGGGGCTTCATTTCTTTTATTCTTTAAAACAATGAAGAAAACAATTCATCTGGATCAACTCAAAGTAGTTTATTCTTTTTCTCATTGTCATATCTTTAATTTTTTATCATTGTTTGCTATTGGAATTGGGAATCGTTATCCTTAAAAGTCAACATGTTTACCCCGATTTTGATTACAACATGTGAGTTTACACAATCAAAAAGTTCCCAATCTTGGTACTTGAACTATAGATTAGATGGAAATAAGAACGAAAAATGACTTATTACTAAGCCTATCTAAGAACTACGTAAGTGTGACAATGGGCAAAAACCGGTATTTTACTGTATATTTCACAACCATATCTGAAGTGTAGTTTGTTGCAAAAAACCATTTGTTATATATGTCTGCCATAAAGCTTGCATAATTGATTAAAGAGATGACTATTTCATCGATATCATAACTTAAACTTTTGTAGTTATACTATTTGACTTTTGCGCCAAAAAAAAAAAAAAAAAAAAAAAAAAAAAAAAAATAGGTGGCGATCAATGCTAGTATCCGGGGCCTACTTAACAAATCATGCATTCTTATTCCTGAGAATAACACACTGGAGAGAATTGTTTATGTCATTAAATAGAGCAATGTGTAATTCGCATGTGGCACAGTGCCGTATATGACGAGTGTCAATATCGGAAACAAGTATTATTGATTTGTTTTTTATGAAAACGAGAATTATTGTTTATTTGTTATTTATTTATTTGCCGCCCTTTTTGGTAGGACCGCCAAATAAGCGACGTCTGTCAAAATTCTATGCTTGTTCATCAAAATCTTGAAGCTGGTCACTGATAATATCTTTCTCGTGAGTACCTTTCAATCGAGTGTTTTGAAAGTGATAACTGATTATCGATTGAGTTACTAGTAAAAACAAGGAAGCAATAGCTAATTTTTTATTGTTATAAAAGGAAGAGTTGCATCTAGGATGAAAATGATGAATACGTCGGAAAATCAGAGGTTTTCCGTCACCGGTTAAATGTAAGCTCATCATGATAACTTTTAATTTTATTTTTATCTCTCGTGAATCAGTCGTGTATCTTCTAAACATTACGATATGTTGTGAGATGCACCTGATTTGATTATGAAAGCATTAAGGATGAATCAAAAAGATGAATAAATCTGAGCTTTATGAAAGCCCCTCTTGCTATTTTTGTTTGTCTTGTAAGAACGCCCAATTTAATAAAATATAGTGTGATAATTTATTACAAATACGAATCACGGAGATTCAATCTACATCTCTTTAATGCGTCTAAATGTAATATTACGTGTAACAACTGATGTAGTTTAACAGATAACCGCCATAATTTGAAACATGAATAAGAAAACTGAAAATTTAGTAAAAGGTTCAAGGGAAGCAAAAAGACATTTTAAATAGTCTGTTAGTTGTTTTTTTAACATTGAGAGGTGACGGAAAGTAATAAATCAAGTGTCGCTCATAAGCATACATTGGAAACAGAAAGTCTTTTCATATACGCCCAAATCCTGTCGTTTTGAGTGAAAACAGCGTTTAAATTTAAAGTTAAATCACTCGGGCTGTTATATCAGAGGTTTATTTATTTGATTATAACGCATTGGTTACTAAAATTATCAGAGATGCTGGTCATTTGGGTTTGGTTGATTCTCTTTGCAAATGCATGCTTGTCCATTTAGAGCGTCAGGATTGGGGTCTCATTATTTTAATGAAATTTCCTTAGCCTATGAAAATAACAGATTCATCCTCCAGTTTTAGACGCTCTGTCATATTCATTTTCAGATGCACCTTGCTACAATGGAAAGCCCTATAAAAAATTCCTCACAGATACTAAATTTCTCCAGGTCACAAAGGGTTTAATATAGGATTACTATCCATCACACCACTAACTAATTGTCTAAGTGTTAACTTCTTAAAAATAATAAAGTTTAAGTGCTTATGCCATTTTCATTTGTTTATCGTTTCATCCAAGAAAAACCAAGAAGGTGATTGGTTCTCTTTGATAGATATGAAATAATATCATTTCACCAGGACATCAAGTCGATTAACCAAAAGAAAGTGCAGATTTCATTACCTGGACACAGGTAAAAGAAGAGTTCAGCAGATGAGAGTAATGTATTGATATGTTTGTAAGTGTAGGGATTTTAGGGGTAGTGACATAATAACTCCTTGTGTTTCTTTTGACATGGAAAAAAAAAATCCCATTTATTGATGTTGTAATCAAATTTATTTTTACTCCCTATTTTAGTCTACTTTTTTGTTTACAAAAAAAAAAAAAAAAAAAAAAAAAAAGAATCATTTGTAATAAAGTTATTGTCAACAGGAAATGCGGCATAACTTAAAGAACATACAAACGCTTTCAAATCCTTTTTTCTGGTATGTGAGCATGCCTTCATTAATGCTTATCGATTATATGTGGGGGTTCTTGAAAGAACCTCTTGAGATTTTCATGGTTTAATTTTTTTATGGCAAAATTCAAAGTAGTACAAATCAGTTGTTTGGGTATAACATAATTCAACTGATGTATTAAATCATCAAACACAACAAGGTTACCATGCTTCTCTTTTCTTCTCATAGACTTTTTTTGATAGACAATGCCCATTAAAGGCATTACTTTCATCCTGGTGCTGAAGACTCAGTATATACCCTATATACCCATTGCCTGGTGCTAGAATATACCCTCTTTATACCCTTTTAAAAAATACCCTGAAGCCATCAAGAAGCTTTGTTTACTGTACATATACCCTGTAAATATTATCAAGTCTGTTTCAAACTTAAAGCAAATACAAGATCAGTGCCCTTGAAATAGACAAGAACAATTAAATCTTATAGACATAGTAATAGAAGAAAACAAGAAGAATAGTGGCCCGTGGACAAGAAAAATAATACCTTTTATGATTTGAAAATACTTTATTATATACTATATACCCTTAATTCTATATACCCTTATTATATTATATGCCCTTTACACTATATACCCATAATAATATACCCTTTACATTATGTACCATTAATACACTATATACCCATAATATTATATCATTTACACTATGTATACCCTTAAAACATACCCTTTACCTTCAAATATACCCCCAAATACTCAAAGCCTGGTGCGAAATGTACATAATATACCATGTCGTGTCTGTAAATACCTTCATACCGTAAATACCTCCAAGACTGTAAATAACTTCAAGACTGTAAATAACTTCAAGACTGTAAATACCTTCAAGACTGTAAATACCCCTAAAGACTGTATATAATTGTAACCCTGTAAATACCTTCAAGCCTGGTGCTTTAGACATAGAAATAGACATAGACATTTAGATATAGACATAGAAAAAAAAAATAAAGTATACCCAAGCCTAGTGCTTTATACCCCAAAAAAAAAAATATTATTTAGACAATGGCAATACCATCTAATACAAAAAATTCTTCTCTCTCTTTTTATTTGTAAACAAAAAAATAGACCAAAATAGTGACAAAGAAATTGTTTATAACAGCATCAACAAATGCAATTTTTTATGTATCCATAGAAATAAACTCATGGCTTTATTAATAACTTGATGTTCCCATACGTAGATATCCCTGTCATCTACATAACTTTTATTTTACCTGTATCCAAGTAATAAAGGCCACGTTTTAATATACCTGATATCATAATGAAATGATATCGTTTCACATGCAATAAAGAGCACCAAATGGTTCTGGCTAAAACAATGAAAGAATGGTATAGTTTCATTTTTAACCAGCGGAGACAATCATTGTTAACGTTTGGCCGGTTAGTGGTAGTCTTCTACAAAAGTCTTTGTGATCTGGAAGAATTCAGTATTCTTTGCGCGGCCTTTGGGAGGGCTTTTCCGTGTGGCATGGCATATCTTGATTTATTTGAGGCTATTCATTTGTCATTATTTAACCCATACAGAGATATAAATGCTGATTGACAGGCAAAAGACGATGTTGAATAGTCTAAAGGCACACATCAGAACTTGGAAGGTAATGACAATTTTAGAATCAAAACACTTTAATTACTGTCTTTAGTATGTCAAATATGAGAGCCTTTGGTAGATACTTTAGTACACCATATTGTTTAAAGCAATCAATACAATGGTCAAATCGAGTTTGTTAAAGTACTAATTTTTTTAAAAGTCCTTCTGTCGCACCCTAGCATTTTGTTCTCCCCTAGTTTTTTTTTCTACTACTTGTTCGTTTGATCTTTTTTTTTTTTTGACATGAACAGACTCATACTTTCAAAGGCCCTCAATCCTTTAAGACAAACCAAGAGTCAATGGGCTTCTGGTAAGCTTATTACTCTTTTGTCCCTGAATTCTAATCCTTACTAAACCCTGTTTCTTAAAAAAGTACGTTACAGTTCGACACAACAAGCTGAAAAGCCTGTCAAGAAAATGGTGACATATATGCATCCTACCGCACCACTTGCCAAATTCAACAACTCACTCTCTCATCACTTAAATGCACGTGGACCACCCAGACGTGTACTTGAGAACATTCTCAGGGTTGTTGATGACATTAAAAAACAAAACTTGCGTTTAGACTTGGGCACCTATAATGCTTTACTCACCGCTTATAGTCGTGTCAGAGAACAACGATCCATGATGCGTGTTTTGGAAGACATGGAGGAAAACAAGGTCGAACCCAACTTAGACAGTTACAACATTATCCTCGAGGTAAAATATAAGATCGAGTCATTTTTAAAAATATATTAACCAGTGTATAAATTGGCAGTCGCTCGCCTTTGTTGGCGATGTCAGATCACAATCCAAGATCAAGAACGAAATGAAGGAAAAGAATATCCCCCTGACAACCCAAACTTATTACCAATTATTAAACGGTATGTGCAAAGCGGACGAACTTGAATTTGCTTTGGATACATTAGACGAGATGAAAGATACAGGTGTTGCACCCAACTTGCACTGTTATGCTATTTTAATTGGATCCTGTCTTCGTTTATCCGATGCCAACACAGCCTTTGATCTTTTGAAAGATGCCGAAACTTCAGGTTTAGCTGTCGAGAGTCAACCTCGTGTGTATATGGATGTGATGCGTGCCGGTGCTAACGGCGACGCTGCCGATATTGTGAATTATTGTTGGGACAAGGCTGTGGGTGTACATACTTTGCGTCCTGATGAGGGTACCTGTTTAAACGTATTGCGTGTAGCAGCTAAGACTGGCGATACCAAGTTGGCTACTGATGTCATTCGTCAATTAAGTACTAGCGGATACCCTTACAAAGAGCATTATTTCACTCCCTTAATGGAAGCATTCACCGTCAAAAATGATTTAAAGAGCGCCTTTAACGTGTTGGATATTATGCGTGTATCTGGTATCCCCCCTTCCATGCGTGCTACTTTGCCTATCCGTAAACAATTGGATAGAAATGTGGATGCCATCGATAAGGCTTATTACTTGTTGGAAGAGATGAAGAAGGAAGACAAGACGGTAGATATTTCTGCTTTTAACGTGATTGTGGGCGCTTGTGCCGATGCCAAGGATATTGAGCGTACTATTGCCACATACCGTGAAGCTGATAGTTTGGGTGTCACCCCCAATGTCGATACATATAACGCTGTGCTTGAGGCTTGTATTCAAACACGTATGAAGGGTATGGGTACTGTGGTTGTGGATGAGATGAAGAAGGCAGGCATCAACCCTAACCTCGAAACCTATGCCAAAATGATCTCTCTTGCATGTACACAACGTGATTATGAAGACGCTTTTACTTATCTCGAAGAAATGAAGAGCTATGATATCGTGCCTCCAGAGATGTGTTATACTAACTTGGCCAAGAAGTTGGGTTATGAAAAGGATCCTCGTTTCCATATGGTTTTAGAAGAAATGGAGACTTTCGGTTATAAAGTGACACCTAGAATTAGACGTATGTGGACTTTTGAAAATGCGTCAGAATAAACTTTTTTTTTTACAATAGAGAATAATATAAATATATCGTTGGACCCTTTTTTGTTTTTGTTTTTGTATCACTTATTTGGCGTATTAGGCGAGTGTGTAATACAAAGCGAACCGGAAAAACGTCATTACATCATAATATGATATTTATATACTTTTCAACACATGCTTGAAATTGTAACGCAAAAAAAAAAAAAAAAAAAAAAAAAAAAAAAAAAAAAAAAAAAGGAGCGTAAAGGGTTCATGATGTTGATTTGTTTTTATTGAGCAATTATTATATTTGCACAAAGACCTAGTATCGCTTAATTAGAAGTAAATGTCGGCCAATCAGGAATTAAATTTCGCTCTCACAGGAACATGTCTGTAAATTTAGCTCTTCCATAAATTGAGTATATATATATTAGTCAGAGGGATCAACAATTATAAAAACATTAAATGACAAGAGTAATATTTATGCTCGGGATCTATTAATATTCTATAGTCCAGGCCTATTTGATTGTATTGCTTTTGCCCTGTGTACAGACTTCAACGGTAGGATGAGAACAAGCGGGGTAATATGTGATTCATGATTAAATTTTTATATTATTAATTAAAGAGAAACAGCAGCGAAACTAAAATCAAAAGTCACCCGCAATTAAGTGGTTTCTGTGGTTTTGGAGCTCAATGGTTACAGACTGGAGGATGAAAGATTGATTGTTCAAGTTGCTAACCGTGCTCGTATGTAAAAAAAAAAATATGAGGGTCAAATTTTGGTGGGCTCGGAGGTCAAAATGATATTTTTTATTTTGCATTGGAGGGGTGAGGTGCTCAATGTGCCTAAATTTTTTCGGGAAATAGTGTATATGAATCACATATCTTGAGATTGTTTTATTTATACATGCTGGTTATTATAATACACATATAGCTGCCATATGTTGCTCTTTTACTACACGACCAGGAAGTAGAGTATAGTTTGTATTTTTCTAAGAACTATGCGTATCAACTTCAATTGTTGAATGTGAAGTATCTCCAGCCTTCTAGATTATGCACATAAACTATCTTTTACCTCAAAATACCCAACTAGCAAGATTCAACGAGCTTTTAACCAAAAAGTATATCAGAAACATTTATGTCATTGAAAAATAAAAGTGCTGCATGATGATTGGCTCCAATGATCCCGCTAACATTATAATTTGATTTAGATTAACTTCGTCATTTTTCTTTTTTATTTTTTATTTCTAGTTTATAAATGTCCTATCTTTCTGCCGAAAAAGCAGAGACTGAGCTCGCTCAGAGTATTAAAAAAGCATGCAGTGTAGAAGAAACTGCTCCCAAACAAAAGCACGTCCGAAGTAAGTTTTTTTTTTATTATTATTCTTTTTTGTCCGGGATGAAATACTAATGACCTCATAAACAACAGAATGTATTGTATACACTTGGGATCACAGAACTTCAGCCATTATCTGGAATATTCTGAAAGTCCAACCTTTACTTTCAGATGAGATACAAGCATTCAAAGCGCTTATTCTTGTTCACAAGATTGTTAAAGATGGCCATCCCAACGTATGACAAAAAATAATATTCCCCACCACGCGGTAAAAGACTAAATATATACATGTAGGTCATTAAAGATGCTCTTCGAGAAACAGGTTGGTTGGAGACGTGTGCTCGTAGTGTCAACGGCGATGGTATGCGTGGTTATGGTAACCTCATTCGCTCCTATGTCGATTTTCTTTTACACAAACTTCAATATCATCGTACTCATCCCGAGTTTAACGGTACTTTTGATTATGAGGAATATATCAGTTTAAAGAACATCGATGATCCTAATGAAGGGTAAGAAAAATAAGAAGGAAAGGGGAAAAGGAAGGGGGATGGTAGGGGCCATACGATTTTTATACTGACTCATTGAATGCAGCTTCGAGACTATCAACGATTTAATGACCTTGCAGGACCACATTGATCGATTCCAAAAGGCTGTATTTGCTAGTTTCCGTCATCACTCTAATAACGAATGTCGTATTGCATCTCTTGTGCCCTTGGTAGAAGAAAGTTATGGTATCTATAAATTTATCACTAGTATGATGAGAGCCATGCATCAAAGTAAGTGAATCCTTTCCTCATACCGCACATAAAGTTAATAAGAAGCTAAAATTTATAATGATAGGAACCGACGCATCTGAAGCACTCGCACCACTTCGACAAAAATTCAATACTCAACATTATGCACTCTTAAAGTTCTACTTTGAGTGTTCCAATTTAAAATACTTGACAAGTCTCATTAATGTACCCAAGCTTTCTCCCGACCCACCTTCTTTAATCGACGCTAGTACACCTCAACCTCCCAAGCGACCCGAGATTGCTCGTATTGAAGCCGCACCTCCACCAGCCCAAGCGTCTCCTGAACCTGTCATTGATTTCTGGTCCGAAAAGCAAGCACAACAACAACGTGAGTATGATGACCAACAGCAACGTTTAGCTCAACAACGTGCCGAAGAACAAGAGAGATTGAGACAGATGCAAATGCAACAACAACGTGAATATGAGGAGCAACAAAGACAGATGGCAAACTTAGAACGTCAAAGACAAGAAGAATTAATGAGACAACAATCTTATCAACAACAAAGTGGTAGAATCAATGAATTGGAAATGCAAGTTTTAAACGGCCGTAATCAATTGGAGCGTAATCAAATGATGTTGGAACAATATGACAGAAGAGTGAAGGCTCTCGAACAAGAATTGGCTTCAGTGAACGCAAACTCTCAATTAAGAGACCAATCCAAGGACGAATTGATCCGATCTCTCCAAAGTAATAATGGTCGTATTGGTTGTAACTGAACGATGTTTTAACACGCCCTTCTTTTTTTACTACAGACGAAATTCAAATGTGGAAGAATAAGTACGAGGCTTTAGCTAAACTCTATAGTCAATTGCGAAAGGAGCATATTGATTTATTAAACAAGTACAAGGCCCTCCAAGTCAAGGCCAATTCTGCTCAAGAAGCCAACGAGAAAATGGAACGTCTTCAGGCTGATATGCGTGCCAAGAATATTGAACTTGCTGATTTAATCCGTGAGCGTGATAGAGCTCGCAACGAATTAGCTCGTCTTCAAGGTGTAAGTTAGTCTAATAATATATCGAGTTAAAGAAATCAATTTAACTCTTTTTTATGTATAGAATCAACGTGATGATATGGAACGTTTGCGTCGTGAATTGGAAGATGCTCGTAACCAAGTGCAGAATATGGGTAGATCCAAGGGTGACGAAGTTAGTGCTTTATTAGCAAGATTTAACAAGGAAAAGTCGGATCTCGAAGCTAGTTTGATTGAAAAGCAAGCATTGATCGATGAATTCCTCAAGCAAATTGAAGATCAACAAGGTGAAGCAGACCATATTCGTCAAGAAAAAGATGAAGAAATTGCTGTTTTACAAGCCGGTATGGATGAATGTCTTTCTCAACTTGCAGAGTTGCAACACGTAAATATTCCTTTTTTTTTTTATAAAAATATCAAAAATGCTCACCTACATTGATTAGAACGATAAACAACAAGATTTGGAGGAAGAACTTAGTCGATTGGAAAGTGAACAGTCTGATAAACTTAACCAGATTTTGGGTATGTCAAAAACTGGCTGGATTTTACATCATCCCTTTACTTTTTTTTTTTTTTTTTTTTTTTTTGCTAATAACCTTTATTAGATTGCATTTTGAGCACCTGCGTCCAAAAAATCAATGACAGCATTTACGAACTTGATCAGCCTGGTTCTCATGGTAAAGAGAATTCCACACCTGAATTAGCATTATCAATGATCGAAAGAGCCAGTATTACATCTGTTGAATTCATGTCTGCTTTCAGTAAATTTTTGGATGGAAGTCAAAGCGGAGATCATACAGGTACCATCACACGTGCACTTGAATTCTCAGACACCATTATCGATGTTCTTCAACATTCTAAGGGTATCACTCAATTTGTGATGCGTGATGAGGATGGCGAGGAGTTGATTAAGCTTGGTAAAGGATCTGCTGAAGCATGTATTCAATACTTTAGTAGTGTCATGTCTAGCTATCTCAAAATGTTACCACGATCTCAAAGACCCGAGGTTGTCATCCAAGGTGATATGAGAGTCCAGGAGGCCCTTACCAAATTATCGCAAAAGACCGAAGATTTGATATTGACAGGTGCTACTGATATTAACAGAATGGCAGAAGGTGAAGTAGGTGATCTTGTTGAGCAAGAAATGACTAAGGCTGCTCGTGCCATTGAAGAAGCTTCAGCCAAGATTCAAGACTTGATGCGTCGTCCTGCAAACCCTTCATTCTCTGCTACGGATATCCAAGTCCATCAGTTAATCTTGAACTCTGTTTTGGCTTTAACCAATGCCATTGCTAACTTGATTAAATGTGCTACGGCTTCTCAACAAGAAATTGTTTCTCAAGGTCGTGGTTCTGCTTCTAAAGCTGCTTTCTATAAGAAACATAACCGTTGGACTGAGGGTTTAATCTCTGCTGCCAAAGCAGTGGCTATTGCCACCAATCTTTTGGTCGAAGCTGCTGATGGTGTGATCAGTAAGACACATTCGCTTGAACAATTGATCGTGGCCTCCAACGAGGTGTCTGCTGCCACTGTTCAATTGGTATCTGCATCTCGTGTTAAGGCTAGTTTCATGTCTCGTACCCAAGATCGCTTAGAAATGGCCGCTAAGGGTGTCAAGGATGCTGCTGCTGAACTTGTTAAGCAAGTCAAGGGTTTGGTTGCTCAACAAAATAAGATCGAAGCTGTTGATATCGATTTCAATAAATTATCCGTTCATGAGTTTAAGCGCAGAGAAATGGAACAACAGGTCAAGATTTTAAAATTAGATTCTGAATTAACAAATGCTCGTCGTGTTTTGGCTGAAATGAGGTAAAATTATGCAATTTTTTTGTACATGTTCTTTTCATTAACTTTTTTTTTTCGCTTGTAGACGTAGTGGTTACCATACTGAAGAAACCGATTAAATACACACTCACACTCAAACTCACAAACACGCACTCTCAAACACACATTCCCTATTCCTTCTCATTCATATTAAACATCCAATAAAATAGTATACATGATTGGAATTACATTTTATTAATGCAAAAATTAGATATTTTGTTATGGGTTTGATTTAGGACATCTCTTAATACGTTTCTACGACTGCATCGAACAACTGCTCTGGGTAGTTATGGTGAGGCAACCCCCTGGTTATAAAGTGTCAACTTCCCACCTTTCAGTAAATGATCGTACTCGTCAAATAACGTCGTCCTATATCACAATGGGTCGGGAATGGTCTTAATGCCCTCTTCTAATTACAACAAATAGCATAAAATTAGCCGACAAAAAAATACATGATTGATTTATTATTTAACTTGGCCGGGAAACAAGAGCTAGTTTACAGATTGTGATTTCGATGGAAAAAGAATAATATGACTATTCTGTGTTTAGCACGGCATATTGCTATATTATTTCAAAGTTGATGGCTAGATATCCCTTTCAACACAAACTATACATTTACATTTTTTTTACAGTGAGATAAGCGGGGTCGATTGTTCTTCCTCTTGATTTCGCTCCTCTTCTTTAGTATCCATGTATTCCTGCATGTGATTTGAGACATTGTATCCGAATGCCTCCATATCTTTAATTGCCAAATCAAGTCTAGGATCGTTGGCAGCAGATAGTACCTTGACCAGCTTAAAATAACATCCACGCATGGGTGTCATTTTTAATTTCTTCATCTTTTCCAAGTATTTAAATGCATCCTCAAAGTCCTTCTGTGTACACATCAAGGTGACCATTTTACTTAGTGTGGTAGAACTCGCTTTTACACCCCTTGATAATTCCTCTCTATAAATTGTAGTACCAAGGTCAGCGTCCCTACAATGAATACATGCATCCAATGTTGCGTCTAATGTTTCTGTATTCGGCTTTACACCAAATTCTTTTGCTCTGGCGTAGGTAGCGAATGCTTCATCATACTGTCGATTATAAGCAAAAGAATGAATGATTAAATTAAACGCAGAGATATCGACTTCTTGATCCTCTGCTTTGGCCAATTCTTCCAAGACATCTCTGGCTCTTCGGATGGCGTTGACATCGGCCCCCAATTTGCGTGCGATGGGTAAAGCAGCTTTTTTGGTAGGAACGATACCTAATTTTCGCATGGCTGTAAACACCTTAAAGGTACTGGCGATATCACCGGTGGAAGCAAATGCTTCGATGAGAGGGGAAAAGTGACATTCTCGAAATGTATAGCCTTCTTCTCCCAAAAGTCGAATCACATCGGCAGCCAGTTCTGGATCTCCATTTTTGCCAGCAAGGGTAAGTACGTGTAAGCAAACACCTTCGTCTGGTTTAAAGCCATGTTCTGATACTGCTTTTTCCCAATTTCGTTTTGTGGTTTGATACTACCCAATACGTTTAGTACGATATAATAAAGGATTGAAAAAAAAAAAAAAAAAAAAAGCTTACTTGTCCCTCATACGAAGCAGATCTTAGCACATGCATATACAAGAAATTGTCTTTTACTCTAAAGGTTGATAGTTTTTCTGCCTCTTGTAATAAATCAGAAGCGATTTCGGGTTGTCGCAATTGGACTGCCATATCAATAATACTGAGATAGGTCAATAATCCAGGTACAATCTTTTGTGTTTTCATCAGGTCAAAGGTATCCAAAGCTCTTTCGAGTTCTAAGCTTTCTCGCATACATGCTAACATTAAGTGGTAGGTCTTTGATGTGGGTTTGTAGCCATGGATCTCCATGCGATGTAACAAATGAGCCTGCGTGGTTGAATTACCCGATTTTGCTGCCAGCTACATAACTCGTTAACATGGTATTCCAACCCTTCTCCGTGTGTCAGTTTACCTGTAAGGCTTTGTGATAAAATGTTCGACTTGGTTTAATGCCCTGTGATTCCATTTGGTCCGCAAGTTCGAGTGAAATATCATGATCTGCTTTAGAATACGCACTAATGATATGCTCATAGGTCTCTGAATCAAACGCTTCGCCACTTTGTCGAAGCTCTTGTGCAAGTCTTAATATATGTGTTACGGTAGTTCGACTTCCAAGATTACGTGCTGCAGAATCGTCAAGGACTCGAAACATCTTCATATTGATTTCTGCCAACAGGTTGGTTGCATAGTTTCGACATGGCGTGAATCGTAAGCAGTCTACTCTTAAAAAAATTAGGTCTTCTTTTCTTATACTTAAAAACTTGGTCACTTATTTGATTTTACTTTTAGTAGGTGAACACTTTGCCAAAAAGAAAGTACGTCGAAACATAATAAGGGATACCCAAAAAGAAGACCTCCCCCTACTGGAAATGAGCTCCACCCCTTTTTTGTACAGAGTGACTGCCGTTTCTCATGAGCATGAAATGAGGTTCGTGAAACAATGACCTTTCAAACACAAGTTGCCCATCAATTAACTATTACCGAGGGAAAATAGAGGACATCACTGCTTGGCGGTTTGTCATAAAACAATTTGAATGAAAACGTATCAAACTCATTGTAATATCCATGATAATGATACAATCTGCGTCAGGGCAAGACAATCAGCCGTTTGTAACATATATAATTCGTTATTCTTTTTCTTTTCTGCTCATATTATATCTATAAACAAACTAGAGATGAGAGAACACAAGATGCCCACAAGAAGTTATGCAGGTGATATCGAGACGACGGCCCAATATATGGTGAAGAAAGTCAAAAATGTAAATCTATCATGGGAGGATCTTCATAATATTCATCCTGATTACATCAAGTATATCTTGGAAAAAGGGTTTGACATGCATGAACGGTTTTATGCCTACGTCATGAAGTTTTCTGAAGTATGTGGAGATAGTTCGATGGTTATAACTAACATCATTGAAGAGCTAAAAATTGCAAAAGCTGGAGGAAACATCAGCGACGCTGTCGGTTTAGAGATAAGGGAGACTAGCAAAAAGCTCGGTCAATTCCATTCATACTTTGAATCAGAAGGATATATTTTTCTTGATAGTATAAATACATGTGAAAAGGATTTAAAGATAGTAAAAGCCAAGGAACGCGAGCAGTTGCCAATGGATAGACTATCTCTCTTCATGAGAACTGCAGATGATTGGGTAGAACGATTATACGCTGAAGCCAAAAAGACAGGTGTCAATTTAAGTGACAAACCTGTACCGAACGATGTGCTTCTCAAAGAACTATCCCATGGAATGAGCTGTCTGCAGGATGGGTTCAAATCTTTCAGTAATTTATTGGATATTGCCGCTTTTGATTTGATTACAAGTTTGGAGTTTTTTATAGAAGTACAACAAAGACCTAGAACTACCTTGGATGGGCAAGTTGCTGATTTTGGCCAATATGTTCAACTTCAAGCTGAGAGCATGATTAAAATTGCACAAGCTATTCAGAAGGGGTTTAAAGATTTCAATGCAGAGATGTCAAAGAACAAGAAACTTGCATGCAAGTTTTTCGATAAATAGTTTGACACCATTTCTATTTTTACCAAACACATTTTAATATATAAAAGGAAACGACTGTAAATTAATACTTGAAAACCTGTACATAACCTGATTTAGTTACCATGTTAATAAGTTAATAAATAGATGGTTTTCTTGAGATACTACTTCAGTTGTTTTTCTCACTTAAAAAATGGACCTGCAAGAACGAGCTTATAATTTACTCAATTGGATTGGAGAAAACATCAACCTATGGGGTCAATTCCATAAGGAGCACAATCAGAACGGACGCCGTTTAAGCAAAGAAATCGATGAAGCTTATTTTTTGTTCTATAGTTCAATTAAAGAATTAGCTGATAAGTATGATGAAATTATCGCCTACTTGGATGGAGTCAATGTCGAATTTGAAATAGCCAGAGAAACCGAAAGTTTTGAAGTCGAAATTCTGATAGAACTTAAACAAACCATGATTGGAATGCTGGAGTTTCAAGAAAATAAACGAGAATGCAGTCAAAGCACTGCTGAACGGCTTACAATTGGTCATAAAGAAATTGAAAATGAAATACTGAAGATAACCAGTGATAGTAAACAAGTAAGCGAAAATGTGGTCAACTATGGCACAGGCATTGGTGCTTCCCTAGGTGCCATTATTGGTGATTTATCTATTGCTCAAAGGGGAGTTATTGCAGCTTACTTAGGTCCAAAAAAATTTCATATTTTCTGCACCCTGGGGTGTAGCCTGATTCTTGCAATAGTATCTGGTTTAAATAACTATTATGGCAAGACGGGTTTAGAGAAACTCAGCAAAACAACACAGTCTTTAATCAAACATATGGCTGATTTACAGAAAGATTTTATATATTTCCAGTGTGAAATTAACAAGATGCCTCTGGAAATCAATAACTATATTGCATCAGTTTCCAAATGTATCAAATACTCAACCCCAAATGATCCTCAATCTATGGCATATCGCATAAGAGTCAAAAAAATGTCTGAAAATATGATCTGGTCTACAAAAGCACTAAACGAGAAATTTATACAAATTAGAGACATGGCAAGGTGTAAAGAGAAAGAATTGCTACAATTTATAGTGCTCTCTGACAACCATAAACCACTAACACGTTTGATTGAACAATAAACCCATGTTTACCCTGCATAAAAACCAATACACGATTAATAAATTGCTGTCATTTTAACTAAATTATGGTGAGTAGACGCGTCTAAAGTTTATTTTTGATAGAAAAATTACGTATCATACATAGTTGAGTATGTATCTTGATAAGCAATCATAATCTATCTTTCTCCCACGCAGTGTAATTGATACATCGATATTAAGTGTATAAAATGCAATGGGGTTCCCTCATTACTTCCAATCGGTTTTTTTTAAAAAACAAATATAATTTTTCATGGGCAATAACAATTCCTTAATTCATGTGGAAAAAGTTCAGACTGAAGAAATTGAGCAAGAATCCCAGTTATTGATTGAGAAAGCGCATGAGGAGCATGTAAAATACTACCGCCTAATGAAAAATGTGTCTGGAGATTGTGAAAATTATATTGCATTTTTGGATAATGTTTTTCAAGAATTCATTATTGCAAAAGAAAAGAAATTTTTTGACGCATCGTTCACAAACGAGCTTAAAGAAAGTATTTTCAACATATTAACAGAAATGCAAGCCAAAGACATTGCTAGAGAAAATTTATCAAAAGAATTTATTGATTGCATTGGCGAAATTTCTGACTTAGATAGAAAAATCGACCATCAAATAAAAAACCATGCAAGTAATAATACTATGCTTATCGAAGGCGCTGGCTCAAGTGGTGCCATATTAGGTATGACAATTGCTGGTATTGTAGCCACTGGAGCTACTATGGGTATATTTGGGGCTATAATGCTTGGAGCGCTTTGCGGTGGTTTAATACTGGGAGGTGCAGCGGCTGCTATTACGCATCACCAAAAAAATGATTTGATCAAACTTCAGAATGTAGTAGAAAAGTTAAAGGATAAGATGGATAGTCTAAGCGTAAATTCCATTGAAGTAAAAAAAGTTTTGATAAAATGTCCTGTGACATAGCAGGCTATATCAAATTGGTAGAAAAATGTATCAGGTACTCTTGCGAAAATGAAGAAGAAAATACAGTCGATGAAATAAGAGTTGAAATAATGGCGGAAAACATGATGGAAAAAACAGAAGAGCTGAAGGATGGTTTTAAAAAAGTTCGTGATCTTGCGAGGGAAAAGCAATCCGAAGTACGAGAACTGATCTATCGTCATAACCCACATGATCTTTTAATTGCTGATCAATGAAGTTTATTGATGTCGACTGAAGGAATAATTTTAAAAAAAAAGTTAATAAATTAGTCAGAGATAAGTTGCATATTAACAACAAAGACGTGTCTCTTTATTAAAGAATGATTATGTGTCATTAATCATTAGTTTTTACATTCAATCAAAAAACATGCTTATAATGTGTTCATTGTTCTTTTTAAGCATTTACCTAAAAACTAACATTTACCCCCTTTTTTTTGCTTGTTAGTACAGAATTAATATAAAAGAAAAAGAAATAGTATGTGGAATCAAGTCAATATAAAACACCAACAAAACTTTCATAGGCTACGTCAAGAAGCTTTATATGCTTCTTATACTTTTCAAAAGTACAGTGGAAGAACAATATCTGACGAATGTAACAAAAAACTCGCCTTTATTGATCCTGTTATTGCCATGCTACAAAATGCAAAGAAAGAGCAGAAATTTGGCAAACATATCCAGACAAAGCTTAAAAAAAATATTGCTAATTTTATGGGAACAAGATATATAGAAAAAACATATATTCTAGAAGCTTTAAACGAGCTCCGTAATTGCAAAGAAAGGAGCAGAGAAGAGATACTTCAAATAGAATCAGATTTATATAGTAGAAGAGGCCCTTACCAACCTCTTTATATCGCCACTTTAGTTATTACAGCTGGAGTGGCTCTTTCTCTTTTCTTATTCATCATAAATATAATGGCAAACAAAACCGATATCGCCAAAGCTGGATTCGTTTTATCGAGCATGGCAGTATGCATAACCATTTATAAAGATTCAAAAGTGGACGAACTCATGGATGTAATCGACGGCTTAGAAAAGACTGTTTATATGATAAACAGTTTTGAGACCTCGTATGTCACACACTGCTCTATTGTCGACGCGATAGAAACTTCAGCCAAGTCACTTGTAACATTGGTGGAAAATTGTAATAAATACAATCAATACGACGATCTTGGAAGTGTTGAAATTGAACATCTGAAATTTGCCATGATTGATTTTACATTGTGTCAAGCAAATATCATAAAAGATTCAAACGAGAAATTTATGCTAGAAGCAGAAAGGATGGTATCCACCCTAAGAAAAGATATCTCTGAGTCTTATGTGGGCTTGATCCGAGACTAAATTCGATACATTGCATTACAAAGTAAACCTTATTTTAATGAAACTGTAAATTTAAATAAAGATAACCAAACTCTAACATGAGACAGTAAGCAAAGGCACAACTATTGTGAATGAGGTGACTTAGGGGAATAAAATTCAGTCAGACGATGAAATACGGCTGTTATCTTCACCAAAACTACCACGCAAAGGTAATCCTAATAAAAGTATCGCCATCAACTACTATTATTCCGTACGAATAACTAACAGCAGTGATTAGCCTGACCAATCCTTGAGATAATGGGGGGGGGGTGCGGCTCTACATCCGCTAAAGCTTTTTTCAAATTCTTGAATAGGAGAGCAGGATGGGAGGTATACAGTCATAATGTCTTTTTTTTTTTATGATCACATAATCAACGAGAATATGACTGTAAATTAATATATATGAATACCATCGACATTATTAAGCATCATCCGCAGTTTACATCAACATTTTAAGCTGTTTTTAATCACAGAAATGTTCTTATGGTTACAACACAAAACATACTTTAATAGGCTTATAATTTTATAAAGGGCAGAGAAGAATGCATACTTCACACGGCTAATTGTTGCAGCAAACATGTTTATTTTTGTACTCTTCAGTATACGAACTTGAGAATATATCTGTTTTTTATTTATCATCTAATACTTTCTTGCCTACTTTTTTTATCAGTAAAGACACCTGTGAGTATAATTGGAGCTCACTGATAGCCTCCTTCGAACCTAAAAATGTACTCTAGTAGGCATACTTACCCTTTTATAAACCTCAGTTTACTTTGGATAGGTACTTTTATTTAATCTACCAATTTGGGCTTGTTATGTGGAATTGAAAGATGATGGTTGATGGAGTCTTATTCCATATTTTTGTATTCTATTTTAAAGATTGCTATTGATCAACTATTTGGCTTATTGATGCTACACTTTACTCTTAAAAGTCTATTCCTGTCATTTACTGTCCTTTTGGGGTGTCATTCAGTCTCATATGGGCTGCCTGTGATTAGCTTTCCACGTCGTAAAAGATGATCGAAAGGCTATACTGAAACAGATCGATCATCTTGACAACCCTATAATTGAGGGAATATGTTTATTGATACACAAAAAGAAAAAAGTAGACTAAAGTAGGGAGTAAGATAATTTTATTTGCAGCATTATGTAAACGAAACATAAACAATTTTCAAAAGAAAATGAGCATCTTTTACAATAAAAACGCTATCCATGCAAAAGTAAAAGATGCAAGTGCATCATGATTGTAGGATTTTCATCATTGAGAGTAAGCTTTTACTTGTATACATTTATCAAAAGCTATACTCTTTGTTTATCTGATGTCATAATGAATTAATATTCTCTCACATGAAGAGATTTTATTTTCTTGGCTGAAACAGATAAACAAAAAAACAAAAAAAAAGGTATAAAAAACAGGCAGATTTTGTATTTTAGAAAAAGTTCGAGACGATCATCACTTAACAACGGCGCTTATATTTAGTGATGTGCTGGCGAGTAATCTTTTAGAGAACTCTTTGTGACCTGGAGACGTCTAGTATCTTTGGGGGACCTTCTGGTGAGCTTTTCAGTGTTGCATGGTATGTCTTGATGTGAACGGGGTAAGTGTCTAAAACCGGAGGGAGTATGTGGGTTGTTGGATCTTGTGGCTGTGAGGAAAATTCTCCCGTGGGTGTGGCGTCCCCTTTACCGGCATCATAAATCCTGTAGTGATCGTTGGGGTGTATCATGTCCGTTTCCGCTATTGATTTTCTATACATCTTCTATACCGCCATAGAAATGCTGTATACTTTTTGTATAATGGGGCAAGTTTCTCAAAATTAAGGTAATCTACTGCTTATCAGTATGGTTTTTTTTTAGGTTTTCTGCTCTTTACGCTCTCGTCTTTTCTTATAAATAAAGATTCGAGAAGGGAATGCATAGATACAAGCCTCCGCGCGGCCATTCCCGGGCAACACTCTTTTGTAGAGTGGCTAGTGTGTATCTTTTTTTTTTTTTTTTAAATAAAACTTGTGCTTTTTAAATATTAAAATAGTCTTTACATTTGTTGTCTTACATAAAAAAATAAAATAGATAGTGATCAATACAGTAGAGTAGCTCAGCCAACGTTTACCATAAACTTGACGAGAGTGTTATAAGTAGGGCGAAAAGCAGAAGAGATGATAGCGTCAGAGTTTTAGTGAAACTCCCCAACAATGAGAACCCAATGACTGCGCCAGATGGCAAGAAGAATAAAAACATTTAAAAGAACCCTTTCGGATCTAACTGTCACCCGAACGGTGAACTCTACTGGTTATGGGAGTAAACAGCACTCGATACTTAAGCGATTTGGAAAGGGATCAGACAATGAAGCAAGTATTTCCATGGGGAAAACTACATTGTAAAGATCAACATTAAAACTCGCTTGAATATGACGAGGATGCCCAAGTTATGACCGGTAGTAGATATGCTCATCAAGCCAGTTACCTTTTCAACACGTAGTAAAACTGCTTAACAATTAACAGCTTCTGCTTCCGCGAGGGACGTACGCTTGCCGCTCCCGTTTTTTTTATGCATGCAGTACTTATTTTAGTCATTTAAACCCATATTGAATGATACACAGGCAGCTTTTTAAAATCAAAATACGATAGAAGAAACGAGACATTAAAAGTAACATAAAATAAGTAAAATAAACGAATAAAGTGTCTTGGTAAAATGACCCATACTGTGTATATCTATGTTTTTTTGTGATTTAAAAAACTTGTGCCACTAACAACCAGTTATTGGGAAACTATTGTAGGAATTGGAGAATAGAATTTTCTGGGTGGAGGTGATGATGGTCTTGGCTTAATACACATTTTTAAGGTAGATATTAAACCTTCTTTTGTCCTTTAATCAGAGAAAATTATCAGCCTTTACATCTTCTAAAAGTCTCCTAAATCTTTTCTGCAATTCCCTGCATATGATCTTTAATGGTGGCAAGACTTCCCCACAAGCAGGTAGGATATTTTCCTATCGTCAGGTGATTTTATTTTTCTTTTATATAAACACATTTTTTGTACTGTGGAGGATATTGTAAATACTTTGTCTGGAAGAAGTAAATCAACGACATATGGACAATTACTTATTATCAAGATATTGTTACAATCAGATTCTATTGCGTATTGGATTTGCCTCTCAGAACAATTTGGTTCCTATATATAAATAAATATAGTTTTCTCCATAAGCCATGTGAATTTTCTCTCTCTCTTTTTTACAGTGAAGTGATATAAAAAGTTTAAATAGTATCTCTTTGTATTTAATGAGCCAATTTTTATTTCCATGCAAAACACGTAGTTAGTCTTTTTCTGTATAATAATTATAAGCGTTCTACATTTATACTTGTATTTTTTTTTTTTTTTTTTTTTTTTTTTTGCTGCTTCTGTCCTGTCAATGCACCTCGGCTGGTCGTTTTCAGTGATTACTTATCAATTCAATAAAAAAAAAGTGGCTCTACAACAAAACGACGCTTGTTTTTCAGATGAATATACTCATTCAAGGAAACAACAACCTCAAGATCTTTTATATCCTCAAGACGGTTCCATGCCTCATAAAACCAGACGAAATAATTTTCTTCAATGTATAAATATTATAAAGACATGTAGAGTTGCAAGTCAATCTTTCAAAAGAAAAAGTTTAATTATAAAATGATAGTGATGAATCAGATAAATGTATTTACAGTATAAATATCAAGATATTTAAGTTAATTATACTACAGCAGAGGTTTGTTGAGAATTGATACTCATAGCTCTCTCTCTCTTCTTACGCTGGAAGATTTTAGCAAGGCCATCCCATCCGCGCAAAATTTGGTATAAAAGAATGGCTGAGTAGGTAGGAAGCCCGATACCATCTAATTGGAAGTTGCCCCACTTTAAAGTAGTTTGCATAGAAGCACCAAGAACAACTACAACATCAGTTAGTATATACAAGACATATAAACCCAAATATATTACTTACCAGGGATACCGGCGACCAACATGTTTCTAGAATCCTTAAAGTCAACTCCATTTTCAACCCAGATTCTAGCACCAGATACAGTGATTAAACCGAAAAGAATAATGGATAAGCCACCGAATACACCAGAAGGGATGGTATGAATAGCTATTGAAAGAAAATTAGTACAGTGGTTGACATACAAAAGACTCTATTTTCTTACCAGCTCCGAACTTTTGAATGAAACCTAAAAAGATGGCAATGAAAGCAGCGATCAAAAAGATCAAAGTGGAAAAGATTTGGGTAACAGCCATGACACCAATATTCTCAGAATATGTGGTTGTACCGGGACCACCACCAGAAGCAGAGACGATGGTAGCAAGAGCGTCACCTAAAATGGCACGTGCCAAGTACTTGTCAAGAGGCTGTTCAGCCATGGCACCGACGGCCTTAATATGACCTAAATTCTCCGCTAAAAGTACAACACAGACGGGTACGATAATACTGATAGCTTGTCCTTCAAATTTAGGCTTAACAAATTTGGGGGCAGCGAACCAAGGAGCATCATAGACACCAGTATAATCAATGACAGGACCATGACCACTCCATCCAACACCGAAATAAATAAGGTAACCAATAACCATACCGATCAAAATGGGTACACGCTTGAGCATACCAGGGGCATACACACTGACTAGAGAAATTAGCATGATTGTGGTAAAAGCCATCCAACTATCGAATGTTGTAGCGGTGGCATTTTGGAAGGCGGAGGTAGATAAATGAATACCAATGGTCATAACGACAGTACCTGTGACAACTATTTAACAGCGAACGTTAGTGCTTGTTTTAAAACTCCCTTCCGTTCCGAAATGGGATAAAATGAAAAGTTTTTTTTAATAACTTACCAGGAGGCATAACAACTTCAATCCAACCATGACCAACAAAGTAAATTACTGTACCAATAAAACCGTATACTAAACCACAAACGAGAATTCCGCCAACGGCGACGTCAGTGTGTTGGTTGCCGGGACCATTAGGAACATAATTGAAACCAGTCGCGGATACAACGACACCAATAAAACCAAATGAAGAGCCAACATAGGATGGAACTGTCGGGTTTAATTATATTTAGTACACTGTACAATAATTTATATAGAAGCTATATTTGGTTTACCTCTTCCACCAGTAACAATGTAAAAGATAATTGTTCCGACGCCAGAAAAGAATAAAGCAGCTGAGAAGAAAAAATAAATAAAAAAAAAATTAATGACCTGTCAAAAATTTTCATTTTAATTGGACTTACTATTAGTGTCGAAACCCATCATGAGAGGAGCTAATTCTAGTTTTTAATATATGGATTGTAATTACTTGTGATGTAAACACATACCAAGTACGGTGGAGCCAAACATTGCCAAGACATGTTGCACACCCATTAACAAACATTGGGGTAAAGAAGGTCTTTCGTCAATGTAAATAACCCCTACATATTTGTTTAATACAAATGTCAAATGCAGGTAAAGTTTCTTATAATTTTACCTGATTTCTTAAGCTTATATTTTGGGAAATAGTTGACTACGGTTTGCAGAGAAAACAACTTGTGTCCGGTTGAGATCCCCTTTGTTTCGTCACTGGAACCGGCTGCACTGTAGCTTTCTGCCAAGTCATGGTTTGGCTTATGAGTCGAATCAAAATCTTCGGGAAACTTCTCCATAGTAACCAAACTTTATTTTATTTGTTATTAAAAAAAAAAGATACTTTGGGGAGGAAAAAAAAAAAAAAAGAAAAAGAAAAAGAAGAAAAAAAAAACTTTTCAAAATCAAGACAGCTTAAGTACTTTTCTTGCGAACCAATCATATCAAGGAAATTACGGGCCACGAGACACCATGTATTACGGTCCCCAAATCAAGTCTGTGTGAACACACATTGGCTTTATTTTACTTTCTTTTAAAAAAAGTAAAAACAAAAAAACAAAAAGAGGTAGTATATTTGAAAATGCTATCGTGTCATGTTAATAGTGTTATCTATCGACGATCGTCTATATTACCAAACTTAATTCATCATAAAAAAGGAAATACGTGTCACAATCGCATGTTCTTATAAACACTTACTATTCACACCCCTACCAGCTCTTTGATAGGCATAGTAGGAATATGCACTGCAAATCTTCTAAACAAACCCTGGGTTTACTGCCTTAGGAAAAAGTTTATCCGTTTTCGAGTTGTACTCTAGTTGAGTAACGTCGGACTATGTCTTTCTGTATGAAGAGTAATCCGACAAGTGAGATTAAATGTATGCTTTTTTATATGTTTATCAATCATAGACATATTATGATAATGAATTGATAGAGAATAATTGGTAAATGTACCGTACCCAAACCGATAATCAAAATGATAGTAGCCTGACCTTTAAGCGTCATACAAGATAAGTAAAATATGGATGTAGCAAGAACAGATAGAAGGGAGTCATATGCCTTTTTAATTTTATCAGCTCATTGATCATTGGCTGGGGGCTGTTATCAATGGTATAAATTATTCCACATTGGGTAGGAAATTTAAGAAAAAGCACACTGATTGTACCACCTATTCCAGTCCCAATTTACATACTACATGTTTGAAAGCTCCGCCCTATATTTGAATTTTTTGCCCAATTGTGTGCCTAGAAAAAAAAATAGTTTGGCTAAATATTTGAACTAGCTCTTTGAGCTTGAATAAAATCCATGTCCTATGGATTTCTTTCATGAAGATGGTAGAGGTGATATCTTATATTCATCTGAAAAACAAGCGTCGTTTTGTTGTAGAGTCACTTTTTTTTATATATTGAATTGATAAGTAATCCCTGAAAACGACCAGCCGAGGTGCATTGACAAGACAGAAGCAGCAAAAAAAAAAAAAAAAAAAAAAAAAAAACAAATACAAGTATAAATGTAAAACGCTTATAATTATTATACAGAAAAAGACTAACTACGTGTTTTGCATGGAAATAAAAATTGGCTCATTAAATACAAAGAGATACTATTTAAACTTTTTATATCACTTTATTCATTGTAAAAAAGAGAGAGAGAAAATTCACATGGCTTATGGGGAAAACTATATTTATTTATATATAGGAACCAAATTGTTCTGAGAGGCAAATCCAATACGCAATAGAATCTGATTTTAACAATATTTTGATAATAAGTAATTATCCATTTATATCGTTGATATACTTCTTCCAGACAAAGTATATACAATATCCTCCACAGTACAAAAAATGTATTTATATAAAAGAAAAATAAAATCACCTGACGATAGGAAAATATCCTACCTGCTTGTGGGGAAGTCTTGCCACCATTAAAGATCATATGCAGGGAATTGCAGAAAAGATTTAGGAGACTTTTAGAAGATGTAAAGGCTGATAATTTTCTCTGATTAAAGGACAAAAGAAGGTTTAATATCTACCTTAAAAATGTGTATTAAGCCAAGACCATCATCACCTCCACCCAGAAAATTCTATTCTCCAATTCCTACAATAGTTTCCCAATAACTGGTTGTTAGTGGCACAAGTTTTTTAAATCACAAAAAACATAGATATACACAGTATGGGTCATTATACCAAGACACTTTATTCGTTTATTTTACTTATTTTATGTTACTTTTAATGTCTCGTTTCTTCTATCAATATGGGTTTAAATGACTAAAATAAATACTGCATGCATAAAAAAAAAGGGAGCGGCTAGCGTACGTCCCTCGCGAAAGCAGAAGCTGTTAATTGTTAAGCAGTTTTACTACGTGTTGAAAAGGTAACTGGCTTGATGAGTATATCTACTACCGGTCATAACTTGGGCATCCTCGTCATATTCAAGCGAGTTTTAATGTTGATCTTTACAATGTAGTTTTCCCCATGGAAATACTTGCTTCATTGTCTGATTCCCTTTCCAAATCGCTTAAGTATCGAGTGCTGTTTACTCCCATAACCAGTAGAGTTCACCGTTCAAGTGACAATTAGATCCGAAAGGGTTCTTTTAAATGTTTTTATTCTTCTTGCCATCTGGCGCAGTCATTGGGTTCTCATTGTTGGGGAGTTTCACTAAAACTCTGACGCTATCATCTCTTCTGCTTTTCGCCCTACCTATAACACTCTCGTCAAGTTTATGGTAAACGTTGGCTGAGCTACTCTACTGTATTGATCACTATCTATTTTATTTTTTTATGTAAGACAACAAATGTAAAGACTATTTTAATATTTAAAAAGCACAAGTTTTATTTAAAAAAAAAAAAAAAAAAGATACACACTAGCCACTCTACAAAAAAAGAGTGTTGCCCGGGAATGGCCGCGCGGAGGCTTGTATCTATGCATTCCCTTCTCGAATCTTTTATTTATAAGAAAAGACGAGAGCGTAAAGAGCAGAAAACCTAAAAAAACCATACTGATAAGCAGTAGATTACCTTAATTTTGAGAAACTTGCCCCATTATACAAAAAGTATACAGCATTTCAATGGCGGTATAGAAGATGTATAGAAAATCAATAGCGGAAACGGACATGATACACCCCAACGATCACTACAGGATTTATGATGCCGATAAAGGGGACGCCACACCCACGGGAGAATTTTCCTCACAGCCACAAGATCCAACAACCCACATACTCCCTCCGGTTTTAGACACTTACCCCGTTCACATCAAGACATACCATGCAACACTGAAAAGCTCACCAGAAGGTCCCCCAAAGATACTAGACGTCTCCAGGTCCCAAAGAGTTCTCTAAAAGATTACTCGCCAGCACATCACTAAATATAAGCGCCGTTGTTAAGTGATGATCGTCTCGAACTTTTTCTAAAATACAAAATCTGCCTGTTTTTTATACCTTTTTTTTTTTTTTTTTTTTTTGTTTATCTGTTTCAGCCAAGAAAATAAAATCTCTTCATGTGAGAGAATATTAATTCATTATGACATCAGATAAACAAAGAGTATAGCTTTTGATAAATGTATACAAGTAAAAGCTTACTCTCAATGATGAAAATCCTACAATCATGATGCACTTGAATCTTTTACTTTTGCATGGATAGCGTTTTTATTGTAAAAGATGCTCATTTTCTTTTGAAAATTATTTATGTTTTGTTTACATAATGCTGTAAATAAAATTATCTTACTCCCTACTTTAGTCTACCTTTTTTTTTGTGTATCAATAAACATATTCCCTCAATTATAGGGTTGTCAAGATGATCGATCTGTTTCAGTATAGCCTTTCGGTCATCTTTTACGACGTGGAAAGCTAATCACAGGCAGCCCATATGAGACTGAATGACACCCCAAAAGAACAGTAAATGACAGGAATAGACTTTTAAGAGTAAAGTGTAGCATCAATAAGCCAAATAGTTGACCAATATCAATCTTAAAATAGAATACAAAAATATGGAATAAGACTTCATCAACCATCATCTTTCAATTCCACATAACAAGCCCAAATTGGTAGATTAAATAAAAGTACCTATCCAAAGTAAACTGAGGTTTATAAAGGGTAAGTATGCCTACTAGAGTACATTTTTAGGTTCGAAGGAGGCTATCAGTGAGCTCCAATTATACTCACAGGTGTCTTTACTGATAAAAAAAAGTAGGCAAGAAAGTATTAGATGATAAATAAAAAAACAGATATATTCTCAAGTTCGTACACTGAAGAGTACAAAAATAAACATGTTTGCTGCAACAATTAGCCGTGTGAAGTATGCATTCTTCTCTGCCCTTTATAAAATTATAAGCCTATTAAAGTATGTTTTGTGTTGTAACTATAAGAACATTGCTGTGATTGAAAACAGCTTAAAATGTTGATGTAAACTGCGGATGATGCTTAATAATGTCGATGGTATTCATATATATTAATTTACAGTCATATTCTCGTTGATTATGTGAGCATAAAAAAAAGAAGACATTATGACTGTATACCTCCCATCCTGCTCTCCTATTCAAGAATTTGAAAAAAGCTTTAGCGGATGTAGAGCCGCACTCCCCTCCCCCCATTATCTCAAGGATTATTGGAGGTAATAAGATTGCTCCTATCTATCATTTACAGATAATTATTCAACACTTAAATAAAGAATCTTAGTAATTAATTTGACCAAAAATTGGTTCATTTATTTTCAAAGGACTACGCAAATTAATTTTAAACAATAAGAACTAGCCTCGCTTTTTCTTTGAAACTTAACCTAACATATGCGAGCAATTTTCACAAAAAAAAAAAAAAAGAGAGAGAAGAATCTTACAGGAACAAGAAGGTATAATGAGACTTGGAGTACCTACTGTCTCTTCCCAATAAAACACAAGCAACGGCCTTGCAACCGTTCCAGTTCGCGGGTTTTTAAACAAACTTTACAAAACACGTGGAAATGGCACTCCACCCAAAAGCCGATTTGTTGAGTATTAGTTTATAAGTTACATATCCGAATGGTGTATTAATTTGTGTCGGTGCAGAGTAAACTAAATAGCAGTACAGAACTCAGGTACGCTCAAAAAAAAAATAAAAAAAAAAAAAGGTCCTAATTTAAACTTGCTAATATTAAAGTACAATAGATTTTTATGCGCTGAGTAGAACGCCAGAAGGGACTAAATAAATATTCGGAGTTAATCAATCAGATGTATAGTATGTGCGCGTGTGTATATATCAGCACATGACGTTGGTTCACAAAAGTAATCATCTGCCCTTTGCCCTCTTTTTTTATATATATAACGGTTACAAGAAATCGGTGCACAGAGCATAGCAGGATTTCTACTAAAAAACCTTAATCTTAATCGATCATTTTACTGCAAGCAAGAGTGGCTTCAAAAAGATATTTATGCTCCGCGAAAAGATAAATTGCCAGAATATGGGGTCTATTGTTAATTAATACTTGATATTTTAATACACTCCGGGTAATGCCATATTATGACAAAATATAAATAAGGGCCTTCGCTTAGGTATATTGTGGAAAAGTACCTAAAAGAGATGACATCAAGAGCGGGCATTACCATTTAAAGAATTTTAGACTGCAAAAAAAAAAAAAAAAAAAAAAAACATTACATCTTTTACCCTTTTTAACTTTTCTATTTATAATCTTTTTTTTTTCTTTTCTTCTTCTTCAACTTAATATATTTGGAATGGACTCACAAGGCGAGCAAGATGAGCAAAACTCATTTCAAGCTTTGAAGAATAAGTGGGCTCAACAAGCAACAATAATACAGAAGCAACCCCAACAAAATATTATTGTGTCACCGCCTCCTATTCCACCAAAGCCTGCTTCAGTTTCATTAAATAGAGAAGAAGCTGAATCAAAAGAGGAGACAGAAAAACGAGTGTCACATTTAGCACAACAATTTGGAAAGCAAAAAGTCGATATGATGGCACCCGGAAATTTCTCAAATATCTCTCCATCATTGGCAACAACTGCAACCAAAAAACCTCCACCACCTCCACCCACATACGAAGATTCGGATCCATTTAGCGTACCTGACTCCGAGTCCAGCGATGGAGACAGTGATATCGAAGAAGAGGATGATGACGACTATATCCATCGTCACGAAGAAAACGTCAAAGAAGGTGACAATAGCCTGATTGAACAGGTTCAAAAAGCACATTTGCAATATACAAAATTAGAAGAATCACGTTTTATTGGAGCACCTGGTGTTCGTAGTCATGATATCCCTTCTGCTTCAGAAAATAATGGACTCGATACCAAGAACCTCTTTTCTCCAAAAAAACCTCCACCTCCACCTCCACCTAGTAAAAAATATCATCGTTCAACACAAAGTATACCCATGGACCGTCCTGAATACAATTCGCAACCTTCAACTATTGTTGATACTACAGTCATTTCACCTCCCATCTTACCACCTAGACCCATAATGCCTCAATTACCACCAAGGCCATCTCAGTCAACTTTAGCTCGAGCACATACAATCGCAAGTGGAACTCATTCGTCAAGCTTATCCCCAAATTATGGCAATAGTAAACTATCAGCAATGTCTTCACCTTCTTCCGTTTACACCGACAACAGTGATCTAGAAGATGAGGGACAAATTAGAAACATGGGAATGAAACGAGCAAATACTGTCGCAGCAAAACGTGCCATGTCTAGAAGCGAATTGTTAATGACAAGTTCAATTTATCCAGATTTTACACACGCAACTAGAAACGCACCTTATGTAGTCTCAGACCAAAGACCATTTTCTACTGGACACAAAGGACCCATTCATGCTTTGGCTGCAGCAAAAAATTTAGTCATTACCGGCTCAAATTTATTACGAACTTGGGATGTTTACACAGGAACTGTCATCACAACAATCATGATGGATACCAGCAATAATGCAAACAGCAGCCAAAATAATAACGACAGTGGCAGCGGAGATAAAATCAGGGCAATCGCAGTAGCACCATCCCGTATCCCAGTGGAAGAAGGAAGGTATATTTGGGTTGCCAGACAGGATACCATGCTGGCTGTCGTCGATATTAGAGCCGGCGGACAAAAAATATTAAGCAAAAGGAACGATGTACACACCGCACCCATCTTGTTTCTCTTACGTTATGGTAATTCCGAAATATGGTCAATTGATGACAGTGGCGTATTATACGTCTGGGATGTTCTGTCTGCTGATTATCATCAACCAAATCCACTACTGACTGCAATGCCAAGGAGATACCATGTTACCTCTCATGCCGTAGCCGCTACTATTTACAATTCGAAACTCTGGATGTCTTCCGGTCGTACTTTAGCCGCGCATGCTATACCTATCGCTGGTTCCTCAGTAGGTACGAACGATACAAAATCACAGCCTCCCGTTAGAATCCCTAATGACATGGGTAACATCACAAAGTTAATGACAATTCCATACCATCCCTATCGTATATTTGCTTCACATGACGACGGTAAAATCAGTATGTGGGATACAAGAACGATGGAGAGAATTCAAATCATTACTGTATCAATGTATGGTATATGTACTATGACCGCTGTTGGAGAATATCATGTTTGGGCAGGATATAATACTGGAATGATTTATGTTTATGACACAAGGCCAGAAAAATGGGCAGTTTTAAAGATATGGAAAGCACATACAGGCGCTGTTACACAACTCGTTGTGGATGAAACAAGTTTATTGTTGGATGAGATTACGGGAAGACTTCAAGTAGTCAGTAGTGATTCAAATGGATTTGTAGGCGTTTGGGATGGATTATTAACGGAGCACTGGAAAGAGGATCATTTGCATCAAAGGGCTAGTGAATACTGTACATACGATTCCGCTCGAGTTATGATTTGCTCATGGAATATCGATGCCAACAAACCAGAAAGGATAGTCGGGGAAGATGACAAGGCAGTAAGGGAATGGCTAGGAACCATGGAAGACCCAGACATTATTGTGGTCGGCATCCAAGAAATTGTAGATTTGGAATCCAAAAAGCAAACAGCTCGTAAGTTGTCCACATGCTAGATCACCTTTCTTTTTTTTATTATCATGAAACTTATTAATTTTTTTTTTTTTTTTTTTTTTTTTTTTTTTTTTTTTTAGGTTCATTGTTTTCCAGAAAGAAAGCAGACCCGACTGAAACAGAGGATATTCTTACCCACAGATACAAGTTATGGCACGATTATTTGGTTCGCATTATTGGAGAAAATTATGGTCATCATAGTTATACTGTCATTAAAACGGATCAATTAGTTGGATTATTCAGTTGTATCTTTGTACGCACAACGGATATTCCCAGAGTATTTAGTATTGATTCGACCTCTGTTAAAACCGGACTTAAAGTGATGAACAAGAGTATCCACGGCAACAAGGGTGGTATTGCCATTCGTTTTGTTTACGATCACTCTTCTCTCTGTTTTGTCAATTGTCATTTAGCGGCTGGTCAATCTCATGTTCAACAAAGAAACGCGGATGCGGAGGGAATTCTTCAAAGTGCAAGCTTTCATGGATATGACTATGATGATGTGTTTAGTCATGGTGGTGATGGTAGCATGATTTTAGATCATGAATTCTGTTTCCTCAGTGGCGATTTGAACTATCGTATTAAAATGAACCGTAACGAGGTGTTAAGATTGCTAGCCAGTGCAGACAAACCTGCTGCTTGGGAACAATTACGAGCTCAGGATCAATTGCTGCGCCAAAATTACAATAATCCCTTATTCAAGCTGCTACATTTTGAAGAGGCTACTATCAATTTTGATCCTACATACAAGTACGACCCTGGAACAGATTTTTACGATCGTTCAGAAAAGAAACGTGTGCCTGCTTGGTGTGACCGTGTGCTTTATAAAGGTAATAATATCAAGAATATCTACTACCGACGTTACGAAGCACGATGCTCTGATCATAGACCAATTGGTGCCGGATTTAGTTTCGAGACCAAAATCACAAACCATAAGAAACGAGATCATCTCATGGTGAAAATCGAAGAAGAGTGGCGTGACCATATTGACCGCTTTACCAAAGACAAGAAGGCCCGATACGTGGCGGATTATGAACAGTGCAGTTTGAATGAAGCCTTTGACCTGCTAGAAAAGTCGGACTGGGATGTAAATGATACTGTAATTAAATTACTTGTTAATATATAGTTTTTTTTTTTTTTTTTAAAAAAAAAAAAAAAAACAAACGAAAAAAAATGTCAATACAATTGTGAAGTGCTACTAATATTAAAATAATACATATACTTTCTTTTCAAAAGATAAAATAAAAAATAATTTTTGTTGATTTATTAGATAGTTAATAAGTTGTAGTTGTGAGAATTAGTAGTACATAAAATTAAAAAAAGGAAAGGGGGGATGGATAGTAAATAGTGTAAAAATAAAAAAGATTATAATGTCAAAATCAATTAAATAAGCATACCAGCAATGGAAGCAGAGATCCATGTACTGATAGCTCCACAAATACAAGCAGAGATAGCCAAACTGGAGATCTCACCACCTCTCTTGGGAGCAAGAGCACTCAAACAACCAACTTGAATACCGATGGAAGAAAGATTGGCAAAACCACAAACGGCGTAAACAGAGACTAAGTTGGATCTAGCGGAAAGAACATCCTTGTAGGTAGTGGTCAATTCTTGGAAAGCAACGAATTCGTTAGCCCAAATCTTGATAGCCATGATTCTTCCGACATCGACAAGATCTTTATCATCAGCACCAATCAACCATGCAACCTATCATATAAAAAAAAATTATTAGATTATAAGCCAGTTACAATTGCATAATAAAACTTACGGGTACAAAGATATAACCAGTGATGAATTGAAGAGTCAATTCCTTAATGTTAAGGAAGTTACCTAACCAGGTTAAGAAAGAGTTGGCAGCGTACAAAAGAGCCAAAAGAGAGATCAAATTGGCCATGATAATGAAGACAATGTTGATACCAACACCAGCACCCTTACCAGCAGCATGCAAAATGTTAGAGGTTTCACCATCGTCACGGTCTAAAACATCGGTTCCGTGCTTGGTCATGGATTCTTCAGTTTCGGGGTAACGGAGCTTAGAGACAGCAATGGAACAAGGAATAGACATGATACAAGAAGTTAAAAGAGCTTGACCAGAAACACCCATAGCAATATAACCGTATAAAACGGAGCCGGAAATAGTAGCAAAACCACAAGTTAAAATTTGATGGAATTCAGACTTGGTCAAATCCTTAATCAAGGGTTCAATCAACAAGGCATTCTCACTTTGACCGAGGAAAGGCTAATTGAAAAAAGAAAAGTATTGAGTGTTAGTAATTTGTTATCATCATTATATTCATATAAACAACGTACAGAGGCAATGGCAACAATAGATTCAGGACCAGTAATATCCAATAAAGTGATAAAGACAACGGACATCTTCTTCAAGAGCCATTGAATACAACCAATATAGTATAAAACTTGGACAGTAGAGGCGAAGAAAACAATAGCGGGGAAAACGTTGAGGGCAAAAGTACCGGCACTAGCAGCAGTATCACCGAAAACAAATTGAGAACCATAGAAAGAGTTATGAAGGTAGCCTTCAGCGAATTCAGCCATCCAATCAAAGATATCATGACCAACGTCAGATCTGAAAACGAACAAGGCCAACAAGAATTGAAGGAGAATAGAAGATGAAATGGTGTTCCATTTAACCTCTCTGCGATGCTAGATACAAATATATTGAATAAGTACCTGCAACTTTATATATAAAAATCTCTTGTTTTACTTACAGCTGAGAATGCCCAGGTACAAAAAAGGAAGACGAACAAACCGAAAAGAGAAATCAAACGTCTGACTCTAGGTGACTCTTCCTTTTCGGGGAAGGAGAAGATAGTAGCAGCAATGATAATAGTGACGAGAACGGCATAACCAATTTGTCTAATCTTGAGGGAAAATTTGCTACAAATGAATTTAGAGATATTGTCGAAAACAAAGTTCCAAGGCTTGGTAACAAGGGTGGTAGGAGCATAACAGAAAAAGATGTAAAGGGAGAAGTAGGCATAGCAAAGACCGATAATCAATTGATCTCTGGTATAACCCTTGGGAACTTGTAAGGCATAGGTAGCGGCAATGAAACCTGTGAAAATGAGCCACATACCAGCGCTACAATAAATGGTTAGAGATCTATAGAATTCTATTTAATAATTACATCGTACTACTTACTGGAAGAATTTTTGGTATCTCTTATAGAATGATGGCTTCTGAGAGGCGACGCTGCTGCTGTCATGTTGGGTATCGTCTGCTTTGAAATCAGCTTCCTCGACGTTATTCATTTTATCAAACATATAGCCTTGATCTGTTGAAGAGGACTCGGTCTTTTTGACATCGTATGGACGCTGTTCAGCCTCTGTCGTTGCTGTGTGTTCTTGACTCATTGCTTTTAGCAGATAAATTAAATCAAGACAAAAAAAAACAAGGAAAGAATAATAGTAGTAAAAAAAAAAAAGAAAAAACTTGATGTTTAAATGTACGATCTTTTATACCAATTTCCAAAATATTAATTCAGGGTGGTAATCAAGTAAAAAAAAAAACCCTTTTTACCTAATTTGTCGATAAACGATAAGGCACTTGATATCAAGTGATAGAGAAAACGAAACCAATACTTGGAGAGAAGACCTTTTTTCTTCCCCGCCGTGTTACACTTGTGCATGCTTGTCGAGTTTATTGACAAGAGTACACAATTAGGAAATCATGGTCAAAAGAAGAAATTATAACCTAAACCTGATCTGCTCTCCCTCTCCAATGTGCCTAACCAATACCATTCGACTTTTTTTTTCTCACGGCCCTATCTATTCCGCATTTGAAACAACATATTCAAGACTGTACCATTTAAAAAAAATAGAGATCCTTCTTATTCACGATACCAGGTTTTCAACAAGTACCTGTAACTTATCTCGTTTGTAAAAAAAAAAAATACCTAAAGTGCCAGTTGTACCATTTCTCTTTACAACCAACCCTGGGTCACCTGTGAAAACAGTATATTGGAAATAGCCAATCTCTTTTTTGCTTAAAATGGTTTGTGCGTTGCTATTTATTTAGATGTTATCAGAAGATAAGGTATATCAAAGCACACATGATGATATATAATTTACATAGCTTGTTGTATCAGGTATTTTACTAAAAAGCATTTCGATTTTATGGTTTTCATTAGTAGTACCTTCTCCGACGGGCCTTTTCAAGAATATGCACACGCATAATTGGTATCTCTTATTCCCGCATGTCACTGTAAAAAACAGGTAAAAAAAAAAGGGGGGGAGGAGCTGATGATGTATTCTGACGCGATATTTGTTATATGTCGGTTATTACATTTTTTTTATGTCGAATCAATTGATATGGCGCCTTGTATTTTGCAATATTATATGCAATCAAGTAAAAAAAACCAAGATCATAACACCAAATATTACCGCCTTGCGTTTGTGTTACAGTTTAACCTTATCAATTTAAGATTTGTACTACTAATTAATAAATAGGATTACACAAAAGCCCTGGAAACAATGACCTTTCTGTTCGAGGGTATGCCACCCCCACTTGCTAGCATTGGGAACATAAGCTGAATATGTACTGACTTAATGAATTAGGTAACGCCACTACTTTTTATAAAGCATGTAGATTTTCTGAGCCGATCGAAAAAAAAAAAATACCCTTTTTTTTTCAAGCAAAGAAAGCCAAGCTCCTGAATAGGAATAACACAAGTAACATTCTAATCTAAAAGCTCTAGCAAATCGGGATACTTGAGAATATTATTTATAAACACAAATACAAATATAGGTGTTACAACTAGAAACCACTTTTTGGACAAAGTACATCACAAAAAGTCAAACTGAAAAAGTCTACCTATTTTGAAGTGCTAGAGAAAATCAATGTTTAGGAAAGTTTTTTTTTTTTAATATATTGTCGGTAAGAATATACGGAGCTTCAACAATTTTACATTAAAAATTGACAATTACAAATGTTATGGTTGCACCAGAAACTGGACCATCCAGCAAAAGACACCTGTTGTTTCTGGGAGCACCACTCTTAGAAGAGAATCTTTTTTTTTTGTTCTCTTTATGAATGTGAATGGGCTGCCAAACGTAAAAAAAAAAAAAAAAAAAAAAAAAAAAAAAATACAAAGCAAAAACAAATACAGATCATTCTTTTTCCAATTATACCTCACATGTCCTTTTTATTTTATTTTTTTGGTGAGAAAATGTCTCGGCATATCATGCGTTTTTTTGTCTGTTAGACCCAACAGTTCATTCTGCCCGATCAACACCTCTGTACTCCAATAAACTTTTTTTTTTCTCACAATATATAGCAGGGCAACGGTTTATACAATGATGAAATGACAGTTATGGAATACCATTTTCTAAAAAAACAAAAAAATAACTAATTGAATAAAACACCCTTTGGTTTCCTAGTTACATTACAAAAAAAAAAAAATTGGTATCTTTGTTATTCTTTTTAAAAATTCACGTTTGATAGCACATACTTGGAAAGATGGTCGTACGGTGAAACGCTTCTAATATTCTAAAAAGCTTTGCCCTATCTCCTTTACCTCACCCACATTGTGTAGTATATTATAGTTTTTATTGTTACTTTATATCTCTTATCTTAAAAATGCATCTTGTTCATATCAATCATGATATTAGTAAATATATTGTGTACACAGTGAATGCTTTATTAGGTTATCCATCTCATTATTGGTACATTTATCTTTTTCCTAAATAATATCATTTATAATACATAGGGTCCAAATAGTCAGATTTTTTAGAGTTCTGGAAAACCCTTGGTCAGCTCTTACCGATAGGTTGTACAAAGTAAAACATACTAACTACACCATCTATAGAATAAAAAAAAAAAAATTTAAACAGGAGACTTCAAAAAAACTTTTAAAAAAGCCCGCATCCGTTGTTAGGTAAGGTTCGTTTTTTATAAAAATCTTGCATGATCATCGAATTTTTTTTTTTTTTACATTGGGGAAATGGGTGCCTAGAAAAAAAGAACATTTGTAACAATGCTACAGCCGTTGTTACCCTTTTTTTTTTTATGAGCATGATTATTTAGCATTTTATTCGCTGTATATATAAAAAATGGTATTATTACAAAACTTTTATTGATTGAAATCTAGCCCCCCCCCCTCGCACGTTGATCCAAAAAGTTTTTTTTAATCGTTGATGAATGCAAAGGAGATAACCGTTTTTTATTTTTATAGCACAAAAAATAAATGCCTGTATTCCCAACATTTCGGTAAGCCACTAACTAGTCAACATGCTTTAAGGAATCAATAAAAACAAAGTTTAGATGCCATTGCCGCATAATTTAAGAGCTTTTTTTTTTTTAAAAAAAAACAAGTCAACTGTTATACGCTATCTAAAAATTCTATATCAGAACTATAAACTGATATGATATCTATTCTTTTGTACAAAAAAAAAAAAAAAAAAAAAGAACTGTGGTCCATTTGATTAAAATCATGTGCCCTTTGTTAAAAAGTTGCGTAACGTGCCTTGCGATTAGTGCATTGTAGAGTTCTAACCAGAAAGATGAACATGGAGTTAACTTCATTCTGCACGTTACTCATTTTTCCTTTGTTTTTATTTTAACGGGGATAGCTTGAATTTTCCCCGTTTGTTTACCAAACAATAAAAACAAGAAATCCTGATTGGAGAAGTAATCCAAAAGGAGAATAGTGTCATATTTTTAAGTAACAATTACAATGGTGACATTTTCCAGGACAAAAAAGTGTAAAATTTATCTTTATGGCTCACTATAACAGTAAAGGCTGATAGATAAACAAAAACCAAAAAAGTTGCGTTACATACCATTTGAATTGAAAAAAAAAAGAAAAAGAAAATGCTCCGTGAGAGAATTTTTCTAATGTGTGATTTTCTCTAATAAATGCAAGGCGATCCTGTCTTGTGTACACAGAGGGCAAAAAAAAAAACAATGACAGGAACAAGCCTCCCGACAAAAAAGTCACAATTTAAACGTCACAATTTTTTTGCTCTCTCTTCTTTTTTTGAAAATATCCCAAGTAACCTGTTTTTTTTTTTAAACAGACTTGATAAAAGATATAAAATTAATACTCAATGTCTCCTGCAGTTCAAAAGAGATCTAAAAATGCGAAGAAGCAACAATTAAAACCTCAAGGTAAAAAGATTGCCAAGATTGTTGAACAAGCTGCTGGAAAGGCCAAGAAGGGTAATGTGTCAAATTTTATGCAACCTTTAAAACAGTCATTAAACAACCCATTCTTCTTTTTTTTTTTTATATATGTATAGGTACCAAGAAGGCTGTTAAACAATTGTAAGACGACAATAAGAAGAAGAAAAAAAAGGCGTGGCTGCGATGAGCTAATTATTTTATTTATTTAATAGAAGTGAGGAGGAGGATTCACCCATGGAAGACGTTTCCGAAAGTGACGAGGACGATGTTTTTAAAAAGTTACAAAAGGTTATGGATAACGATGATTCTGAAGCTGACGAGGAAAAAGAAAATGACATTAGCGAAAAGGAAGAGGACGCAGAGAACAGTGACGATGAACTTCCCTCTGATTTTGAAAGAGAAATGGCCATGGATTCTGACGAAGAAGAGGTGGATGAGGATGATGATGATGAAGAGACACCCGATAAACTCAACAAAGATATTGACCAACACAAGAAGGAACTGGAAGAGTTAAAGGAACGTGATCCTGAATTTTACGAGTTTTTACAAAAGGAAGATGGTGATCTTTTGGGCTTTGGCGAATCTGATGATGGAGAGGATATGCCCGATGCCTCAGATGATGATGATGGTCAGGAATACAGCGATATGGAGGAGCCTGAGGAAACCATTGTAGATGATGTTCCTGTCTTGACCAAGGCCATGTTGAACGAATGGACTGCCGCTGTTAAATCTAATAACGATTTTAAGGCATTCAAGAAGATTTTGTCTGCTTTCAAAACTGCTGCCAGAATGTCTGAAGAAGACGATAAGATTACATTTTCCTACAAGATTGAAGATCCTACAGTCTTTTCCAAGGTGATTACCACCACACTTCGTCTTGCACCTGTTGTGTTTGCCCATCATTTGAAACCCAAGAAGGAAAATGGATCTCCTGTTACCTCTGGTAAATGGGCCTTCTTCAAATCCTATGTGAAATCATATCTCAACAATTTGCTTCATCTCTTAAGTAATTTGACTGATGCTGATATGCTTCGTATGACGATTCGTGAAGCTGAAAAGGCCACCAGTCTTTTTGTTTGTTTTGACCGTCTTGTCAAGGATTATCTCAAGACGCTTTTAAACTCTTGGTCTCACCTTGGTTCTGTCGATACTGTCCGTATGCAAGCTTTCTTGAGTATTAAATCTTTAGCTCTTGCTACTGTACCCGCCACCAAAGACACCAAGACCAAAGTGCAAGGTTACCTCGATCTCTGTCTCAAGAACGTTTACTTGACTTTTATCAAAAATTGTAAAAACACCAATCTCCATACTTTACCCGTGATCAATTTGATGCGTAATTTAGCTGTTCAACTTTACGGTATTAACCCCGTCTTGAGTTATCAACAAGGTTTTGTGTATATTCGTCAATTAGCCATTCATTTAAGACAAGCCATGAAGGTGCGTTCGACTAAGAATCATAATATGGTATACAACTGGCAATATATCCATTGTATTGATTTCTGGGCCGATGTTTTAAATGCATATGCTGTTCCTATGGTGGATGAAGATGGAGATGTGGTGGAAAGTCCCTTAAAGGCCTTGATCTACCCCTTAACACAAGTAGCTGTCGGTGTTATTCAATTGATCCCTACTGCTCAATTCTACCCTCTTCGTTTCCATGTGCTTCGTTCATTGAACTCTCTTATCCATAATACCAATGTGTTTGTTCCTCTCGCTACCTATGTATTGGAAGTTCTTGAAGGTACTGTGGCTATGGAAAAGGCCAAACAAAGCAGTGGTTTACCCACTGAATGGGATCTTGTGCTCAAGGTACACAAGAAGAGTATTCATGGTCGTATGTACCAAGATGAAGTTTTAGATCAATGTGCAAAGGCATTGAAGAGTTATTATAAAGAATATTCCCATCATATTTCTTTCCCTGAAATGGTGGATGCTGATATCATTGCTATCAAGCGTTTCGTCAAGCAATCCAAGAGTATAAAGGGAAAGGATAAGTTGAGCAAATTAGCAAAGGAGGTAAGAAAGAAGCCAAAAAAATAAAGAAGAAGGGCACATGTCTCTTGAATGTATAACTGACATTTTTATATCTTTTATAGCTTGAAGCTAAGGCTACTTTTGTTCGTCAACAACGTGCCAAGATTAACTTTAGCCCGGAAAATGAGGCTGAAGTCGAGAAATTCAATAAGGAATTAAAGGCCAAGATGACTTAGAAAAAAAAAATTCTCAACAACACACTATCATTCCATACACCTTAAAAAAAAGCACTCCCTCCACTGCAAACCCACATTTATATATATTTTTTACTTAGAGCCAATAAAAAATAAGAGAGAAAAAAGAAAAGTGTTATTTCATTTAGCTGTCAATGGAAATAATAATCTGCCAAAATTACTTTTTTTTTTAAAAGATAGCTCTCCCTTTTCAAAACTAAATATTAAAAAAAAAAAAAACTGTGTGGCTTTGTCCAGTTCTCCGGGTCAGAAGTGATTCAAGTTACTTGGTGTTCAAGCTGCGTATCCTTTAAAAAGTACACACTGTAACTCTAAATATTTTTATCTTTGTAATATATGTAGGCGCATAGAATTCGGACTATTAAATCCGTATTGCATGATTCACAAAAAAAAAAAAAAAATTGTTTCAGAGTGTAGTAAATGATATGTGGCTAATGCGATGTACAATGACACAGTGAGGCAATTTTAGAGTCGGTTAAAAGGTAAAAATCATAAGATACACAAGAAAAAAAAAATATATGTTGTCGTGACCTGGGATTATGATAGTTCTAGAGAGTAGGCAAAAAAAAAAAACCAAATATTTCATACATATATAAATTAATTTTTGATACTCCATCTAAATTTTTTCTTATTCTTTTCCCGGGTAACTTACTTTAAGCTCTTCAATGGCACCACCTTATACTTATCCTGTTGCGGGCATACTTTACTTTGTATCTCATCCACAGGTAAAACAAGGAATTTAACTGAAAAATAAAAAAAAATAAAAAAATCGATTTTTGCCCCTACTCACATAAAAAAAAATAGTTATGGGTGAAGACTATTTGTCCGTTTCTACTGACGCTCATCTTTGGTATACTCTCGTTGGTACTTTCCTTTGTATACCTCTTACCACTTCAAGCACATGCGTTAATTGTAGCAAAATGTCCCGTCTGGCTTGCGTGGACAGTTTCTGTTATTTTTGTGCTTTTGGAATCAGCCGTGTTCGATTTAATATTCTTTGCCATCTTGCTTCCCATCTTTCAAGACGCTTTATTTGACGCCACTTTAAAATCCAGAGGACTTGAACGTATGTTTACCAATCGTGTTGAAGTTGGCAACTTGCGCTTATGTTGTCGAGGTATTTCGTCCGGTCTTGCGCTTGTTTGGCTATTGATCTTGGCACAAGTAAGGGACATCCGAATGACCTTCAATTCGTGACTGCTGTACAGCTTTATATTTTTATCTAACATTTCCCTTTTGGATCATTAGATTCTGATTTTGATCATTACAGCGCCTTTACATTTAATACCTGTTGTAGGCACCTTTGTAGCTTGTTATATTAATGGATGGATTGCATGGTAAGATACAAAAAAAAGAGAAAGAGAAAGTAAGAGTTAACCAAAATGACGATGACAGCTGGGGACATCACCTTCATTATGATTTAGAGTTCAGAGGGTTCTCCGTGAGCGATTCCCGAAGTTTTGCTTGGAGACACAAGGCTGATTATTGTAATTTTGGCGTTGTGGCTGTTGCACTTGAATTGATTCCGTTATTTAATCTCATCTTTATGTGGACGAATGTGGTAGGAGCCGCACTTTATGTCGGTGATAAATATGAAAAGAATGAGCGAGAGATTGCCAAACGTAATCGTAACAGTACCGCATCGACTGAAATATTGATTCAACACCCTAGCATGCCTAGTAGTAAACAAGGGTACGGTTCATTGCGAGTTTAAGAAATAAAATCCCACTTATAAAAAAAAATTATTCTCCTTTTAGTTTTTATAATGTTTAGTTTTACCTAAATAAAAACTTTTTTTTTGACCATCTATGCTGAGTGTCATATATATATATATATACATAAAAAAGGAGCTCAATTATCAGCCAATCAAATAAACAGATGTCTACTTTTACTGGTATTTATGGCAACACTTTTTTTACTCCTCGGTTCCCCTTTATAAATAGGATGCGCTTGTGTACCTGGATCCTTTTTTTTTTTGCGCTAAAAATAAACACACTCGTTATTTTTTTTTTATCCTTCTTGATTTTCTTTTTTTTAATTCACTTCTTTCTTTCTCTCTCTCTTTTTTTTTTTTTTTTCTTCTTACTTAGAAAATGTCGAATAACTTCTTGTCTGTAAACAAGAATTCAACACCGTATGGTTCTTCCAGTCAAGCGAGTTCATCCGTGTCTTTACAGGACCTTCGACCTAATGGTAGCGGCAGAGCATCGCAAGGTGGGTCACCGCAACAATTCGATTCTTGGGAATCCATCCATCACCAAGACGATGAATTGCCAGAACCCGTGTTACCTTGGATGAAATCAGAATCACGTCAATCCATTGGCTCACGAAATTCAGTCGATACTACCAGTCTTCATGTGGTAAAGCGATATGCACCAGACCCAGCCATTAAGAAGAAGCAACGTTGGACAAAGCATAAATGGTGGTTGTTATTATCTAATTCACTGGTAATTTTTTTTTTTGTTTTTTTTTTGATTCATCTCAAAAAAAAAAGTACACCACTCTTTATCTAACACACCATCCTATAGTTGTTTTGTTATGGACTAGGCATCTTATTGCTTGCACTCTTGACCTTTTTCAAATGTAAGGGGAAAAAGAAAAGCGAATAATCAAAATTGACTGATTTAAAAAAAAAAAAAAAAAAATAGTTTATCTTCGTGCAGATGTGATTTTAGTAGGAGAACGAATGATTCTGAATCGTACAGTGGCTAAAATTTCGATTAAATCCCAACAACAAAAAAGACTGACTTTTTTTTTTTTTTTCTTTTTTTTTTCATAGTTATCCTCGCTACAGGTGTAATTTGTTTATTCACGTCGCTTGTAGGATATGCTGGTATTATGCTGAATAACCGAGGTATCTTATCCTTGTACAATCTTTTACTGTGGCCTAGTTTCGGAATGATCGCTGCCATTGGTTACACGGCCTACCGTAAAAACAAGTGGAATATCGAAGGCAAATTGTCCTACCAATGGCATTATGATTTAGATTCGGATGGTAGAGCCCGTATCCAAGCCAACGTAAGTTCGTTTCCTCATTAGTTTTTTACCCATAAAAAAGATCAATGTATTAACAAAAAAAAAACAAAAAAAAAGCTTCATTGTTGTGGATATAAATCGTTCACAGATTACCATGAGCGATCCAACAAATGTTTCCCTCGTACATTATTACCAGGTTGTAAATTCAAGTATCAAACATTTACCAAGGAAGCATTGACGATTACTTGGATTGTAGCCTTTTCAATGATCCCTGTGCATTTGTTTGTGTTGTTCTCAGCCTTATTATGCTCCAATCATATCAATCGTAAGTTTGGTAAGGGACTTCCCCCCAAGATTTATCGTTTGGATTATCAAGGGATTGTTGCGGGTACACCTACAGGTAGCTCACTTAATCTTCATAAAGATGGTTTACAGCAAAGAAATATCTAGTCCCCCCTTTTTTTTTTCTTCTCTCTATACCATCTAATTACATTTAAAGAATTTACATTTATTTATATATATATAAAAAAAAAAAGCATCATTTATTTCTTTGAAGACAAAAACAATAATTAAAAAAAAAACAAGAGTATATTTGAGGTTATAAAATGATAAAAAAAAAAGAGAAATATAAAGACAAAAATATGATAATTATTTATGGAGAGAGAGAGAGAGGGCTTTTTTTTTTTTTTATGCTGATCCTGCAGGTTCATCTACTGGAGAATGATTTTCCTCTTTCTTTTGTAATGCAGCCACTGGAACTGCAGAAACGGGTTCTTTCGAGATCAAATCATCTTCATCATCCTTCACCTCACCTTCTTCTTTTTCATCAACTTCACCTTCTTCTTGTTCTTCCTGATGGTGTTCATGTTTAACAGGTACATCTTCATTCGATTCTTCAATCAATTCATCCTCATCATCGTTCTCTCCTTCCTCCTTTTCATCAACCTTTTCTACCTTTGTTGTTGTTGTAGATGATGTAATAGGCGTGGCTGTTGTAGATGATGATGATGTTGTAGATGTCGTTGTTGCTGCTGCTGCTGCTGCTGCTGTTGTTGTGGGTGTTGTTGATGATGATGGTATAGCAGCAACCACGGGTTCAGACTGTGTTTCTTCCTTCATCTCAGTCTCCATTTCGGGTTGATTTCTTGGTTTCTTATGTTCATCATGGTCATGGTGTTGTAAGGATGATGCTGCTGCTCTCTTTTGTCCAAGTACGGGGTTACCCATACTTAATAAAACATCAGCAGCACTCTCATCGTAATCTTCATCCACAACATGTTGTCTTTGTTCAGGCAACAATGTGGTCTTCTTTTCAATAACCACAGGAGCTTCTTCATGCTGTTGCTGTTGTTGTTGTTGTTGTTGATGATGATGTTGTTGCTGTTGAAGCTGTTGATGTTGTTGATGTTGCTTGTAACGATGATCTATACTGTTATTACTGTTATTTCGAGGAGGTAAATTCGAATAAGAAGGTTCTTCATGTTTCATACGACTCGTAGAATAATCAGGTCTACTGTTATGGTTGGATCGAGGTGAGGCCGAAGATTCCATTTCCATAGGTCGTTGAGCAGGTGAGCGGTGTTCATAACGGTAACTTTCAGAATGACCTGTACGAGGGCTTAAACGATGATCGTTATATTGTTGGGGTGGAGCCAATGGATGCGAGGAAGTACGTGGTGAAGGACGCGAATGAGGTGAAGCGCTTAATGGAGCCACTTGCGCATTCACTGGGTTAGGAGATCGGGTTTCTTCCTTATAAGGTTGTCGCATCGTCATAGGAGGTAAGTTAGTAGGTCCTCCCTGGGCCATATGATGTTGTTGTTGTTGTTGTTGTTGTTGATGCTGTTGTTGTTGATGTTGTTGTTGTTGCTGTTGTTGCTGTTGTTGTTGTTGCTGTTGTTGCTGCTGTTGTTGCTGCTGTTGTTGTTGCTGTTGTTGTTGCTGTTGTTGTTGTTGCTGTTGCTGTTGTTGTTGTATTTGTTGCTGTTGTTGTATTTGTTGTTGTTGATGGTGCTGTCTTTCGTCATGAAGAATAGGATTCATTTGTGATCTATCAGAGGGAGTAGGAGCACGACCACCTCCAATATCAGGAATACGCACATCTTCACGCGACGCGTTATTATTAGTAGAGTGAGTAGGATATTGTGCATAAGGAGCAGGTGAACGACGACCTTGACCAGCAGGTGGAGGTCCTGGCATAGGAAGATCTCTAGCGGGGCCATTACTACCTTCATGGGGATTTAATCCGTGCTACAAGTAGATGTTTTTTAAAAAAAAAATAAGCAATGAGGAATATACATATATATATATATATAAAGGGTGACTTACGTTGACGGGTAGTTGAGGTGTAGAGACACGTTCTTCATTTAAACGTTGAGGGTTGCTACTATTGCTGCTACTGCCAGCGCCAATTTGGTAAGCAGACATGCTGATGGGAGGGCCAGAGGGACCTGATTGACTATAAGAGCCACCATTTAATGGTTGACCGTTATTTCCACTTTGATATTGACTGGGATTAACTACATCTTGAGGCACTGGAGCACTTCCGGCAACCTGAGATGATTGAACGTTTTGTGACTTTCTTAATAATTCCAGACGTTGCTTGATATGAGGATTGGAAGGGTCTAATTCGGCCGCTCTTTGATAAGCGTCCAAAGCATCCTGGACTTGATTGTTACAGGATTCATACAACGTACCTAAATCGTACCAAACTTCACTAATGTAAGGATTTAAACGAATGGCACGACTGTAGGCATCCAACGCATCACGGTATTGATTGATTTGGTAATATAAAACACCAATGGAGCACCAAAAAGTAGGGTTTCGAGCGTCACGGTAGACAGCTTGTTGATAGGCCTCGTAGGCCTTGTTGTAATTTTGTTCGGCCATGTAACAACGACCTAAAAGGTACCAGGATTGGGCATCGTTGCTATCAGATTTCAATGAGCGAGTTAAATATTGAATAGCCAATGCTTGATTACAAAATGACGTGTTTTGTTGATGGTATAACCAACCCAATTGTTGCAACACTTTTGCGTGATCAGGATTCTCTGCCAATACACGCTCATAGGCTTCCTTAGCCAATTCATACTAAGTCAAAAGAAGAAGAAAAAATAGTAATTTAATATTTTGTCCATCTCTCTCTTTCTTTCTCTTTTCGTATGATGCTAATTTACCTCTTTTTGTTGTTCGTAGACATGACCAGTTTGGAACCAAATATCAAATTCAGTTAAAGGCCTTGGTGGGTTATGAAGAATATAACGGAAACACTGTTATTTTTTGTGTATGTGTCAGTTACTCTCTATCACTCTTTTTTTTTTCATTTTTATGCTCTCATTCTATCTATCTACCTGAAGGGAAAGCTCGTATTTTTGTTGTTGCTTATAGATGATGCCAAGTCTAAAATAAATCTCATTTGCCTTTTCAAACTTTGGATCCATCTTCATCACAGCCGAAAAGGCTTCCTCTGCATGTTCTAATGAGCCATAACGATCGTACAAAATACCAATACCATACCAAAGCTTGGGGTCCTTTTTTTATATATATATATCATACGCGTAGTTTGTTAGTATAAGACGCAACAAACAATAATAATGATGATGTTATTTTTTTTTTTTTTACCTTGGGATTAGACAAATGGTACAGTGCTTGTTGATAGGCTTGATAGGCTTCTTGGAGATTGTCCATCATTAAATAACAATGACCCAAAGCAGCCCAGGTCTCACCGTTATTCTCTTGAATAGCTAGAATTCGCTTGAAATAGTCGACGGCTCTAGCGAATTGCTCTCGACCTCTACATAATGACGCGATCTGAGACAAGGCAAGCACCGAGTAAGGGTTGTGTCTGAGAGCGGATTCATAACAGCTCATGGCCTTATCATAATCAGTCATCATTTCTGCAAGATTACCTGTCATTTTTTTAAATGGTGAGTTACAAAAAAAGAAAAAAAGGCACATGAAGTAAGTTACCCATGGTCAACCATGTTTGTTCATTGACTTGAGCCAACTTTTGAGCTGCTGTAACTTGTTGCGGTGGTACAGTCGCTGCCATTGTCTATAAGTAAAGCGTGTGTTAAAAAAAAAGGCCGGGGGCTGTGTATATAAAAGAGCGTTATAAAGAAAAGAAAAAGAAAAAAAAAATAACGTGAAAAGGGTCAATCTTCCAACCCTGCGTACACGCAATAAATAAAAATGGGTGGTGGTTTTTTTTTTTTTTTTCGCAAGATTGTCCCATCTGGTTTTTTCTACGTCATTTTTTTTTCTTTTTTTTTTTTTCGATACGCGACTAAAATAGTAAATGAGTTACCTTCTTTAATATTGATTAGCGAAAAAGAAAGTTAAAAAAAAAGAGTGAAATAACAGAGATGGAAAGGGAAAAAAGAATTTGAACTTGAAGTCTTGTGTAAATTAGTAATTTTCTCTCGTTTTCTCTTCTTTGTTGTTTGATTTTTAATATCTTTTTTAAGAAAAAGGAAGAAGAGAGAAAAAAGAAGAAACAAGAAACACAAAAAAAAAAAAAAAAATTATTGAGGGTCCAGAGTCAAAATGCACAAAAAAAAAAAAAAAAAAAAAAAAAAAAAACCCAAATCCGCACGCCGTCTTAATTATTGCTTTCAGACACACATGGCAGCTCCCCCCGCAAACACACACACTCACCCCCCAAAAAAGGTGCCTCAGTCGGAGACTCAATTTACTTTTTTACTCCCCAAAAAAAAAAAACCTTCATTTCTTTTTTTGGGCTGTTTTACAACAAATCAGGAGCTTTGATGTCTGTACTCCCCGATCTATCCTGTACCCGCAATAACAAGGGAAATAAGCACTTACCACACTCTATCATACCTGATTCTATTTATCTCGCATGACCCTTTGGTTAAACAACCTTTTTTTTTTTCTTAAGAAGCAGTCATGCAAATCCAGCAACTTGGAATTAAAAAAATCATGCACTTTTATTAGCTTATTCTAGATGCTACAAGTGCGTCCCTCACTGCTTTCTCCGCCTCACTTCAGCACCACACTGTCCGATTGGTGATGGCGAGCGACACGTATTCGCTACTCAGCTATTTCTGACAGTAGGATGTAATATAAAAAACATCACACGTGAGCTCATTTATTATTTATATTACTGCTTACTTTACATCTTTTCAAAATTTTAGTTTATGAAAAGCGCTCTCGATTACCTAGTCTAATTGTAACTACAGAGAACGAGTTTGCATAAATGGCCTTTATAAATAGTATCACGCTTTTGCCTTCATATTACAAAACCTTTGGAGTTGGTACCTAGTGATCTCGTCTGTTCATAGAAGCTGGATAATTGCTGTCTAGTACAGTCTGATCCCCCCAAACCGGCCATCACCCCCTCCCCCGCTATAACTAGCCGCAGTCATAATATCGTTGATTTTCTGCCTGTAAAATACACATGGATTTATATTTTAGAATTTACCTGTGAAAGTGTACGTACTGAAAAAAGAAATAAAGAGAAAATAAGTGTGTGAACTGTTTTTTTATTTATACAATATATATATATACTAATGTCAGAGTCAGTTATCACATCAATAGATCTAAAATTGAAGACACATGATTGTTCCAGATTTTTACCAATGTGTGAACACCTGATGTTTAATACACACAAATAAGACTGGCGTCATTCATTCCCGGTGAGTAGATAGCGTGAATGCAAAGTGTCAGATATGGGGCTATCTCTGATAGAGTATTGATAACATGATCTAAAAAAAAAAAATTAAAGGGGAAAGTAAGGTGGGACCCGCATCATTTTTTTTTTCTCTGCAGCAAGACAAGGAAAAATCCGCCCTTTTTTTTTTTTTTTTTTATTCTTATTGATTAAATGTATTTGATATGAATCTAGAATGAGGTAAACAGTAAGGAGTAGCATAGACGCCATGAAATTAATCATTTAAATCCCCACGATAATTTATGGTTTAACCCTCGCTTTAAGAACAAACCATACAAGATTATCAGAAGAAAAAGACAATCAAAATACTAGGTCTCACGGATGTAAACGCACTTCCTGCATTCTATTAAACAATGAAAAAAAAAAATTACACTAGTATTAGTCAACACAACACTGTATTCCATCATCATCATTACTGTTTATTTTGCATGACCAAAACCCATGGCAACGCTCATCCTTATCCATGACAATTCTCATCTGTATTGACACTATAACCTGTATTCATGAAATACATGTAACCAACACGACAGAATACCCTTCCCTAAATAAACGTCTAGCTCTATTTTACCTTTTTTTTTCTTTTTTTTTTTTTTTATTTCCTTTTTTTTTTTCCTTTCTAATCTACAATCAAATCACGGACTTTCCAGTCTTCATAAGTACCATCTGGCATAAAACGACGAATAATCAATGGAATTTTCTTTTCTCTTAATTCTCTGTTGGCAATAGCAAGTGCGTCTGTTTCACCGTCAATTTCGATCATGACAGGTGCACTTAAACTTTTTGTTTTTGTTTTGTTATTTTTGTCAGAAAATAGCATGAGCTAAGCATGGATGAATGTCTTTTACCTGATTTGCAATGCTCTTGTACCGAGAATTCTAGCCTTTTCATATTTTGTCATGTAAGGTGTTGTTATACGTTCAGTACGTTCAGCGCTGTTTATCTCGGTTGGTACAGTACCCACACCTCCTGCCATCACATCATCTAAAATGGCCACTGATTCCCCTTGTTGCTCATCGTAAACAGGCTCTTCGACCTACTCGATTACAGTGTTAACATGTTTTCCATGTTTTTTTTTTTTCGTGTTTATTTCTCCTCCCCCACCCCAACTCATTGAATACCTCTTCTTCTTCATAATGATCGGAATAACTATAAGAGAGACGTGACTTAGTATGTGCAGCTCTATCTGATTCAACCAAACAATAAAAAAAGTGTGAATCATTTACTCGTTGAAATCTTGGGGTTCGTCGTCCTCGTAATCCATGGTAATATGTGTTTAGTGGGAGAGGTATCTATTCTAAAAACAATGATAACAATATATAAAAAAAAAAAAATTGATTTCGTCATTGTTCTAAGCGGTCACACCGCGCTGGGAAAAGAAAAAAAAAAGAATTACAATGCCGCCGCGCCTACGCAAAAAAAAAAAAAAAAAAAAAAAACTGTGAAAAGTTAGCATGACGAAATCAGGCCTCATTTTAATATTAAAGTAAAATTTTGTTTATCGGGTAGATAAGACATTATCATGATTGAGATAGCTGTACTACACTCTCCAAATTTATATATATAAAAATATAAATGATGTGTTTTAGACTGATAAAGTGTTTTCTTTTTTTCTATTCCCTTATCAAAAAAAATATGTTTCAACAACTTCCTCCCGGCAGCGCCATTATTTCAAATACCCCCATCGTTTCAAAATACGATTATAAACCAAGTCTAACTAAAGTGCCTGTGGAATACATCTTTATTGACAAGAACCATCAACTACGATCTAAAGCAAAGACATTGGACTTTATACCAACCTCACTTAAAGATATCCCGCCATTAAATCTATTTCTAGATGATGAACAAAAGAAAGCAAACGAAGATTTACACTTGACACTACAGCAATATCAACCTGTCGCCATGTATGATGACCCTTTTCGTGCTACTCATGGTGGAAAGTTAGTCTTGTGTGAATCACCTACACGAAAAGAGTGTAAAGACATTATGGATCATTATGCTCTGCTAGAACCATGGTTTGGAATGGAACAGGAATACGTCCTATTTGATCCAAAAACGAATAAACCTTTAGGCTGGCCAATGCATGGTGAACCTGAATCCCAGGTAGATATTCTTTTTTTTTTTCATTTGCATTCATGTCCCCCTTATTAATTTTTCATTCTTCTATCAAGGGTAAATATTATTGCGGTGTAGGTGCAGGTAAAATCTTTGGTAGAGATATCATTGAAGCCCATTATAGAGCATGTTTATATGCAGGCATCACCATATGCGGGTCAAATGCAGAGGTCACACCAGGTCAGCTAGAATATCAGATTGGACCATGCGTTGGCGTATCTATCGGGGATGAATTATGGGTGGCAAGGTACATTATGGAACGCGTAGCTGAAGATTTCGGTATAATTGTGTCGCTGCATCCAAAACCCATTTTAGGCGATTGGAATCCCACAGGCTGCCACACAAGTAAAATTTTAATTTTTTCAAGTACGGATAAAATATTAATCCCCCTTTGCTTTGCTTTATTTTTTTCTTGATAGATTTCTCCACAAAAGAAATGCGGTCAGTGGAGACGGGATTACAAGCAATAGATCAAGCAATTGAGAATATGAGTTGGAAGCATCTAGAACATATCCAGGTGTATGGTCAAGATAATCATTTAAGATTAACGGGAGAATATGAGACGGGTCACATTAGTGTATTTTCATACGGCGTCGGTAATCGTGGAGCATCCATCAGAATCCCTCGTAGAGTCGCACTAGAAGGAAAAGGTTACATGGAAGATCGTCGGCCTGCTTCGAATATAGATCCATATCTCGTCACTTCCATCATGATGAAATCATCTTTTAATTACAAGTCTCCGCTTGAGCAATCCATATCATGTATATTTTAATAATAAAAATCAAAATAAATAAAAAAAAAAATGGGGCTGAACCAGGTCTCCTTATTATAGTAATATATATTTATTATTGTATTATATTAGATGATCTTGACTAAGCACCGGTATTGGTAGGATCCTCGCTAGGAACAGGACCTAAACGTCTAGCGGTTGGATCATCAAAACCGTAAAGAGTATCAGGCTTGTTGGAAGAGCGCATAGCATCATTGGCAAACCCTTTGGGAACATTGGGATCCATATGTTGTCTTTCATGATGGTGATGATGGTCCTTCTTGTGGTCCTTATGCACTTCTTCCTTAAGCTCACCTTCCTTATGCTCACCTTCTGTATGTTCACCTTCCTTATGCTCAGCCTTATCCTTGTGATGTTTGAAGATACTAGAGAAATGCATTTTTTTGGTTTATGTGAGAAAAATAATAAGAAAAAAGAGGTTGAAAAGCATGGATGAAACATTGCTTTTTATATGCGAACGAAACAGAAGGTGTGACGAGGGTTTAAAAATTATAAGCGTGAAAAAAAAAAAACAAAAAAAAAGAAAATGAAAAAAGCTTGTCAGTTTGATGTTGTTGCCTTTAAAATTTAAAATACTGAAAGTTCAGTTTCTATGGCAACTCTTAGTGCCCATTTTTATTTTTTATTAATTTTTATATTTTTTTCGTGAAATTAAATGTACATTGCCTTCATCTTGACATTAAAGAGGAAATTTTTTATATTCCTCATGTTTTTACCGCCGTTTTAAAAAAAAAGTTTTTTTTAAATATGGGTAGGACTTTTATTTGAAAAAAAAAATCCTCTTTCTTCATTTGTCTTTACTTTCCCACGAAGAAAAATGTCTACCGAACAATACCGTCTCCCTACTCGCGGCAACGTCGAAAAAGTTTTGAGAAACTTTGAAGCCAAAGAAGGTCTTATTTATTTAACCGGACAAGTCGTTCTTGAAAGAGACGATACTGATGTTGAGCAACCTTTCCGTCAAGAATCCAACTTCTTCTACGTTACCGGTAAAGTAATAGATAGATAACCAAGAAATCCCAAAAAAATTAAACACATGATAAATTTTTTTTTTTAGGTGTTGCTGAACCCGACTTTCAATTGGTCATTGATATTGCCTCCAAGCGTATTCAATTGATTGCTCCCAACGTAGACCCTGATCACGTCATGTGGATGGGTTTACCCGACACCTTAGAAACTTTGGTTGAAAAGTATGACGTCGATGAAGCCATCTATGCTGACAAGTTGAACGATATCTTGGCCTCTGCTTCCATTGTCTATACTTTGCCCATCACAAAGACTGACAAGGTTCAAACCGCAAAATTATGTAACGCCCAACAAAGCAAGAATTTGCATACTGCCTTTGCTGAAGCTCGTGCCTACAAGGCTCAATGGGAAGTTGATATTATTCGTGAAGCAAACAGAATTTCTTCTTATGCCCATAACAAGGTAAAATAATATCATAAAAAGTTTAGCGTCTTTATAAAAATTGACTCGAATTTTTTTTTTTTTTTATTTTATTTTTTGACAGGTCATGGTTGCTTCTCATGTTGGTTCCACAGAAGCTAAATTATTTGCCAAATTCTTATACGAGTGTGCTTTCCACGATTCTTTCCAACAAGCTTACTACCCCATTGTTGGTGTCGGTAAGAACGCCGCGACCCTTCATTACAACAAGAACAATGCTCCCTTAAAGAACGCTAATGATTTGGTCTTGGTGGATGCTGGTTGTGAAGTCGATTGTTATGCCTCTGATATTACCAGATGTTTCCCTGTTGGCGGTAAGTTCTCTCCTGAAGCACGTACTATCTACACCATCGTACTTGACATGCAAAAGGTAAGCAATTTTTTTTCCCTTGTAACTGTTTGACTCCCCCATCCCCCCGGAGAGACAAATATGTCAACATATTTTAAAGGGAGCATAGAATTTCGGGTGAACCATTGACCTTTTTTTTTCTTCTTTCTCTTTAGGCTTGTCTTGATGCCTGTAAGGCTGGTGTCCCCTGGGAAACCATTCATAACATTGCCGCTGATGTTGCTACCGATGGTCTTTTAGCTTGTGGTATTCTTGTTGGTGATAAGAAAGATATCCAAGCAAACTATGTTACCGCTGCTTTCTTCCCTCACGGCAGTAAGTTTGTTATAAATTTGTGAAAAAAAAAAAAAAAAGTTAGCTTACGGAGGGAAGATTAATTGATATTTTCTAAAATAGTTGGACACATGCTTGGTCTTGATGTTCACGATCAAGGTGGTTACCCAGAAGGTACTGAACGTATCGATGCTCCTGGTATTCGTAACTTGCGTATGCGTCGTAACCTCGAAGCTGGCTTCGTCGTTACTGTCGAACCTGGTGTGTACTTCTGTGATTTCTTGATTGATCCTGTCATGAATGATCCCGTTACTGGCAAGTTCATCAACAAGGAAGCTTTAGATAAGTACAAGTCCGTTGGTGGTGTTCGTATTGAAGACAACATTCTTATTACCGAGGATGGTCACATTAACTTGACCACTGCCCCTAAGGAAATCGCCGAGGTCGAGGCCATGTGTGCTTCCGAATTCTAAATTTTATTTTTTGTTGAATAAAAAAAAAAAATTGTTGTATAAAAAAAAAATGTAATCTGTATACATTCAATAAAATTTATGCATCTAATTAAAAGTCGTGTAATAAAGGTGATGCATGTGAATTGTACATTTTAAATATATCACAAGTGTGCCAATGTTTCGTCTTTATTAACATCATCTAACGTAAAAAAAAAAAAAAAAAAAAAAAAAAAAAAAAAAAAAAAAAAAAAAAAAAAAAAAAAAAAAACGCGGGAGCAAATCAAGTGCACTTCGGCGAGACACAACCCGGTTATTTTTTTTTAAACTAATATACTAACGATTCTATTTCTATATATCGCCGCAATAAGAAAGTTTATCTGAGTCATTAGTGGGAACGAATGAAAAAGATCGAAAAGTGGAAATATAAGTGGAGATGACATACGATTCAAAAGACCTAGACATGTTTTACCAAATGGGTTTCTCGATTTACAGAGTTTGTATTATTATTTGGAAGGGACCAGCTTCTCTTTCCGAGTTACTATTACAAGATAAATCATGATGATCATCATCATAATGTTTGTATATTGAATTTACAAATAAAAACAACATCATCCATTGTCACGCGTTACCCGCACGTGTTTCACAATACAAACATTATCACCCCAGATTTTTTTTTTTTCTGTCTGGTCCTGCCTATAAATCACTAAATAGTAACGAAAAAACTTCCCTTTTGGTAAATGGGGGATATGGCCAGTGTAACAGGCTATAAGGGAATGTGACAAACTGTGGCACATATTTTCGATTTATTCCCATCGGAAAGCCCCTTTATGTGTCTGGGTGTCCGCTTCCCAGATTTGAGTTGTTTGTGTACACAAGATTATGTTTTTAATAAAACCTTAAATTTTATAATACAAATTATATGCACAGGTCCCAATGGAGACAAAACATAGCCTAAAATTTTATTTGTATTGATCCCAACAATCGAGGTTAATTGTAACATTATAATTCACAGGAGTCAGATAATAGTCGGTTTTGTGCTGCTAAGTAATGACGCAGTAACAGGATGATATGTTGGGCTGCATGCTTTTTTTTTTTATTGATGTATAAATAAAATGACGCATCACAACGAGTTAATAGGATGAATGAATCAATTATTGGAGTCATCGTAGTGTTTAGCTGTCTTGGTAATAAGAAGCATAAAGCAATCATTTGATAAAAGAAGTATTGTCTTATTTACATTAACTTGGTGCACGATTTCTTTATTGGTTTATGTTTTTGGCCTGGAAAGGTTTTTAGGAGGAGGTGGGATACGGAACTTATTGATGCGTCGTGGGTTCCATGTTCCTCTAATAGACTCTTGCTCTTCAGTCAACTCTTAAGGATGTACTTGTCCCTTTTTTCTTTTCAACTTTTTTTTTTTTTTTGGCTTTTTCACTTTGTTGCATTATCACACGTATTTCATTCTCCACCGCAAGCTTAGAGAAAGATTCATTCTTATTATTTGGTTAGAGACAACAATAGTTAGAGGACAGATTATTTAGGCAAAATAAATCTACCCCTATTCTTGTAGCATATAAACTTCGCTTCGCTGCGGGGATGCCAACCTACGCTTATAGACTTATATTGGTAAAGTCTAAATAAAAACGCTTGACCCGTTTTAAAATATTTAAAACCCAGTTCCTGTTTATGCAGCCTTAGGTTCTTCCCTATTCTTGGATACAAAGGCTTTGGGCTATTAATCTAATTCACAATGTTGCAACCAAAAGTAAAAAGGTCGATATAACTGAATACCAGTGTAGAAAAACGTTTTTAACACTCATTATTATTTAGCAATCAGCAACTTTTACTTTTTTTTTTTTCTATTTCTGAATGATGTCGACTTCTACCTTCTTTTATAAAACATAACCGACAACCGAATATGTCATAGCTACTGTTCATTCCATAACAACAGAACGACAATAAATGCTAATTGTCAACTTTTATTTTTTGCCAGCTATTGTGAATCTAGAAAACAATGTTGAAAGAAACTTACAAAGCGATCTCAGAAATCCTTATTTTAAATCAACATAACAGTGTCAGTAACGGGATAAGGACCAACATTTGCTAGCTGATAATTTTGACGACTTTACACATGCCACTGACTGCCCTGTCGTCTGATTAAGTGTATTTTAGAAGGATGAAAAGTGTTTGAAAGGATGAAAAGTCATAATCTCAAATGGTTGCTATCTGGTTCGGAAATGGTAAGGTATAAAACGAATTATTATCGATGTGCGTTCACAGTTTGATCATGTGCTTATGGTTGTCTTCTAATCTTGAAGAGGATTGACGATATCGTTTAAACCTGTCTTCGTTCATATAATCTTCTAACACTGCCTTCCCGAAAACCATTCAATCCAGTCTAATAAACATCTTGTAAGAGAGTTAAATGCAGTGTTCAGTATATCGACAATATATACACCGTATATGATGTATTTTGTTTTGAAAAAAAAATAGAATTTAGATTTGTCCTGATGCTGATAAATCTCATATTTTTTTCTGATGGGTTTATTAAGCCTAATGTTTAAAAACTTGACTTGGTTTTATAAATCAGCGTAATTGCTTATATCCTTCGAGTTCAAATAAATTTTAAACTCATGTAATTCTTGCAGTTTAGTATACACCAGCAAGATAAAGTTGTAAGTAAATAACATTGAAAAACTGTTTGTACAGGTATCGAAGAAGTATATCTAGTTGTCTTCAACTTGCATGGTAAATTTATCTCTTTTTCATTTCCATAAAGCCAGTCTTTGCTATTAATTTAAAGTTTTTATAAAAAAGCTGGCTCCAATAAAAGCCAATAAACACTTTTGCTGAATCGCAAACGCATTCTTCATCAATGTTTGGTGCCTTGGCGGGAGCTGAACACTGGTGAAATTTTTAAAAAAAAAGCAGCACACAGGTCCCGAAATAGCTTTTTCTCCTCCTTCATTAACCCTTAATACATGCACCATGGCAAGATGGAAATGGAGTTTGAGTTTGCTATTTATTTTAGCAATACAAGTTTTGTGCGATCAACAAGAACAAGTCGAAGGTTTTTTTAGTCAAAGTGGACATACGAATAACTGGGCCGTGTTAGCAAGTATATATGCATTGCTACGAAAATTCGACCTTCATTAACCAATGTTTTTTCAAAAAAAAAAAAAAAAAAAAAAAACTAGGTTTGTACTTCTCGATTCTGGTTCAATTACCGTCATGTGGCAAACACCTTATCCATGTACCGAACAGTAAAACGACTGGGTATACCCGATTCGAATATTATTCTGATGTTGGCCGATGATGTTTCTTGTAATCCTCGAAATAAATATCCTGCAACTGTATACAACAATGCGAATCGTTTATTAGACCTGTACGGTGATAATGTGGAAGTGGATTATAGAGGATATGAGGTTACTGTAGAGAACTTTATTCGTATGCTTACAGGTATAAAATGGGAGGGAAAATAAGGAATATATGGGCATTTGCGTTAACCCAAATGTATTTTTTTATATGGTAGGCCGTGTGTCTCCAGATACACCCCGTTCAAAGAGATTGTTATCAGACGATAGATCCAACATTTTGGTCTATATGACAGGGCATGGTGGGGATGAGTTTTTAAAATTCCAAGATGCTGAAGAAATCAGTGCCTACGATTTAGCTGATTCATTCAAGCAAATGTCTGAGAAAAAGAGATATAACGAAATTTTGTTCATGATTGATACTTGCCAAGCAAATACAATGTACAGTAAAATAAACTCTACGAACATTCTTGCAACTGGCAGTAGTAAATTAGACGAGAGCTCATACTCCGTAAGTGCATACCGGAAGATGTAAAAGCGTCATATCCACTAAAACATAATCCTTGTACACAGCATCATACAGATTATGATATCGGTGTTGCTGTTATTGACAGTTTTACTTATTACAATTTGGAGTTTCTGGAAAAAGTGGATCAAACAAGTGATAAGACCCTTCAAGAATTGGTAATAAGAAGAAAATAAAAATAGAAAAAAAAAGATCGACATACTAACATTCCCAGAATAGTTTGATACGTACGATCCGGTCAAAATTGCGTCTCATCCTGGTATTAGATCAGATTTGTTCAACAGACCATTGGATAAGGTCAAAGTAACCGACTTTTTTGGAAATGTTCAAAATGTAGAATTAACCAAGAGCAGATATCCGTTACTACAAGATGATAGTGTGGATGAAGAACCAATCTTTTTTGCCCCAAATAACACATTACCAGCCAAAGACCATCTTTTCCGTTCTTTTCTTGTTGAAAAGAGCTCAAAGTCGAGTACATTATTCGGCGTATTATCAGCACTCCTCATTGGATATGTCATTAGTGCAACCGTGATAATGTAAATACGGTCTGTGCATTATAACCCGTATAATAAACACATGGTTTTCCCTAATTATTCATCCCCCCCCCCTTTTCCCCCTTTGATACCCCTATTTAATCAACAACATGGCAATTATGAATCGTGGTTTTATATTATTTCTCTCCTTAAAGGCCGTACATCTGCATATCATTGTACAAACTTAAATTTTTGTAATAACAAGTGTGGTTTTTTTTTATATAAAATAATAGATAGGTAATAATTGTAAATAATATCATATTAATTGGGTGTGTCTAAATATACAATAATCTATTTATAATAGGTTGATGATGATGTGTAATTGTGTGTGTGTGTGTGTGTGTGTGTGTGTGTGTGTAATTGAGTGTGTATATAGGTGTATAGATTATAGTACACTTTTAGTTATTGAATGGTACATTGGCAGTAAACAGGACCAGAGCTTTCTTGCGGATCCCATTCTCCATGATCGTATTCTCGTTGGTTGCTGTTTTTAGAGTGTGGATATATATTGTTATTGGTATTCTGTGTCAGACTAGTCATGGCAACAGCAGGCATCTTTGGAAGTTTAAAACTAGAATCATCTACGTTTTTACCGAGCGCGCTTACAGCCTGTGAATGATAATCTTCGTCTTCCGCATGTTTACAATGGTCATCGGTTACTGTTGTTGTTGTGGATTGAGCAATATCAATGACGGGATTTTCACGTTTCCTCTCTTCCCAAATGGCTAAATTCGTTTTTATATGATCTACAGGAAAAGACAATTCTACGGGACACATGGGTTAAGGGTCTATTTGAATGCATTTATCTTTTTCATCTATATTTACCTTGCATATAATCACTTATGCTCTGAAATAAACCAAGTGCAACAAATCTCATAAATCCAATTTGAAAATCTTCTAACACGATCTTGGATCGATCATTCATAGGCAATACATTCATTCCTAGTTCACGTTCCAGATCACCCTGTGAGGCAAATTCTTCAATTAATACCTTGGCCCACTCAAATGCTCGATCAAACGGTCTCGCAACGTTACTAATGTCAGCACATTTGATGAGACCACTACAGAATAAGAGTCTTTCTTCTAAGCATTTGGCTGCGTCCCAATCGTTAGGGTCACTTTCTTCTAAACGCAGTTTCTGTTCATTGATCTTAAGCACATAATCACTATGCAATGCCATATCTGTTGCTAAAATAGTTGTTATAACCAGCTTTCGAAATTCTAAAAGAAGAAATAAGTCATGGTTCTCTTTAACCTATATGTCCCATTGCCCTGGCCTACCATTGTATTCGCCAGCCAATACGATGTCGAACTGATGTTTTTTTAGCAATTGGAATAATGTCATAGCATGAAAGCTTTCTAAAACGGAATTGTCGTTATATAATAAAGCGAGAGGAGCCGAAGTATTGATCTAGCATAAGGGGGAGATGTTAATGAATTTGATGAATTTTTTTGAAGAAGGGAGCTTACAAGAAATGCATTGTTCACGCCTGGATGTGCTATATCGTGACCTATAGCTGCAATTAATAAAGCAAATATATCTCTTGGCCTCAATATATGATAGGATTTTGGGTTTGATAGTAATGGTGAGCCATCCGCAAAAGGTAGTAATCCCATTTGACATAGAAAGAAATAAATGCATTGAAGCACATCTATTGCATGAGCGAAATTATGATATGGATTTTCATCGTTGTATATATTTGATAGATCAATCACAAAACTGTATAATTGATCTAGTGAAAATATTAGAGACACATAATGATTTGAGATGCAAATTTTTACCTTCAGTAAAGCGAGTTACTTGGGATAATGAGAATACTTGGGAAATCATAATGACCGCACAGTGAATTAAATCATCATTTGACAAACTTAACGGGCTGAAATCCCATACAGACACTTTTTTTTCCAATCGTTTTCTATTCTCACTATACACATGTTGTTAGTAAATAATAAACTGGATAGGAGGGAATCTCCTTTTACCTGGTCAATGGTTTACAAGTATTAGATGTCAATGGGATACAATTATCCAATAAAGCTTTCGTAAAATTATGTATATCTTTTATATGTAATGCCTTTATTCTATCCGGTTGGGACGATAAAACTGTTGGCGTAGTTGGCGAAATAACCGAGGTCACTGTACTAATGGTACTAGACGAAACTAGATGATCTTGATAAAGGGTCGATTCTGTTAATTTCGAATGCTGCCGATGAAGTGTCTATTGTATAAACCATTTAGTATTTGCCCGTAACTTTTTTTTTGGGGGGGGGGGAGTTCGGTAATTACGCACCAAAAATAAAGTCTTTATAACATCTGGTCTTAACGGTGCCAGCAAGTAATCAGCGGCGCCTGCTTGAATACATTCGAGCATAAAACTAGCATCCTGTTTCGGTGAACAAACTACGAACGAAATTAGACTTGCAGAAAAAAAAAAAAAAAAAAAAGTATACGGAAGGGGATACTTACTAATGACAGGTACTGTATCGGGCATTCGGTCTACTAGCTGAGTGACCAAATCGAGTTGGTCAGTTGTTGAAATTGCTCCGTCTAATTCGAATAATAACATTGTTGAAGATGATGGTAGTAATTTTACATAATTTAGACATGATTCGAGATTTGATTCTTTGTGGACTTTTTTATTTAGGGCAAGGAAAAAATAAAGTAGGAAAAAGAAAAATGGGAAATGAAACAAACAAAAAGCTTAAAATTAATGACTTTGTTTTTATTATAATGACAATAAGATTTTACCATGTCCAAATACACTTTTTAGTAAAGCAATAGTTGTGTCTTCATCATTGTCTGAAATATAAAATGGATTTGTTTGCTTTAATAAAATAATAGTACATGTTTGTGGATCCATTTAAAACGGGAAAAGAAAAAAGTATATAAAATAAAGAGAAAGGGAGTTAGGAATGTGTATAAGAAAAGAGAAAAAAAAAATGAAAAAGTGAAAGAAAGAGGAAAGAAATGCTGTATCACAAAAAATATTTTTGTGTATGAAAGGGCAGTAAAGAAAAGGGGATTCAATCTTGGTGAAACAATAGGCACCCAGACTCCTATCTTTTAATACTAAAATAATGGGTGCCGCAGATTTCCCTGTTGATGATCATTTACATTTTGATTTAGCCAACTGTCCACATTATCAATTTTGAAATCCTGTAATGCCTCAACTATATTGCCAATGTCCGTTTCCATGGTTACACTAGTCTTTCTGGATGATGTTAACCCAAATGCCTCTGGTGTCGATTTAAATCCTGAGTCTGTAGTTTGGATCCCTACAGAACATTGTCTCGTCGCTTTATACAGTGAAAACGGTAAATTTTGTCACTTTGAGAAATTTAAATGTCCGTAACAAATAAATAAATGTCACTTTCCCAAAAAATTAATGGCACTAAGCCGAAAATGATTGTCCCTTGATGTCTAGAAACTTAGTCCTTTTGAAAAAAAAAGAAATGTCATAATAAATTAAATCAAATTGACCTAAACATGATATATATTTTTTGACTTCGTAATGATTAAAATTGAGTTTTGTTATAACATTGAAAGATATATCGTTTAGAAAGATTGGCAGAGTTGTAAAGAATTTCAGCAGGTATGGCATTACATGCCTCAGCAATGCTATCAGACAATTTTTCTTCAGTCAATAGTTTGTAGAGTTTCGATTTTCCTTTTAAGATTACCCAAAACTGTTCAATTGGGTTTAAATCAGGCGAATATGCAGGCAGACACATCAGCTTGTAGCCAACACATTAGATTTTCCTCATCATCCGTTTGTTTCACTGCTTAGAAAAAAAAATCAACCGGTCCATTTCACGGAAATGTCTAGAACTCCGTATTTTTTTTCAAACGTATTTTTTAGAATCAAGCGATGGTCTACATGTCGATTGACATGCCATATCATCTAAACTTCATGGGATGATCGATTTCTGCTTTCTATAAAATCTGCTTCACTGTCATTACAAGTTACTGTTGAAACACACATAGATAATTACCAAGCTCTGACTTGCTTGGGAGGTTTTTTCAAGTGTTTCTATTTTAAGTAAAGGCTCAAACATTATGGATGATAAAATAGACAAATGAAATCATCCTAACATAAGCTTGTTTATCTATAAATAAAGCTGGTTCACACACTTTATTCTTCCCCTTTTCTTTTCCCTTAACATACTTGTCATTTATCTTATGAAAGTAACCGATCACGTAAAAAGGCTTGTTTAGTTGTGACTCTTGTTTCTTTGAAAAGAAGCTAAATTGAAAAAGATATATTGTGATATTGCGGCTGCGGCTAGTCTTTGCTATAGGAGGGCGACCTCCTAGGCAGGGTTCTTGAGTTTTTGGAACTCACGAACCGTGAATAGCTGGGATTGGAAAGAAGAAATTGAAAAAAACCGCGAATAAATTGACAAGAACAAAGATGGAAAGGGAGATATCTTGTTTTGTAAGCCAAAATAATTGCGAGAAACGAAATCTTTGTTAATTACATTAAAATATAGGCAATGTCACGCAAATTATAGATTTTATAAACTATGTATTTCGACCACATGTAGAATTTTCACCAGACTCTCCGTACAAGCTAGATTATGTATATGATAAAGAAATTTTAGTTGTTTGGGCTTTTACAAAAAGATTCGATAAAACTACATCTTTAGCATTTAGCAAATGGTTGAAAAAGCAAAGCATCGATTTTTTATCAGAAGAGACAGAACGTAAATTAGTAAAAGGAGACACAGGCGACGAAAAGATAAGAAGACGCCATTTAAATGTTTTGAATAGCGTATATTATGGTAAAGCTCGTAAAAGGCATCGCAAATAATCAAATAAATTAACTCCAGTTCTGTAGCTGGCCTTGTGAAAAAGATTGTAGATATGATACCAAGATACCATGCTTATATAAACCAATTGAAAAAGGACGGATATCACATTGTCGGTTATTGTAGAAAGTCCAAAACACAAAGTAGCAATCGAGCAATTAAATTGCAAAGAATGGTTGACATATTACGACAAAGGTCGCTCGTTAAAAAAAATTTCGTCTCACCTTCCAGCAGCGTAAAAGAGAGTTTTTATAAACGAGACTTCAATGATCAAGATATTTTATCGGAATTAGATGAAATTAACGGATGATTAGGAAAATCTAATGTGTTGGCTACAAGCTGATGTGTCTGCCTGCATATTCGCCTGATTTAAACCCAATTGAACAGTTTTGGGTAATCTTAAAAGGAAAATCGAAACTCTACAAACTATTGACTGAAGAAAAATTGTCTGATAGCATTGCTGAGGCATGTAATGCCATACCTGCTGAAATTCTTTATAACTCTGCCAATCTTTCTAAACGATACATCATTCAATGTTATAACAAAACTCAATCTTAATCATTACGAAGTCAAAAAATATATATCATGTTTAGGTCAATTTGATTTAATTTATTATGACATTTCTTTTTTTTTCAAAAGGACTAAGTTTCTAGACATCAAGGGACAATTATTTTCGGCTTAGTGCCATTAATTTTTTGGGAAAGTGACATTTATTTTTTTGTTACGGACATTTAAATTTCTCAAAGTGACAACATTTACCGTTCTCACTGTATTCTAAATTCATCCGTAATCTGTAATTCTATCATTCACATGTAAGTATAAATTATTTCCAGTCTATTCACACTACCTCTTGTTTTAATTGATATAATTCAACGTCTTTAGTCATCATATCTTGCAAATGAAACAATCGCAACTTTAAATCAAAATTTTCCTTTTTAAGATCTGTGATCATCTAATAAAAGCTTAGGATCATAAGAATACTTCACTACATTATTTTCTACCTTTTCCACTTGCTTCATAGGCGCAATGGTTGTCGGCTTCGTTTTGACTTGGGCTGGTTTTTCTAGCCGTATACAGCTATTATCATGATTGCCAGGTGGCCTACCTAAATGTGATGTATGAAATCTTTTTATACTGCCACTTGAATATTCTGTGTGACACGAGCGTGATACATCGTTGTTATTTTGTGCCTCTAATAACTGGAACGAAGGAAGGCTTCGTGACCTCAATTTTATTGCATCATTCATAGTTGTGTAATAATTGTACGAGTGAAAAAAGGACAGGAAAAAAAATGTATAAATGTCCCGACTAATTAGATTTTTTTTTTATTTTTTTATTTATTATTTTTACCAAGGAAATTATAATTTCACCACCTTGAATATGGCTGCTGTTGCTGGGAGGAAGACATAGTTGAATTCTGTTGATAACTATCTGTCATAACTCCGTCAGGATTATACGTGAAACCCTTAAATTGTTCCTGCATCGTCTTTGAAATTTGTGAGTCTTCTGCGGTAGTCATGGACTCGACGGGTTGCTCCGATGTAAATTCGTCATCAAAGTTTGTTGTATCATATACATTCTGCACCGAAGGTTTAAATGGCGGCTGTACAGCTTTTACCATCAACTTATTCCAATCGATTGATTTGAAGAAGACATGGTTTTTTATTTCGTCCGTACCTTTATTTCCCAGTCTAGCATTTGGATCACGATTTAAAAGTCCACTCAAAAGGCTAGAGGCAGAATCTGACATGTCATCTGGAAATTTCAGTTCTTGTTGCAATATCTTTCTATACATCTCATTTGTATTCTCATCATAAAACGGGGGTAGTCCGGTTAGCATTTCATATAATAATACACCCAATGTCCACCAGTCTACATTTTTGGTATAGCCCTTTCCTAAAAGTAGTTCTGGTGCTAAATATTCTGGTGTGCCACAAAAAGTGTTTGTCCTTTCAGTTTCGGTCATATTTAATTTACACAATCCAAAATCGCATAGAGCTATATGTCCATTATAATCAATCAAAATATTTTCTGGTTTGAGGTCGCTACAGGATAAAAAGAGAAAAAAATTAGATTGTGTATAAACATTAGTTTTTCCTCTTCCACTTTCTCACCGATAAACCACATTAAATCCATGCAAACACTCCAAGGCGCAAAATAATTCAGCTGCATAAAATCTAGATAATTCTTCGGTAAATCTGCCTTGTATTTGTAGATGATGAAATAACTCGCCTCCGTTAATAAATGCCAGTACCAAATAGAGTTTGTTAGGACTTTGAAAAGCGAACTTTAGTGGAACAATGAATGGGTTTCGAACTTTGGCCAGCACTGTTTTTTCTGCCATCGTATGAGTCACTTCAGACCTTGATATGATTTGTGACTTACGCAACACTTTCATTGCATAAATACGGTTTGTGTCCTTCTTCCGAACCACATAAACTTTTCCAAAACTTCCTTTGCCAATAACTTTTAAAAGATCAAAAGAATCGTTGGAGATGGTCTGTTGACTGAGCTGTATGAATTTGGGTTAGTACGTATTGATCGTGATCAATTTTTTTTTCTTTGTTTATTTATCTCACCTGCGATGGCGTATAGCATAATTGGACATACATGGCCCCTGTTCCGCCAACGATGTTGTATATCTGCTCTAATAAATTGACGGATGAAAAGTTTGGCTGTATCGTGATATTTCCAAGAAAATGGTCATTGGAAGCTCTGGCCAAAACGTTGTTATTGTTCAATTGTGGTGGTTGACGTAAATAAATTGAAATAGAAACTTTAGAATTACGCGATACGTCACTAATAAAGAAAAGTAATATTTAGTATTACAATAAATTATATGGATACCACGTACAAATTAGCTCTGTAATTATAAACTGGACATGATGTGTCGCCGCCAAGTGCGTCGATTAAGACCTCGTTCTTATCAAACTCTAATACAACGTAAGGTAGCCACCAGCTCTGCTTTCTATGAAATGATTCTCTTTTATTACGTTGAAGTACCGGTAAAGGTCCAGTTGTAGAAGGCACCTGTGCACCTTGTGGTAAAGAAATACCTCTTGCTTCACATATGCGAACGAGCAAAACACCGGCTTTGGGCTGTTGATGCTGCTCTTCTATTACCATGCCACCGCTATTGTGATACATATTTTTCGTTGTAATAATAATGAAAGTAAGAAGGAAAAGGAGATGAAATAGAAAGAGGGAGTAATATATATATACTGTACGGCAATAAAGGGGAAAAAGGAAAAAACTCATTATAGGGGCACACACCCATATAAATAATCTGACTTTGATTCCAAATATGGATTACAGTGTTTCCGCCCAACGGACAACTACCCAGGTTTTAAAAACGTAGATATTACAAATTAATACGTACATATACATAATAATAAAGTTATAATTCGTGTGAACCAGTCCCTTAAAGTGCTGAAATATAATAATGAAAATGATGTTTATGAATATATTTCATTGTTGTTTAACAATCTTTTCATGTCTCTACTCTTGTAATCCATTCAAAATTTATCACAATTTGCAAGTTTATGCCTGTGTGATGCACTATTTCTTTTGAGTTAATATTAATTGGATATAATAATTATTTTTTATAAAGTATACACCTTTTGCAAAAAAAAAAGTTAAAGTGTCGCGCTTTTAAAAATCAGTGTCGTACAAAGAGTGTCATGCTTTTTTAAAAATAAGATGTCTGGTATCATTACAGTACTCGCAATACTTAGACGTCAATACAAAATAAAATGAAAATGATAACAAGCTTAAAGCAGCCGCAGCGGTGCACTTAAAAATTCCATTTAATAAATGTCATTTTATAGTCGGACTGTTCTTGTTCCATCTTTCTTTTCTTAGTTTTTTTGATCGACTAAATGCTCATTGTAGGTGTTGCTTTTCAAAATATAATCGTCTCGGAAACACAATGGCTGCATGGCTAAGTCCAATTACAAGGTATAAGACTCGCTAACAAATTTGAAACTATGCTATCTTTAGTGGACTTTGGTAGTTTATTGTAATGTCTCTAACTGTAGTTGTTACTCGAAGTACAGCGACTACCGTAGGATAAACTACAGTAGCAGCTGCGATAGCTACAGTACGGCTTCTATCGTCTTTAACGTCAGGTAGCTGTGCAGTAAAAAAAAAACTATTTTCGATGAATACAATTCTTTGGTTACATAAAAGCCAGGTTCTTTAAGAGTTGTGTTAAGGAAATTAATCCTAAGATCAGATACTTGCAAAGAGTTGACAGAATTCAGTAAAGTACTATCTAACAAGTAGTTTTCGAGAATAACTTTGTTTTCGATTGATATTTTATAACGATCGAGATTAAACTTTGCGTTGCTAGCATCTTCGGCTGCTGTTTCTAGCACGGCGACGTCGTGTTCAGTGTTGTATCTTTGCTTCATTTCATCGTTAATTATTCTTAGATCGATCTTGAAAGCCGCTTCAGATATTGTGTCGTTCATGGTAAGGTTGGATATTAAACTTTCACTAAGGTAATCCTATACCCCCGATGTGTAGCAAATTCAGGCTCATCTTTTGGTGGGTATCGCCCTTCAGAAGAAAAAATAAATTACAAAAAAAAAAACTTACCATTTCAATCGTAGCTCTGACTCTCGAAAATGTCTTTCAGTTATCGGCCCTCAGAATGTTACCACAAAGGCCCATCCAGAACTATCGATGGCTATATCAAACAATCTTGGATTATATCGAATTATTGATAGGACTTGTATGCTGAAAAAGATACAGAAGGCAGTGTCGGCATGTTCTGGGTTGAACACAGGGCTGTGATGTTTTCCGGTTTTTAGCCTCTCTGTACATTTTTATCCAGTTATTATCAAATGCCTTATTTCCTCGGTATGCTTGAAAGATAGGCTTTAAGATAGATCCGATATCACCATATTCAGTGGTGTCGCATGTAGGTGGCCGGTATTGCTTTCTTAATTGAGACCTAAAGATGGAAGTGTTTAGACCTTCGTATCTTTTTTTCAAACGTATTTTTTATATCACTTAAAGCAATCTCGGCCAAGGTCAGAAAGCCTTTATAATCACACTTATTTACAGTGTAATTGCAGCCATTTACAGTCTCTCTATCAACTGGGTGTCTGAAACCTAAGAACCCAAACTAGGAGGTCACCATTTTATAGCAAAGACTAGCCGTAGCCGTAATATCGCAAGAATGGTATTGTATCTTTGAAAAAAGAGCCAACAATTTAATGTTTCTTGAAAAAACAATGGTCATTATATACTAACCTTTTAACTTTATTTATAAAAGAAGTATGTTAAAGGAAAAGAAAAAGAAAAAGTGTGAGAGCAGGTCTTATAAGATGATCTAATCAAAATAGTGTGTGAATGAGTTTTATTTGTAAAGATGATGATTTAATTAAATCATCCATTTAGTGTTTGGGCCTTTACTTAAAATAAAAACATTTGCGTTTTAGTAGTGGTATTTCGGAGAGTAATAACAGTCAGGGACAACAGCCTTTTTGTAAATAGCCACGCTGCCCAAATTAAAATTATCAGTTCATCTCATGAGATTACGTTCTGTTTCTTCTACTTTAATTAGCTATATCCTCAAATTCTACCAGCTTCCAATATCGAAATCTCTTAATTCGTCGTGTACATAATAACAAATTTATTCAAAACACTTCTTTAAACGTTTTATCCACCGTGTAAAGTAGAGATAAAGACAATCTCGTCTTTGTCTTCTAATTCATATTCCAATTCATCACATAACTCCCAATCAGTGTTGTTGATCAAGACAAGAATGCCAGGACGGCTAAATGAGGTGAAAGAAAAGTCAGTAATTTAAACCATTGGCCTTCAATTTAATACATTACACTGTATCCTTTTCAACGAATAAATCCTTCTTTTCGGTCATCATGGTATCGCGAATGTAAAAAATTAAATCTTGGAGGTTTGAAGGGTTTCCTGTCTTTTCGTTCTTGGCAGGGAACTTAATAGTGTGCTTGCTGACGTTTTGGAACAAAAGTTCCATACCCCCACTGTGTAATTTTCAGTAAACATGTACAACAATGCGTTATGAAACTAACCTGAACTCGACATTAATTGTTAATTCAGACATTATGTTTATGGTTATGAGTGAAGGTTTGCAAAAGAATAAAAAAAACTTGCTTGTGGCTGACGGTTTGAATTGAAAGCGCGCTCGGTTTTTTTGATTTCGAGACACTAAAATTAATGCAAACGATAACCAAGTCGGTTTGATAAAATACCGCCAAGCTTGTGAACATTGTTATGCAAATAGCATAGTATAAATAGAGTATCCTTAGAATATTTACTAAGTGACAAATATTACCTGTAAACGATATTTCTTACGGGTTAAGGGTTATTGTCTTCGGTATTGAAATGTAAATGATAGATAATAACTTTTTCCATTTAGGATTTGTTTTGTGGCTGTTTTTAATTTGAAGCGTGTTTGGGTTAGAGTTTTTTTTATATATTGGGCACTTGCATAAGGTGTTTTAGGTACACTTATCACGTCAATGTCAATAATTTTAAAAGTTTATGATCCTTTACTATATATGTTGATTTCACTTGTTAATAATTTTCTTATTTAATAATTTTTTTTTGTTCCTATGACAAATATACAAATCAAAATTGTAAAATTGTAGAGCCCTAACTAATAACATAAATAGGATTGTTCCTCGTCTTTGAAATTATGATATGACTGCTTGCTTGAACATATTTAATATTGTTCGTTCACTCCATGCTGGAAACGGCATTTCCCCAAGATTTCGACGAGGAGAGGCTCCCAAGGACCAACGGAGAAGAGCAAGGACTCAAAATGACCAAGCTAACATTAAAAATGTTCGTCAACGTCGCAACTAGAATTTTTCAGGCCTGTTGTCGCAGGTCAAACATAAATACACTGAAGTGGTAAGCTCAATTTTTTTTTTACGGTCTTTGAACCAATCCTTTTTTTGGAAGATGAACGTATTTTTTTTTTTTTTTTTTTTTTTTTACGTTGTGAACGAATTTTTTCTTACATTTTGATCTAATATTTTCTGAAAATAGTATAGCACCATGTTACATACGATATATTCACCTTTATATTTATAAAGAAATTGTTGAACAATCTTGTCGGAAAAAAGTACGTTTGAAAAAGAAAAAAAAAAAAAAAAACGATTTCGCGCGTTTAATTTAAACCTTAAATTTACGATTTATGCACGGTTGTTGGGCCGATGCAATGTATGAAGAAGTACAATACAACGAAGGGAACAAATTACTTCTATCAACAAACTTTATATTCTCACTGGTACGAAATCTCGTATTTTAAAAAAAAATCTTTTTATAAAGAATAAATCGAAATAAAAAAAAAAGGGCTTTTGACCTGTACCTTTATTTTTGTTTCATCCCTGCTGACTCTATAAGCGTGAATAAATTTCGCGTATAGGTTTTACGCACACGTGGATTAAAACCGAGGTTTTACTGATGCCAATGACAAAAATTTATATATATTTGTATTTTTTTTTTTCGCATTGTCCTTGGTGCTTATAATTTTAAACAGCTATATTATGTGAGATACGACCCATAAAAATCTTTTGATGGGATGTTAAATAACTATTATTAATTAAATTTTTAATATTTGGAATGACCAACGTGAGTTTTATTAATATAAGGTTAAAAGATATAGTTTCAAACTGAAGTTTATAACACATAAAAAACTCAAATTAAATTACCATCATTTGAATTCATGATTTTTACCTTTGAATTTATATCTAACAGTATCAAACCGACCTCCTAACCTGTTCATGTCTATAGTTTATTAAGAAATGGTACCTATCTCGTAGACAACTTCGCGCAGTAATAAATCGAAACGGGTAATGACATTATTAAAACTCCATGTTTTAAAATCGCTCTTGGGGTTTCACATTCTTCTGGGAAAAAAACCCAGCCACCAACGTTATTAAAGTCCAAATAAAATCTTTTTTTTCTTCTTTTTTTCTTTTTTTTTTCTCTTCTCTTTCTTCTAACTTTAATCAATACAATACATATATGTTTAGAAAGGCAAAAAGATTATCACAAAGACTCGGAATTAATAAAGAACGGTGTACAGAAAATAGCACAAATAACAACAAAATTAATGTGACAAATGAAAATCATAAAGACCAACCGATCGCAACACATATCGACAAAGCTTTAATCGATGACAATGACACCGTTAGTACACAAAGTAGCAATGACGATGAATCCCTCAAATTTCCTCTTAAAGAGAGACCAACGCTAGGGAAGTGTCAAACTGAACCAAACCAGAAAAGTGTTTATGGTACACCTGACAACAACCTGACACGACAACTTAGTATGATGGATACTGGTAATCTGGAGTTATTGCTTTCGATGGAGACGCAGGCCAGAATGGACGCTCAAGCTAAAAGAGAACAAGAGCAATTGCAGCAAGCACAAGAAAAAGCACAAGAAAGCACGCTGGCTCCTCGTCCTACTAAAATTAAGTTTGAATTACCTGTGACACCTCCACGTTCTAGATCTCCCGCTAACCCAAGGTTACAATATCCAAGAGCCAGACCGGTTCGATCACTACCAGAAGAGGGTCTAACTGCAAATGCCCTTAGACACCCGTTACCAAATAATAATAGCAACAAATCAAGAAGGGTTAGCTGGCGCCACCTTTTCGGTGATAGAGATGACGAGGACACTAAACCCATCAGTTTACCTATCAATGTCGGATCTAGAGTTCGACTTAAATTGAGACCTTTGCCTACATTTGGTTATGTTAGATTTATTGGTGATGTAGACTTTGATAAAGAAGAAACTATTGGCGTTGAACTTGATCACGGAGGTAAAAATCACACTCCAATTTTATTCTGACCAATAATTAATATCATGTTTTTGTAGTTGGTAACTGCGACGGGAGTATGAAAGGCAAAAGATACTTTACTACTGACGGTAATCGTGGTATCTTTTGCAAGAGACATGATTTAGAGGCAGTGCCAGAATAAAAAGAAAAAAAAATTATGAATTTAGATACCCAAATCACAACCATTAATCATTTTATTTATACATCATTTCACACATTACACTTAATTTCTTTCAATAAAACATGTTAATGATATTTTACACTAAAATATCTTTATTATATGTGTAAAAAAATGCTTATTTTTACAGTATGGTGTAACCGTGTTCTTTTGAATGGGCAGGGGTGTCGGAATCTTCGGACGACGAAGATGAGGATTCAGAACAATAGGATGTATTACTTGTTTCAACTACGACACCAGGGGAAATAATACCCAATTGTTCTCGCATTTGAGAGTTTTCTCCTTGTATAGTCTTAATATATTCGATTGCATAACGTAACACTTTGGCCCTATGGCATTTTTCGCCTCCACTTTTTTCTATACATGATCTAGGCACTAGATCCGATAGTTCGTTCACTAATGTGTTCTAAGGAGAATAAATTATTTTCAGTTGCTTGCCAAGAAATGACGAGTACTATACATACCAAGTTATCTCTCCTTCTTCTTTCGACTCTATTATGCGTTTCTCTCCTTTGTTTAATTCTACTCATGGCTGTGTCGCTATCGATACTCATTTTATTTAAAATATTAACACCGTGAACCACCAGTTTTGTCGGTTGCTTCTCCAGTTGGTTTAATTTTCGTGCCATTGTATCTGGGTTATATATTTTTATTCGTTCTTGTAATGGGTAAGTGGCTCTTCTTTCGGAGATTGTCATTTTGATTGGTTCGCCTGATGGCGCAGCAGTTGTTTGATATGGCATTTCAAAAAATAAAAAAGAACAGAAAAAAGAAAGTAGAAAAAATAAAGAAGAAGATACTGGAGTATTTTATATCTTTTTTGAAGATCCTTATTTATATAGTGGCTGAAAAGAATGAGGGGAAAAACGTGCATTGAAGCGAAATTGCCGCAAAATTACCTCATTTGTTAAATACGAGCTATTTGATTACAGTCACATTTGACATATTTCTTGTACCCCCTTTCCTTCTTGTACACCAACTTGAGGCATATATCATATTAATAGTCTCAAATATTATTATAACTTTTTAGACATAATTGTTATCTACAAACACTATCGTCATGAGATGCGAACATATATCTAAAAAAAAAAAAATATCTCATGTTTCACCGTATTATAATTATTGGCTTTCAGTCGTCGTGGAGACGATGGAACAATCTCAGATATGCATCCCAAATTATAGGATGGCATAATATTCAGCTTGTTGTAAAATTGAGAGGTAAAAGTTATTTTTATTTACGGAATGACCATAAAGAGAGTGGTTGAACCTGGTGGTTATTTTTTAACCCCATTTTGTCTGCATTATTTTAATTACAATCTATGCATCGTTTTTGAAGTAATCAGTCTTATTTTAACATGGTCCACGGTATACCCTATTATTTGGGTTACATCTCCAAGCATTTATAGTTGTTAATTTGCGATAATTATCAAACTTTAAAAATCATTGGTTAAAAAGATCGCATTGCCACAAAATAGTAAAATCTTGTGAGCTTTCAATGAAATTTAAACTTTCTGCCCCTATATAAAGCATGCAGTACATACGTTATCTTTAACATCTGTAAGCATATTAATGTTTGGTTACCTAGTACTGTGCATAAAATGGCGTTCAAATAGCAGTAATATCTACAATGAAACGACAAGGTATAGTATACCAGAGGACCGTGAAATAAACACTGACCAAGATATGATAGTGTGGGAGTTTGCCTATATCGAGATTAATGCCGTATTTAAATAATAACAATGGCACCATGAAGAGGAGATGCTCATATGATCTGTATTTACAGAGACCTTTATGATTTACTATTTAGCTCAGGCAATCACCACCCAGTCAGCTATACCTGACGTAGGGTATTTCATCTATGCTACTTATAGCAGATAATGTATACCAGGCACGGTCGTAAGTGTAGCTACCTTCTATTTAAAATAAAAGTACATATCTTATTTAGCCGTGAACAAGAAAACTTGATACAAGCACGTACAATGAACAATACGGAACCATCCTTTTTGATATTCTCTCCTATAAAAATATCAAATATACTGTTCAACATGGCTGATCAGCAAACAACAAGCAAGGAATTTGAGCGACTGTGGTTAAAACCCCTTCAATTATCAAATAAACTTTCATTTGCTCTTTTTTTTATTATTATTATTATTATCATTTTTGGTTAAAAACATGCTGCACGAATTATTGTTTGTACTAATGGGATACCCTGGGGATGTGTTTGTGCCGTTCCCGTCAGCACAAGATTCGTCCACATTTTCAATTCCTTCGAATTTTCCTTTACTTCACTCAACAGAACGCGAATCTCTAAATAGATTAGGACAATTGGGTTGGCATTATTCCAAAATCAATCGATTCATCACTGGTGTGAAAGAGTCCAGATCCAAAAATAGAGATCAACCTCATGGTGCATACGCACTATCTCTCGTGACATCAATCGAATCAACCATGGTTGAATACAAGCAAGATATTTTAGAAATGGAGAGTCGTATATTGAGCAAGGAGGACGACTTAGGCTCCAACGTGTATCCCCTATCCATGTTAACAGCAAGTTTGAGCCGCTGGGAGTTACTTCTACCAGCCTTGTGGAAATTCCTTCAAATTTTGCAGCAAGATTCAGACAAATATCATGGCTGTAAGCTGTTTGATTTATTGATGGCCCAAGCCAAGACCGGTGTGTTGGAATTTCGAAATGAAATAGAAAAGATGATGACCAAACTATACGATGTTCTATATAGACAACTCACCGCTTGGATGGTATATGGGCAATGGGCAGATCCTGATAGCGAATTCTTTATTATCCCATATAAGGCAGAGAATAACGATAACCCACTAGCTGTTAGAACCGGCTGGAATCGACTTTATATTATTTGTTACGAAAGAATACCTTCGCATCTATCTCATCCACTGGTCGAGTCGATACTATTTGTTGGAAAAGCAATCGCGACAGTGAATGAAATGGGTACGATAATAATTCCAAATGATATGAAGAAAAAGCACTTGCAGCTATTGATCACATTGCATTCCTCCAATAAGCCAGGAAATAGTACATCTTCGCCATGGATCAGATACCCGCAAGAATTAAAAAGGGTTGTAAATGAGGTTAGACGATCCACTGCAGATTGGTTATTTTCACAAGTCTTGGTTGGGGATCATGGATTGCATAGATACCTGGATCAATTTAGACACCTGTTTTTATTGGATTATGGCGATTTTGCAGCCAATTTCATCCAAGAATGCACAGCGTGGCGGAAACGATCATTATTGAATTCATCTTCAAGAAATAAGACTGTAAAGTCAATTACAACAGAAGACACTTCGGCAACATCAAGTAGAAACCCTAGTAAAACGGAATTGCTGTTTAGATACCAAGAATTGAATGCTTTACTGGGAAAAGCGTCGATCGGTACTGATGCAGAAGATAAATTAAATCGATTCAGTTTACTTTTAGTCGATGAGGATGCGGAAATATATCCATTTTCTGATCTGCTGCTAGTAGATGTTCGTATTGTATTATCGTATGATTTGGAATGGCCGATTGATTTATTCTTGGGGGAGTCGGATTTGAAAAACTATAGCAATTTATGGTCGTTTTTAATTAGTTTAAAAAATACTCAAATGTTGCTGAATAACTTGTGGAAAATTCTTCGCGCGGGCAATATCAACTCGCCAGAAGAAGTGTCTGTCTCAAATCGCCGCCATCAAATCAACAAAAAGAACATAGCCCTTTTTGAAGATAATGACGGATATCAGGAAAGGCTAGTTTGGAGACTTAGATCCCTCATGTTGTTTTGGGTTGACACCTTATGGAATCATATTCAGGTATATTGTGTCATTGATATAATATCGTGTATAATATTTATATTTGTTTGTTTAGACACATATTATTGCATCCCATTATCAACAATTAATAGACACAACTACATTATCGAGCTCAGAAGGAATATCAGCGACTGCAGCAAAACGAAGATCATTTCAACCAAAAGCTAAATTGGATTTTGAGGAAATTCAAGAAGCTCACGAATGCTTTTTAAATAATACAATGCGCGGATGTCTATTAACATCACCCAAGTGTGTGGAGACTGTGCACGATATTTTAAAGACCTGCTCAGAATTTTGTGAGCTGATGGAAAGGATATCAGAAGAAGGTGAATGGAGAAAAAGTAAAAGACGTCGAACAGCAGTTAAAACAGCAGCAGAAATTGTTACTCAATGGACTAAATCACCCACCGACTTTCTATGGATGCAAGATGTTAAAGATTTAGAGGAGGTACGGATTTTACGCATGATTTTTTATGTTTTCAATGACTAACGGCCGAACATAGAAATTTTCTGCGTCAACCGAGTTATTCTTTACACTGGCTTCTTCTCAACAGCCCGACATTAAAATGAGCGGAAGGCTTGATGTATTATTAATGCAACTGGACTATAACAAATGGCTCTCGCGCTCACAAACCAAAGCGAAGTTATACCCTGATGTTGTAACCGCCAATACATGAATAAATTGTCTAAGAACGCGTTACAATTAAATCTCAGATCAAGTTTTTTCTGTCCCTCCTCGACGGTAGAACCTCATTTTAACTTTTTACTTATAATCCAATGGCTGATAAAACTGAAAACAAAAGTAGTCTTTCAGAGGCTGAAGAGTTTTTGGAATCTTTGAATTTACCTGACTCTCAAAATCATGAAACAGATGAGAGCGGTGCTGGAGGCCCTGCCGACCCTAATGACATCATGTCCTTCCTTGATGAAATCTCTAATTACCCAACTGAGGAAACTGCCATTGAAAAAAAGGAGCCAGTTACTAATATCACACCCCAACAGGCTACAAAACCAGTGACTGCATCATCTTCTGAACCTAAAGAACAAAAAACAGACACATTAACACCACAAGAACAAGAGAATAACGATAACGGTTGGAAGTCATGGGGAAACAGTTTCTGGAGCCAAGCAAGTGCAGCTGTAAAGACCACCACTGATCAAATCAATCGTTCTGTTGGTTCTGATTCAGCATCTAAACTTTTGGAGAGCCGTGTAAAAACCTTGCAGAATCTTGTGAATAAAGAAAATATTGAAAAATTAGGTATTATCACTGTAACATTTTACGACCTTTTGTATTAAAAACGTTTTTTTTATAATACATATTTATGAAGGTACTGGATTAAAGAACTTGACAACAACATTTTTGGAAACAGTTGCACCTCCAATCTCTGAACACGAGCTGGTAGAGGTTTGGTTAGCTTACGACATGGTTGGATATACAGGATTGGAGGCGTTAGTGTACCGTGCATTTGCACGGGTCATGGAGCATACAGAGACAGGACAAGTCATTGTACGTAACCCAGACAGTGATGATAAAAAATCAGTGGATCCCTCCCATCGTGACTTAAACATGTGCGACTCATTGGTCGATGGTACAAAACTTGCAAAGGCTAATATTGATCACCTTATCAAACAACACTTTAAGCCTGCAGGCAGCGAAAAGAACGAATCCTATAATCCTCAATCTGGGGCTGTACCTGTCATCAACTGCCCTGTCTTTATGGCTATTCAACCCGTTAAAATAATTATGGCGCCTATCGATGAAGATGACACTGAAACTCACCAACTTTCATTTATTATTTTAATGGTCGATCCCACGCATAATCTTAAGTTCAAAACATATTCTCAGTCTTTATCTTTAAGTTGGTTAGATATTCCTTACGAAGAGAATGAGTGGGTAGAGGACAAGATGGTTGATATCATTCGCATGGCTGTTACTTCAATTGCTCAAGATTATGTTTGGACACGTATGTCTGGCGGCCCTCAAAGTGCTATTTCTGAGGAAAAGGTTCAAGAGGTTTAATGATCACAAAATAGTGTATTTGCACGCATCATCGAATATTTAGTGTTTAATTGTCGTAAAATAAAAAAGATTCATTTGGCGGTTTGAGTTTTTTGAGACTTTGAAAGGAAGCAATTTATCATTAAATAACACCTTAAATTATATATTGATGTTATCAAAATCTTACATGAAAATGTTGACGGCATTGGTTTTTTAAATCTACAAATTGCCTTTGATTAAGCCGTTGACTGTAAATAATGTCATTTTCATCTTCGAATCCTTAATAAAACCCGCGCGGAGCAATGTCAAAGTCGCATGTGAAAAGATTTTAAACGCATATATATCTATGGTTGCAAGTAAAAAAAAAAAAAAAAAAAAAGAATAGATTGAACAACAAAAATAAGTATGAGGAAGTCATTCTCTTTCTGCTATTAAAAGATGGCGAAAAACAAGTTCGTAGTTTATGTCAGAATAGGATAATTGATTGTTTAATTGATGAAAAGATTTGATTTTTTATTTTTTTGAAAAAAAACAAGCAATAGATAAAATACATCATCGAGCAATAGATCTGTTTTATATACTAAATAAACGGCGATAGTTTTTTCGCAGGCTGGCTATATACCTTGAGGTTTCAGAATTGCTCTCACTGTCTTTCAGAAAGTTTATTGGTTTTAGTGTTACTTGCAGGTTGTCTTTGCCAAATGCACCGTTTTTTGAAACAGGGATTTTATGATCAATAGTTAATTTGAACAAATCTTCATCTGTATGGTTCCAAGTGCCAGGTATACCACTTATAGCACAAACAGTGTTCTGTTTTTTTAAATCCATGAGTTCATTATGTGTAGGTATTTCACAATCGCAGAGAAAATCTGCATCATCTTCGGCCATCCATTTCATGTATTTATTCACACATCTTTTTTTCATTCTTTTTCTCAACCCTTTGGCATTTTGTTTCGTTATAACAGAATTCAGGGCATATTGTTGATTATAGTTGAACTGCTGCAATACAGTGGGTGCTCTGTCATCTCCAGAGTTATTGTTTTCGGGGACAGAAAGTAGAACTGCGATCATTTTCCATATGTCTTGTTTATTATCAATAATTTGACCAAAAAACCTAATAAAAAGAACGGCATTAATTTTTCAATTATTGCATCAAAGCGGAACTTGATTACCTTCTACAGCCCACACATACAAATGTTCCATCTTTTAACGAATTTTTCGATTTAAAAGATAATGGATAATAAGATGTTGTAAATGACTGATGGCATATGGAGCAGTTTAAGGCATTATGATCAGAAGTTATAAGCTGGCTTTGAAGCAAAAACGAATCCTGCTGATGGTAATTTTCGATGTTTTGAAACGTTACATTGTGTGATATCCATCTTGTACTTTGGTTATACAATACAGTACATGTATACCCTGCGTATACTGCTTTAGGATATTGGTATTTTCCAGACCGCACTGTTGTTTGAATTAATTGTTTAATAGACATATTATTAAATAAAATGAATAAGAATAAATTCTTTAAATAATTCAAAGGGTCATTATATATAGTGACAGGCTTTAATGATAGATCAGCTGTATTTGATTGTAATAAAAAAAGAAGGAGTGGGGGGATGAAGCAGCTAGTTACATCAGTAATCAATAAATAGGAGGTATCCAGTGTGATCGGTCATGTGGAAATAAGTCAAACGACTTTGATTGCAAAAATAAGTTTGGGAGATAGCATTTTTTTTTTACAAGCACATCATTTTGGATAAATATATACGGGTCGATTGCAAACACTTGGCTAACGATGATTATTGATATCGATAAAAGCAGTAATAAAGGATACTTGAATATATTCGCTTTTTAAGAGTTCAAAGGACCCTGCAGAATCGACGCATGTTTGACGATTAAAGTTCTTGGAAGCTATATTTAATTCTATGTCGCAATGTTAAAGTCATTCTGTTTCTGTAGAACTATCTTTCTACCCGTTTTGGTAATTTTGAATATCCATCGTTAGTAAATGTCATGATCTGATGTTATCCTTGATTGGTTAAGGACGTGATTTGAAGCATTTTACCAATTATACAACAGTAATTTTAATTCCTGCTCGTTTAATAAAGAATGATAAATATTTGGTTTGAAAATATACAGGTTCTAATTTTTTATTTATTCTGTGATGGAATTATTATACTATTTAGTTGTGTTGGTAACGGCAATCTCATTTGATGAAAATATCAAGGGAACCCTGAGGTAAAAGTTGATACCTAAAGCTGTGACAAGAAGGACACATAAAACAGCTGGGCCTACAATGTCTTCCATATTTGCAAAGGAGCGGCCTGTTCTCATTTGATATGCTCTTAATTGAAATCTTATCAAAGAATAACTTTACGAAATAATGATTAATAAAATAGGGCCGCCTATGATAATGATAGTACTTACAATGAAATGATGGATGATATGATAATGAAAAAAGCGCCTACAAGTCTGGATATTCTATCACCGTAGTTCAATAGATTTAAAGAAATAGTCAACAGTAAAGCACAGAAGTGTAACCATGACATAAAGGTACGTTCGTTGGCAAAAAATGCCTTGGGGTCCAGCTTGAATCCACTCTTTCTCCTCCTTAATAAGTCTGAATCCGTCTTTTTTACACCATCCGAAAACCTATTGACGGACCAAAATCTCGAGATTAGATCCATTGATTTCTTATCTTTGGCGGGTGGAATTGGATTGTTTGATAGATTGATGGCTAAGTATGGGATATTAGATTTTTGCTTGCTATTTGTACGTGAACGGAAAGGGGAGAATAATTTGTCAAATTGTTGATATCTTCCTGCTGACTCTTCTTGTTTTGTATAGATTGGTTCATCCATTGTATCATAAGCAACTGATCTTCGATGACGTCCGTTGAACAAGGGCTTGAAACTTTGTGATCTTGAAAGTCCTACATTAGCTGTAAACGGTTTTCTGATATCTTGATGAAGAGCTTCTAACCAATATGGCTTTGTAGACACTTGGTTTTGAAACAGCTGGCTTGCACCATGTATGTATTTAGAGAATCGAGGCACTTCATGAACTAAATGACTGTCCAATAAATCAGAGAGCCATACTGGGATTGTTTGACCCAAATGGCTTTGTATCTTTGTTTCTAAAATGGCGTAAGGAAATCGCAATATATCTGTGTCCTTCAATTTACGAAATGGATGGTCTATACCAACATCCATCCTTCTCCAGTTATGTTCTCCATTAGGAAGCTGACGTCTTGCTGTACCATCCAAGTGATCTTCACGAATGAAGCTCAAATTAGAGTCTAGACTGATTCTTAAACGTTGATCACCAGGAAACTGAAATGCGGTACGGTTATAAAAGACACGGCACATAGGTTTAAGCCCTTTCTGTTTGATGGATTCTTGAATACCTTGACATACGAAGTGTTTGTCTTCAATAGACAACTGTTCCAATTTCCCCTTCTTCTCCAGATCCTTTTTGAAGTCGTCAGCTGAATAAGAACCATCAACGAAAGCATTGACCTGATTTTCCTTTAGTCTAAATCTGTCTTTTACAGATTTATCATCCAGCCACGCAGCATGATGGGTTTTCCTTTCAACATACACGTCGTCATTGAGCTCGTTGCTTTGACCATACCATCGGATTCGAATCGCCTCTGCACCTTTACTCCTTTCAAGTCTTTCTTGATATAATTCGAAATCCTCATTGTCATAATATACACTTGAAACAGCGGCATCTGTGTATTCATATTCTTTCTTTTGATTGAAGACATGCACAGGAAGATGCAAAAGTATCATTGCCTTTACCTCTGTAATATGATCCGGATGAATCCAATATTTGTTTGTAGCTCTTTCAAATGCAGTTTGATCGCCGCCTTGACCATACGCACTTGTTGATCTTGCATTTCCGGAAAGTCGACATATATCATGCATTTTCGAGATACGAACGATCAAGACATCGAAACGTTGTTTATCTAATGGGTAAGCCTCCAACATGGGACCATAGTATTTGGACTTCAAGTCACCGCCCACAAGCCATTTATCGTGTTTTTTGACGATTTTATCGAATCCGGATAGATTGAGTTCATGAAATTTGGCAAGGTCATCAACGTCAATGAGGATTTCGGCCAAACTGTCAGCTACAGAGTCGTAAGTGGTAGGTTCAATGGTTGTCAAGTCTTTATATTCTTTGAGGACCGAGTCACAATAGTCGGTGCGAGTCAGTAAATCTTGTAGTCGTATTTCAACAAATTTGTACACTTTGGCTAATTCGGCCTCGATGAGAGTGATAAAGTCGGACTTATCTTTCTCGGACCATACCTCTTGCTTTAACTTAATTTTGAGAGCATCGTATTGAATATAAGAACTTCTCCAAGGCTCTTTTGTTTTTGAATTGATTTCGGCTCCAAATTTCATTCTTAAAAGGAAAAATAATAAAAGTCAGCAAACGTTGGGTGGCAGAAAATCAATGTATCGAACCTGTAATTTTGACAAAAAAAAAAAGAAAAAAAAAGTCTATTCTCTCGAATTAAAAGATGTATGTAAAGAAAAAGTATTATCTTGGTCTGATAACAGTCTATAGCAGAGTGATCGTAGCAAACAAACACGTAAAATTCTATTTAAAATTTGGCTATTTTTGTATCATGTTCTCGAAAAGATCCAAAGCTAAAAACTCAGTATCAAATAATCCTCCGTTACCTGTCTGAAAATAGGACAAATGAAATGTCACGTTTTACAGTGAGTTTATTTGATTGCCAACAGTCTTTTCAGAACAAGGAAGACAGGTTGGCTCCAATAAAAACCACCGGATAGACTAGTGCCTTCCCTAGGTCTCCCCCCCCCCCAAAGAGTTATATATTCGTATGGAACAAGTCACGACTCATTTTAATTGAATGTATTAAGCTCAATTGTATAAGAAAATCCGTTGTAAATAACAAATTATGCTCTTTTTCCTTTTTCCTTTTATTAAAATTTTCGCTTTGCATTGACAAAGGCCAAAATGGGCATGTTTGGTTCGGACAGATTCGACTGCCTTGGCTGTAAATCGTTGTCTAGGGCAATGGACACGCCACTGCCCACAATTTCCACAGGTACTTCTTTTTCAGGGCCTTGTTGTTGAGAGGCCATGACTTTAAGTCGAGGCAGCTTTACTTTGCCAGCCAATAAGGGATAGCAAGTATACTGGTAAGCTATTCTAGAAAGAGGTAAAACACGGCTCTTGAGTTGTTTATAACCTGAGAAAACAAACGCTTCACTGAGCTCGACAGAGGCTGTGTATTCAGCTAAATATTCCGTAGGGTTGTAAATCGTGAATGAAAGCGTAAACGGTTCTCCTAGGTAAATTTCAGAAGGAGTTTCTGTACATTTTTTTTTATAAATGAATGAGTGGCTAGAACAAAATTGTTGAGGAAAAAATGGATGAAGTTACCTGCTAAAACCACAAGACCTTGTTTTTGAAATTGAATGGAAGGTAAACGGATAAGTGATTTATAGTATTTATCGTCGATCCCGGATCTATGTTGAATAAATTAGCAAAATATAGGTATGTTTAACAAGTTCACTTTTTACCTCTTCCAATTTATTTCGATCGTACCAGCAGGAATAGCGGATGGTGTTTCTGTAATATCTGTTGTGGTTAGTCTAAATAGATAATTTGCATTGTACACATGTCCCGTTTTCCATTCTATATATAAAATAAAAAGTGAGCAAAAAGGTGTTTGATCAATGAACAAATGTTGTTTTTTTTACGTTGATTATCAAAATCATCCATGCTTGAAATCAAAGACAGCGACGTATGTTGATTTAAAGTATCATCTTTTTGCAGTTGAACATTTTTTATATCTAAATCCCAAGTTGAGAAACATCGGATGGCTGCCACCATAAGCCATCTCTCTGATTTTTCGAGGTCAGGTGAAATGGAAGGCTCAAGTTTTTCGCTTTGGGCACATAGTTCAAAGCTGGCATCAAACGGTGTGATAAAAGGAATACGAAGTGACTCTGTTTTTTCCACAGGCAAAGAAGCATCTTTACCAACAATAGAATATTTTACCTATGCGAGTACCATTGTCAGCATATAGTATCCTTTTTGGTCTTTTGATACTTACGGTGATATTAATTAATCGGGAACCTGTTACATTTCCACCGTGAAGATAAATAGATTTAGTAACAGACTGTCCGGGTTCAATTCTACCAACACTTGTTTCTTTAATAGCACCAATATCTTCATTATCATCCTCCATGGTAAAAGCGATATAGTCCTCTAAAACTAACAAAACAAATTAATATCTGAATGGATGGTAATATTATTGTCTTGTAGATCGAACCTGCTCCTTCAGAATATTTTATTTCTGCACATAATGTTGCTTCCACAGGTTCTGTTTCTGAGCTAGTCATGACCACATCGAGCTTGAAAAGTTCGTCTAGTAATGCAGGTGCAGCATGATCAAATTTGAGATCTATACTTGGAGGCTTTTGCATGATACTATTGTGCAAGATGTTGAGTTTGTGAAAGGGGACAGTAAAAAAAGGCTATACTTACTTAGCAGATGATAGGTACCCACGACCTTCGATAATTTTAAATACAGGATGTTGATCTTTTTTTTTTTTTTTTTTTTTTTTTTTTTTTTTTTTTTTTTTTTTTTTGAAAAGATCGTCAACAACCGTTTTGAGCATATGTCTTTTTTTTTTTCTTTACCTGCTGCAACTTCAAGCCATTTTCTTCGTGTGACGGGTTGATCTTCTGAATTTTTATCGAGTGCATAATTAAGTTCTACTTGCCAATGTGGTGAAATGAGGTTGAGGGAGACGGCCATAATCTAAACCATAAAAAAGATTATATCAGTAAGTTGCAACAAGGTCCATGATCCGTGATATAACGGACATACCTTGAGCTCGCCACAATCACGAGGGATGACAGATCCTTGTAATACTTTGGTCTGATTTTTGCAAACGCGTAAATCAGACTCGGCCGAAAACCAATTTATATAATCCCCTTCTTCTGTGATTTGTGTTAATTTGTTGGAGAAATCCATCCACTCAATAGATTTATGTTCGGTCTCTACACCACTGTCCTTCAAGACAACGTTATATTGAGGATCATTGAACATAATTTTGACGGTATTGAAGCGAAATGGTGTTGGAGGAGACGATTTATCTGTTTTGAGTGTGATTTGATATTCGACAGGAGCTCCTACAAAGTTGGTGGGCTTCTTGATTTGAACATGACAAGAAATAAAAGCATTGATTTGATCCATTTGAATCACGAGTGGTGGATGATCTTCCATATTGGCAGCAGGATGTACGGTCAATACATCAAATAATTCCTTTTGTATATCTATACGTTTATTCTCTGCCATGGGTAGATTATCCGACAAGAGCTCCACCAAACATTCAATCGCTTTTTCCCATGATCCCAATTCTTTAGCACATCGCAACGACCATCGCAAGATGGAAGTCAAAACCATATCCCATTTTTCCTTACGATACGTCTTTCCAATGCGTTCGAAAAACTTGATTGCCATTTCAAATTTACCCGTCTCGTAATAAGTTCCCGCAATTTCCGCTGCCAAGTAAAGTGTCATACGTCCATTTCGATATCGCTTAAATTGTTCGTAACTCTTGGTTAATAACTCGATCGTTAAACTGGAATGATCAACTGATTTCTCGGCGTTAAAAATTGGTGATGTTGGGGTTGCATCGGCTCTTTCAAGCTCGAGGAATCGGCGTCGACGTTCGGCACAACACATGGCTGCCAAATGGTAGTAAAAACCTGGATGCTGAAGAATCGCACCGGGGTTACAGCCACTAGAGCTGGTGATACCTCCTGGTGCGTTACCTAATAGAGGGCTGCCGGGTGTGCCGCTTGCTGAAGTTAAATAAGCGGTAGGGACAGGAACTTTATAACCTGCATGAATGGCCGCATCAATAACATCTGCGAAAATTCGATACCTTTTACAAATGAAATAAAAAAATGAATGAGATATGAGATATTTTACACATATAGAGAATACTCACTGTTGAGATAGCCAAGCCCAATATTCAAATGTTTGCTCGCCCATACCCCATGTAGGAGAATACGATTGAAACATGTGTAAATGACCGTTCAATTGGCCCAAAGCAGCAGTTGGATCATTCATGTAAAGATAAAATTTACAGATCTTGACACTGATGCAATCCGCTAAAGTACGGGCTTCTTTCCATCTCTTTCCATGTACTTGTAAATTAACATGCCCCATTGTAATGGAAGATGTGGGTGCCAGCATATCTGAAATAACATTGTATGCAGCTTCATAAGACCTAAAACGGTCTTTCTTTTTAGCTTTTTCTTTTTTCACTCTATAAAGATCTCCAAACAGAAAATAAAAAAACTTACTTGAGAGCTCCATCAATCTCTTGTTTCACCTCTTGAAAAAATGCCGCTTTAAAGTCATATCTAAGCATCCAACCTGTGATGGATAATGGTTGAGGGTCGGTAGATGATAAGTCTGGCATGACACGAGGTACCATGGAAGGTGATGGCAATTTGGATTTCTTTTTACGGATTTTCTTCAAACGGTTATTGTAAAATTGAATAGCGGGTTCGTATAATGCTCGATAAAGATTGTTCACAAAGTCCTGAAGTTCGGTAGATGTACCTGGAGCTACTGTAAAGAAGGAGGTTTTGACATCAAGTCCACATTGCTTTCGAATCGAAGATAATCTTTCTTCTGTTGCTTGATCTTTAATAAGAGGTTTAGTTTGTTTTGCATCGTTAGTGGGTGAGTGTGATCATATCTACCTGAATATCTTTGCTTTAAAATAATCACCGCGGCAAATTTGATGCCTTTCTCTTGAAAGTATTTACTAATATAAAGAGAACAATGAGTACAATACAAAAATAAAAAATTGAGAGTAGGGACTGGATCCATGTTTTTACCGTCTTAAGTTGATTTCGACAGATAAATTATGGTCGTGCTCTCTTTCGGCAGGATCAAAGAGAACTTGAGAAGCTAAAGGGCCCGTCTCTCGTTTAGGTCGAGGTGTACTTCCAGGTTCGGACTGCCACTCCCACAAGTCATAAAAGCCAACCATGACGCTGGGGGAGTAAAGGTGCTTTTTCACCCAAAGCGGTGACATGACACCATCAGGATATAACGGTGAATCAGGCGATAAAGGTGATAAATTAGAATGAGGTGGTGGCAAGTTGGGTGATAATGCTTGTTGTTTCTGAGGTAATACATAGTCCTACAGGAATAAAGTTATGTATCAGATATACGCGTTTTGTTATAAGGAATGAAAAAAGGGTCTTACCTTGGAAACAGTAATGACTCTAAAAGGAGGGGCATGACTGGTGGAAATGTAACGGGTTGCTTCATACAAAGTGTATTCAGGTTTACTTGTAAAGATGCTTAGCAAAGCATTGGCAAGTCCTGATCTTGAAGTGGCGTCTCTTCGAGATGGTGAGCCCGTAGTTTCTGTGGGTTCAACATCGACAAGTAGATTAGTTTCATCTGTGTTTGCTAAACCGTATAAAGCTAAAACAGGAACAGGGTGAAGCAAATATTCGGGCGGGTATGAATACATTGACACTTTATTATTATTGTTATTAATGCTTTGGTATAATAGATAAACGATACAAGCTTTTATATAATATATTTTTTTTGGTGTAAATTCAAAGTGACTGATTGAATTTGGGCTGACCTGGTTGAATTGAGCATGTGATTGGCTGATGAGCTGATTCTGCTTTATAAACAAGCTTATAACAACATTTTTGTATGGTTAGAAACACAAAATGGTGACAGATATATTGTGTGGTTGTCAGAATACGTTTTGTAAAGCGACATGCTACTGTAAGGTTGAGAGTGGATATTACCATTTCGGTTCATGTTACGCAAACGCTATTGTGTCATTAAACTTTTTACGTAAAAGAAAGTCAAACTCGGAGCATTTATAAAAGACATTGATTTTTTTTATTTTTTTTTGTGATTTGGGAATTAGTTTACTTTGCAAATGGCGACCATTCAAATCAAGTTTCTGCCCGAGTGTTTTACTATATACCAATATGAACGTCAACATGAAGTTTCAGCCGAGATTCTGAAGGCACCATGGTATACTATTTCCAAAACCAAATCTGAGCTGTCAATTATTCTGCCCAGTGAGTATAGCATAAGCGATCCAGCTATAGCGACAGAGGATGGTTGGCGTATGTTTCAAGTCGATGCGCAAATGGATTTTGCACTTGTGGGTATTTTAGCTAGAATTGTGTCTCCCCTGAAAGATGAACAGATTCCTGTATTTGTCGTTAGCACGTATGATACAGATTATATCATGGTCAAGGAGGACAAATTAACACAAGCTATCAAGGTCCTGAATGAACAACCGAATATCGTTGTGAAACCAGGAGAGTCTGTTCTTTGAACTCCCCACCTCATACTTTCCTTCTTTTTTTTTTTTTTTTCTTGTAAAATAAATAATGTCGCATCCTTATTATCCTACAACACTCGACATTCCTAATTATGTGCCTAATCAACGATCGACGCTCCAACTATTAGTGACAGCAGGAGTATTGATGACTTGTTTGATGGCAGCATGTATAACTACAGGTACTGCCTTTTCCAAAAAGACTACTTCAGTGAGTCGGTTTACTTGGTTTTGTGTGTCTGGCATATTGCATTTAGGATTCGAATCATATTGGTTATGGCATCGACATACACTTGCAGGACAAAGTGACGTATTGGCTGAACTTTGGAAAGAATATGCTCATGGCGATTCACGGTATTTATCAGCAGATGAATTATTACTGACGCTGGAAGTCATGACGGTGGTGAGTATTATAGACACTTGTGTGCATAGAGCACTGGATGGATGCTAACAGAAATTGTCTAGTTTGTATGGGGACCACTTTGTATGTTGACAGGTTGGTTTATTTTGCGTGGATCTAATAAACAGTACTTCTTTCAATTGGTTGCATCCTTATGCCACATATTTTCTTGCTCGTTGTATTTTTTGATGGATTTACCACAAGCTGTGCACTGTGATCCCAGCCCGATTTACTTTTACATATACTTTATTGCATTTAATAGCCCTTGGATTATTGTGAGTTGACATAATCATACCGAGGACTGCCATAGACTCATTTATTTTAACAATAGGTGCCCTTGATGTTGGTGTACCAAAGTTATCAGCATATAGATGAAGCTTTCAAGACAAAGACCAAGATACAATAATACCGTGTGTTTTTTTATTGTTTTTTTTTTATTCATTTGTTTTGTATAAATAAAATTCTAGTCTTTTTTTTTTTTTCGAATAGAGGTAAAAAAAAAAAAAATCAACATATAAAAAATGTTTGGTGTACAATGCGTTTAAATCTATCAAGAGAATAAAAAAGTTAATAAGAGTATAATAAAGAGTAATATAAAGCTTACATCATCAATATCAAAATCGAATTCAACTTCGTCGTCTTCTTCACCACCAAAGTTGTTATCGGTTTCGTTAATCTTGGCGGTATCGGGTAATTCACCGTATGACTTCAATTGTCTGGCTTCATCAGGGTTGTAACGTTGAATGACATCGGCCTTTTCATCTTGGAAATCACGCAAGGACAATAAGACAATATCACCCTGGTTAATCCAAACCTTCTTACGTAATTTACCACGAATAAGTGCTAGACGTTTAACACCATCGAAACATTGAGCTTCGACACGACCGTTACCCAACATCTTGAGAACTTGAGCATATTCTATATATATTTTTTGTCAATGAGAGGATCCTCAATATTTTTTTTTAAAAAAAATAATCTAACCTTGGCCTTCTTCCTTGAAGACAAGTTCACGCTTATCGTTTTCAGTGTCGTTCTTTCCTCTTCTTCTGGATTTACCACCCTATAAATTAAAAAAATGCTTGTTTAATCTACATGGGTCGAGCATTCACTATTCATTCAATACAGTACTTTTCCCTTATTTTTAACCATTGTTTAGACTAGAGAGAGAAGGAAAAAAAATATTTCAAAAAATTGCTCGTATTAAAACTGCGGCCCCGTACTTCTCTCACACGCACACACTCCAACGGGATCCTCTGCCCACATCATAAAAACTTACAAGAAAAAACTTCACGTGGCTTATACTTTTTTTTTTTATACCCGACACATTTTTTTTTTATTATTAGTTTTTCATATGTGGTATTCCAAAGAATATGATCCTATACAAGTGGGTTCTATTGACGGTACAGATATTCATCCGCATGATGCTGCTATTGCTAGAGCCACTCGTTCCACCTGTAAGTTGTTTTCTATCATCATTTTTCTGTTTTATTGTTTACACCCCCCAAAAATAGATAGACCACCCAAGCATTTAAAGACCGATTTCAATTGCACTCTTTTTATCAGTCGATTGAATTTCGATACAACAGAGCTAACTCTCAAGCCCTTCTTTGAAAAGTACGGTACTGTAACCACGGTCGAACTTATCCGTAATAATGGTAACCGTTGTCTTTTTTTTTATCTTATCAAAAATTTTCTTATTAACAACATTTGCAATCAAAGTAACTGGTTTATCACAAGGCTATGCATTCATCACTTTTGCAGATACAGCATCATGTCGTGAAGCCTACAAATACGCACACGAAACTGTTTTAGATGACCACGTAATTCTTGTAGACTATGAAAGGAGCCGTACTATGCGTAATTGGATACCCAGGAGACTGGGTGGTGGGTATGGTGGAAAGAAAGAAAGTGGTCAATTAAGATTTGGTGCCAGAGATAGACCCTTTCGAGATCCATATGGGAAACTTCGGATTGATTATGATCAGAAGCGGTCTGACAATTGGAGAACCACAACAGATGGCTCAAATGAACATCGTGGAGACAGCAAAAATTGTAAAGAAAGAGATAATGAACATCACATAGGTAAAGACAGTGAACGTCACAGAGAGGTTAGACCAAGTGAGCATCGCAGAGAAAGATCAAGTGAACGTCGCAGAGAAAGATCAAGCGAGAGACGCAGAGAAAGATCAAGTGAGCGTCGCAGAGAAAGATCAAGTGAGCGTCGCAGAGAAAGATCAAGTGAGCGCAGCAGAGAGGGACCAAGTAAAAGATCAAGTGAGCATAGACGACAGAGCGACCGAGGATCTCCCGAACATAAAAAGAAACGCACTGATCGTTATCGTTAAAACTCCACAAATGACAGAAAAGAAACTAATGAAACCTTTAATAATAAAAAGAACTAAAACAAAAAAAATTATCAAATAATTAATTCTCTTTTTCCTTAACAATGAACAATCAAAGATATGCTGAAATAAGACCACCGCCGATTATTGCCAATAGTTTTGAAGGATGGACGACTTACCAGCATCAAAACAACAAGGGCATCATGCCCGAACAAGAAGACTTTAAAGAGGCAGATGATAGGAGTTTTAGTAGTCGATCTTCGTCAATAGACAGTTCGCCATCTATAGATCATAACCGAAGAAGGAGTAGTATTCAGATAGGCAATCAAGTATCTGAATTACTCGATCAAGAGAATGTTAAGCACGCTGTAGAAGTCCTCCAAGAGGCATTGGAGTATTTAAACATGGCCCAAGAAAAAATCGATCAAGACGATGGTTCACAGATCACTGGAATTTATTCCAAAATCATTAAATCCTTGTGTGATCCCAATATATCCAAAATAGTTGATGAATTCACTCCCAAAGAAGAAGGAAATTCAAATATCTACAATTCTGTCTTATGGCGTCTGTTTACTAAAGTAGTGGAAACGGGACATACGTTACAGGTAAGTCTCTTTTTACATTTAATTGTAAGAATACAGGCTGATTCTTCTCTTTTTGAAAAGACGGATGCCCACTTATCAGTGGTGAGTGCGCTGGTAGATAAAGGCTATGTGTCACTCGCTTTACAAGCCATGTATACGCTAAGAAGGAAGGCATGGGATACCAAATGTTACCGTACTGCCGTGTTACTTCATTTGATGCAGGACCCCAAGCAAATCATGGAAGCACAAAAACTACTTTTGGAATACGGCAAACCGTATTTAGACATTGCTAACCCAACCGCACCCAACGATTTACCTCCTCTTCGCATCAAGATGCCATTGATGGAATCCGTTACCGAGACGGACCAATTCAGACTTTGGATGTTTTATCAAGCTGCACAATCTAGATACAATACGCACTGGGCACGCGAAAAAGAAGTTTATGAAACAAAACGAATATATAGTTTGGATGTATTGACACAGCCAGAGTACAACAGCCCGTTTGATTGGGCTTTTGCACAATTGAATATCGAGACGGAAAAGTTCATGATGGATCGACAGAGTACAGAGAATGACAACACCATGATTTACGTGGCTATGATGAACCAACAGTATGAATATGGCTGGCAAGTGTATAAAGCGATGGAAGATGCAGTGAATGAATCCACACCTTGCGTTGTGATGCAATTGTGCTGGGTTGCATTTAATCAAATACCTATTGTGGATGTCTCCTATCGTACGGATTGGGAAACCAGGGCATGGTCTGTCTATTCTCGCTTTATGTGCTCTGAATATCTTCACCCAGAACAACCGGAGGCACCTAGTTTTATTCATGATATATTGTGTATAGCAGCACACACACCAGAAGTAGCTACCGATAAAAAGGCAAGATATACAAAGACAATGAGCGTTTACCAATTGTTGGTTAGATTAAATTTTGATAAACTCTTGTGTGACAATCGTGTGCTAGAACCGTTACTTTGTACTTTTTTACTGGAGTGTAAAGGAACACCTACACATATTGTCGATATCTGCAAGGAAGCATTTGAAATACGGAAAAGAAAACGAGCCTTTCAGCATGAAATACATCCAAAGGTGCCCTTTTCGCTGATATGGGGATATCTTATTTTGTGCCTAAAGGCAGGTGATGAAATACACTTGCCGAGTGTTTTGATGGATATTATGGAATACCTGAATGCCAATATAAAAGTGCCATCTACTTTATTAGCACCAGTACAGAAATTTCATGACAAATATATTTGTCAGCAAAACACATGTTATTTTGACCAATACATGTTTAAACATATTGAATATACAGAGAATTTGGAGGATAGAGATACGCCCGAAGACATGAATGAATATGGCATTCTGTGTCTACCTTCACCGCTTATTCACCATACCAATATACAGGAGCCTGAAGAACCCACCATAGCCGAGGCAGTCATGATGGGACCAGGACGAGACGAAATCATATCAGATAGGCAAATGTATCATTCCAGCAACAAGGCAAAAGCTCTAATTAGACATGTATGTAATACACTTACAGATCGTCAAGCATCATTATAGGCTTTTTTTCCCACGTGATCCAACCCTATTGTAACAGAAGAAACTTGTATTTCTTCTCACCCTTTTTTTCTTTTTCTTTTTTTCTTTCTTTTCTCTCTTTTTTTTTTGATATAAACAATGGGTAACGTTCCTTCCAAAAAGAGAAAAGATAATAGACCAAGTATAGTGAGAGACGTCCCTGACAATGAACAGTCGATTGCGACCGCCACTTCAGTTAATTCTATTCTTGTCAATGCCAGCATTCAAAGAAATAAAGCACCTGCGAATATTACCACAGCACAAAATACGTTTAAGAATACTACGGGTAACGGAGGTGCTATTTCTCCTCCTTATAGCCCCACCAGTGATAGTAACCAGCTTACATTTACTTCGCAAAATCAATTAACGGCCACCTCGATCCGTTCGATTGGCTGGAACTTGGATATCGATGAGTGTATTAGTCGCTTATTGGATGTAGGAGTGAAAAACAAGGTGCCGAAATCTATTTGCTTTCGAAATTCAGAGATTGTAGCTATTTGTCGAGCAGCACAAGAATTATTTCTCAGTCAGCCCGTAAGTGCGGTTATTAGTAGGACGCATGTGTTTCAAGTATAAGTAATAACTCCCTTCTGTTTGATAAATAGAGTTTAATTGAATTGAACCCACCCGTCAAGATTCTCGGTGATATACATGGCCAGTATCATGATTTAATTCGACTATTTGAAATGGTAAAAACATAATTCGTGTAATTATCACAGCAACAAAAGGGAATAGGGGGAGACTATTGCTAAAAAACCATTCTTCTTTTTAGGGTGGCTTTCCTCCTGATTCCAATTATTTATTTCTGGGTGATTATGTCGACAGGGGAAAGCAAAGTTTAGAAACCATACTCTTGTTATTCTGCTTTAAAATCAAGTATCCCGAAAATTTTTTCTTGTTGCGAGGAAACCACGAATGCGCTAATGTGACACGAGTTTATGGTTTCTATGACGAATGTAAAAGAAGAACAAATACAAAGGTTTGGAAAACATTTGTCGATGTGTTTAATACATTGCCTATTGCTGCTCTGGTGGCCGGTAAGATCTTTTGTGTTCATGGTGGCTTGTCTCCCTCTTTGCATAGCATGGATGATGTACGTAACATCATGCGCCCTACTGACGTGCCTGAATATGGTCTCCTCAATGATTTGCTCTGGTCGGATCCCAGTGATACCTCCATAGAATGGGAAGATAATGAACGAGGGGTTTCTTATTGCTTTGGTAAAAAGATCGTCAATGAATTCTTGGCCAAGCATGATTTAGATTTGGTCTGTCGAGCTCATATGGTTGTCGAAGATGGTTATCAGTTCTTTAACGAACGTACTTTGGTTACCGTATTTAGTGCTCCTAATTATTGCGGTGAATTCGATAATTTTGGTGCTATCATGAGTATCAATGAAGAATTGCTGTGTAGTTTTGAATTGTTGGCTCCTATGGAACATCCATCTGCTGCCAAAGTACAGGAAGCTCATAAAAACAAGGGAAGACGGCCAAGGTAGTAAAAAAACATATCTCCTTTTTCATTACTTTGTCTTGTTATCTTACTTTTTTTTTATATAAATAGTCCTCCTATGATTGATCCTCCAGCTGCGCCTGAATTGAAAGAAGATCCACCAGCCATTGTTGTACAATCACCTGCATAAAATGAAATCATCTTATACCTTTTTGGATCATAAACTACGTAAGGTCCCCCACATGGCGTTTTCATTGTTATTAAACTTATCTCCCCCCATCTCCCTTTTTTCTTGAATTATCCTGTTTTTTAACACACGAGCTCAACTTATATATGTATTATTTTTGTAAGAGAGTGATGTTCTCTTTTATGTAACCATTACTAGAAGCATCATATTTATATGCGTTCGGGGTTTGTATATTATTGCATAAAACAAGCATCCAGCCAAACCCCCCATACACACACACTCTTCTCCTCCCAGACTTTTATACTAATCAATAAGTTTATTAAGCTTTGCTGTCAATGGTTCTTATAAAAACTCCGTCTCCTTTTTTTTTTCGCTTGCAAATTTAAGAAATTTGCAAACCACTGACAGCACGAATCGAGCATCAGGGGGGAAACTAGTTTGATAATAATGGCCTGATTTTTGTCATCACATGCCTACATATGTTGACTTACGTAACTACACTTACACAGTAAAGTAGTTGTCTGTGCATCCTATGTGTTTTGTAACATTGCTGCCTGCAGTAGTGATTACAAACAATGGAATGTTATTTGCATAGAGTAATTGAGTGATACCAACACAAATGATATAAAATGATATATGTTTAGATTGATAAAAACCCTGAAGATAAATAAAATTGTATTCAAAGGTTATAAAGATGATTGATTGTTAAGAGAGTTTTGTTATTACAGCAGGGAGCCGCAAACGTAAAAACTATAAGTTTTTGTGAGGGCCAGAGGCATGGGCTTAACTTTACGATATAGAAGAAGACTTCTCCTCATTTCGTCTCTGGCGTCTTCTAATGATCTCTTCTGTGACATCCTCTTCGTCTTGTGTAAGAGCATGAACTCTTTTGGAGACATTGCGGAGCTCATTTTGTACAGACCAATAAACATAGGCCTCTCTACTCTCTAGGACCTACTCCGGCTTAGACAAAAAATCGCTTGTAGAAAACTTAGACTATAATTACCTCGAAGTTTGTTGATCGGACATCTTTCGCGAAACGAATCAGCGCATTATTCGCTTCACTGGGTCGGAAATGCGTGATGTCGTCAATGAGTTTTCTAAAAAGCTTGTCTGCTGTTTCCTTGGAACTTGTTTGTGAGCTTTTGTAAAAGCCAACGACGTCAAAACTTTGGGAACAGCTGCTTTCTTTCAGATATTTCATACTCTGTGGTCAAATAAGGAGATAAAAGGGCGAAATGTAATTAATTTCCTGTCACCTTCTTAATTTATTTTGTTTAGCTTACCAAGAAAAAAAAAGTCATTGAGGATGATGCTATCTGATGCTGAATCCAATAAACCGTATCTGTCAGGCAGCAAATCCCCAAGTATTCGAGGCTAATAAAGATATTAATCCTCTAGAACTCACAACATTTTTTCTTACGTACCAGTAGCCATTGATTCGTGCTGCTGTATCGGAATCAGAATCAGAATCTTGGCTATCATGAATGGTATACAGACGGAGAAAATCGCCCAAACTGACCAAATGCTGGCAGTAACGGGGGTCGTTTCACGAGCAAGGATGCTTGTTGATCCAGAAGAAGAATTCTCCTCTTCCTACTTTTGGCGCCCTCGGATAATCTCATCTCATACGAGGGCATAAAGTCTTTTAGAACTGTTCCTTCTAAAAAAGTTTACAAAAGCGTCTAAAAAAAAGGTTAACGGCTTTGTCACTTATGTTTTCTAATGCCCCTTTTTATATCTTTTGATTTTAAGACGATGCCTATATGGTATTTGTGTACATGCCTGTAATAAAAACCATAACAGACGATATGTAAGCTTTTAATAAAGCTGAGACCCCAACTTGAAGTCCTCAACAAACAGCGATGTCTAGCCGCACCAAAAATCGAAACACACCTTTTCGCAAGTTATGTTCTGGCACTTTGAACTTGGAAGGGCACGCCTTCTGGCGTATTGAGAGGATAAGAAAAAAGACGAAAGTGCGTGTAAATGGATTCTATTTATAAACTAAAGCTGGTTTATGTCAGGATGAGATAATTGATTATTTAATCACTTTTAATGTTTCATCCTTTGCTTATAGAAATGCCTGTTTAATAGAGATTGAAAAATATCAGCAAGGAAGAGGGATCGTTCAAAGTTATTGATGTAAAAACATGCTTACTGAAGAAGTGGGGATTCTGCTGAGCCAACTATCAAATGGAATTTATTGATAATGAATCCTCCAGGTACCACGTATTTCTACGTGATTTTTGGGGTTCTCATACTGTATCTGTTATAATTGTTATTACACATTGCGTAGTCACTGATAAATAATTTTTATTTGTAGCATGACCGACTAATATTCTGAAACTGATAATCACTTGACTCACTCTTTTCATTTTTCTGTGTGAACAACTACCGTTTGCCACAAATCTGTTGTAAAATAAAGATGGTATTACCATTTTCAAAAATATTTTGGGCGAATATGCTATAAAATAAATTGCTTGTATCTCAAAAAGATACATGTTTTTACCAAATTTTATCAAAAGATATTTTTGACAAAATTAAAACGTGGAGCGGATCTTTTTTGTTAGTGACCTAAAAGTAGAGAAACGCATTTGAAGAGGCCCGGCATGCTTACGCTATGGTTGATGTCCCATCTATTGAGTCAAGGTTGTTTCCAATGCTAATTAAGACGATAATATATGTCTGCTTATTGATCTAGTCAAAAACTTTAAGATTTTTTTCCAACTAGAACTATCTCTCTGCTATCTAATATCACATTTCATATTATGTATATCTGAGGCAGAGTAATGAGGTAAATACAGTGTAAGCAGCTTTTGATAAAGCTGAATACGCGAAGCGTTTCTTCGGTCGATGGATGTCAAGAGAACGACCTTTCTAGGCTTAAAATTTTATTACGTTTTTTGATGATTATGTAAAAGCGAGAATTTATTATTTTCGGGCCATTTTTTAACAACATTTTTATTAATATAACTAGGGTATATGCCTATCCCAAAATAAACCGAACAGAGGCCAATTACAACTATAGGGTAATTTGGCCTTTCATGGATGTTGTTGCCGAGTGTCTACCAACATGCCAATTCGAACCAGGAGAAAAACGCTTGCAGGCTATCAGTGAGGAGCTCAAACGCCAAGATTTGGCTACTTCGCACTTTTACAATGCTGATGGAGTGATTTTCGACGACGAGCTTGGTTTGGAGCTTGGTATATTAGAGACATCTGGGCTTTATGGCCTGGATGATCCTACCCAGGAGACGAACGATTATATCAACGCGGCGTATGGTTTGATGGCGATGCTACATACTATCGTATATATAAGTATGTTTACGCTGACGCGGACATCCTTATGTGTTTGAAGATATGCTTCGTCCATCCGGCCAAGAACCGAGTTTGGGTGTGGACGTTTGGGTTGGTGGATAAGGAGCTTTACATATTAAATTGCATTAAAAGCGCCACACGGAGCAAAGAAAGTGTTTTTGGCTTTTGGCTTGCTTGAGTCAAAAGCTCTTGTAGATAGTGGATGTGGGTGTTCTTGCCGTTGATACCCTCCCCAACTATTAGTAGCCAACAAAAAATTATTAGTTTTTCATAGATTGAGCTGAAGATGATGCAGAAAGCAAGAGAGATACAAGCTTTGAAGAAACTTGTGTCGAGACCAACCCGCATAAAATTGTAGCAGTTGGAAAAGAAAGGTTACCAAACTTGAGAAATATTGTACGTTCAGTGACAAATTTTTGAACAGTTAACCAGGTCCTAAAGAGCGCGTGACGACAGAAGGTTACAGAGCCTCCCTATACGCGCTGCGTGTCTTTTTACTAGCACATACGGGCAATTGACCAAGAAAAATAGATGTATGTACCAGTGATCACCACAAAAATTTTTTAAGCACTCTAAACACCAAATTAGCAGCTCTGATATCATACTTCTATTTTAGCTGCTTACCTTTATTACATAAATTGATAGAAAGAGATAAAAGTAATTTTTTAAAAAAACGACAATCATCTGTCATTTATTTTTTAGAACAGGTAAAAATTTAACAGCCGAACTGTAATGCAAAATTATATATAGACATATAAGGGGAGGGTGGTGTTGGGGGATGGGGGGATTACAAAAACAAAAAAACAAAAAATTAAAAAGTTTCATCTTGATTTGGACATTCTTCTGTAGGATGAATTCCAAATATATCACAATTAACACAGTAATACTGTTTGAAAATACATTAGTTATTTTTCGAATGATCAAAAGAAAAGACAATGTTTACTTACGGATGAGGAAGGTAGAGCGTCATGCTCATAGTCTTCAATTGGTATAAATGCAGTACAGGTCATCACATCATGGCCATAGTCTTCACATATTTCACAATAGACACTTTCTAAGAGAGCACCATGATCGGATACAGTGTCTAAACTACTGCTTGTCATTAACGTAAATGAACTAGCAGTGGTAGAGGAAGATCTTTTCTTGTTTCTTTGAAACATGGAAGGGTATTGAGGAGAGGTTGGAGACATAGGTGGATTATGCATCATCATTCGTTTATGATCGTCTTCTTCTTTCAATTTGGCTTCCAACGACCTGACCTTTCTCTTTTCGTTTTCCAGTCTTTCCTCCAGTTCAGTTTCATGGAATACTTTATTTTCAACCAAAGATTCTAAATCAGATAGTTCTTTATTCAACTGATCCAATTTAACTTGTTTAGCCGTTTCCAAATCTTGATATTTTTTCGTTTCTCGAAGAACTTGTAATTTCAGCTGTTCAATTTCCTTTTTATACATGCGTTCATCACCTCCTCTTTCCTCTTCTTTATCGTCATCTTGTTGATCCTCATTCAATTTCTCTATCGTCATGATTTCATCCATGAGTCGCATACATTCATGTTCTGTCTGTCTTTGTAATTCCAATATACGTTCATTTTCCAATTCTAATTGTCGATTTCTTTCCAGTAAGGATTCTTCATCAGCCATTGTATTTCTCTGTTTCTCCATCGATGCAAGCTTACGTAACAAGTCTGCTAAATCACGCTGTGTTTTATCATGTGTGAGACGAATACGTTCGTTTTCCTCTTCGATGCGAGATTGTGATTCGAGTGCCGCATTGGCTTCCTCCATAATTCTTCGCTTATCCTTGATTTCGTTTTCGAGTTCGTCTCGTATGGAGCATACTTGTGAGCTGGATGAGATGGAAGCACGATGAAGTCGTTTGATCTCTGCTTTCAATTGATCGATATCGGATGCCATGGCTTTTCTTAATTCGCGTTCATGATCCAGTTCCTGTGTGGACAAGTCTAACTGAGCTTCTAATCTTGATCTAGAATCGTCTTGAAGTATAGGAGAGTAGGATGGAGATAGACAATTGGAGAAATCATTCACCATATATTGCAACTTCTGAATTTGTGTGTCCTTCATAATCACTGTATCTTGATATTCCTGCTGTAATTCGTGCATGGAAGCTTCATAAGCTCGTAAATTCTCTCTGTTCACATGTCGTAAATCAGCACATTCCCGCTCGATAGCGGCGGTAGATGCATCATGTTCCGACAATTGTTTGTACAATTGATCGATCTTTGCTGCATGATCACGCAGCTTGCTTTCATAAGTTGAAACAAGTTTGGTATTTTCGTCCTGTAAAGTCTTCACACGTAAATCCAAACGTTCAATCACCTTGATATGTTGACGTTCCATTGCCTCTGACATACTGGCTCGAGACAAGGCACCTTCCTTTTCACTACTCATTTTCTTGAGTTGCTCATTGGCTAATTGAGTCTGCGCAATCTCTCGTTTTAAACGCACCAGTTCGTCTTCTTTTTCTTGCACGCGCAATGCGTAGCTTTCTTTAGCTGATACCAAACGTTCCCATGCTGCCTCTTTCCCATCCATCTGTTGAGAGAGGGCTTTTTGCTCTTGACGAGACTTTTCTAATAAGGCCGATACGCGCTTCAATTCATCTACTTCGGTACGTGTTGTTTTGGAGCTGGAGCTGGGTCGCACCGGTAGCTCATGGTTTCCATCAGCGGTAGAAAGTGAACAAGATTTCTTGAGTTTGGCAGTATGAGTAGATTTAGATGAAGGTATATTTTGCGTGGTCTTTTTGTTTAATACACTGGAAGGACTACTACGTGTAGGTAAAGGTTGATAATGACTGTTGGATACGATACGTGCTGATTTACTGGGAGCGGGTGTAGCCGGTGCTGGCAGTGTTGTGGTACGCTTCATCATGGTTTTTTTGATGGCGGGAGGTTGGGTGGTTCGTTTGGGTTTTTCGATAGCCACGACTTTATTAGCAGCAATGAAAAGACCAGAATCCTGAGGACAAGAGAAATAACGAACACTATAAATGGTAAAAATGATTAATTAAATTTTTTTTTTGTGAGTGTATATTTATATATACATAATGAAACTAACCCCTGAATACTGCCATCATTTTTTCCACTGCCTTTGATCTCTAATTCAATTCCAACCCAATTGCCATGTGTGAACCTTGTTTCCCCATAAAAGCGAACTGTGCCAAATACAGCCATGCTAGGGACACTCACTTTTTGGCCTAATCTGAAATAATGATATTCATCATTGCCACTACTTGTATAATCCACGGGGTTCATGAGTGAAGATGATCGTTTCATGGCAGAAGCCTTTGCAGGTGAGTTATTGGATGTAGTGGAAGAAGCTGATTTAACTGAATTTGTTCTTGTGAGAGATGATTTGGGCACCAAGACACCAGGATGATGATGATCTGAAGAAAATCGTTTAATCAAACTAGAAGGTCTTGGCATAGGTGTAGTGGTTGCTCGACTGAGTATGGCTCGATGATGTCTTTGTTGTTCTTCATCCTCCTCATCATCATCGTCGTCGTCACTAAGATAGGCTAATCGATGCATGGATTGTGATTTGGATAAGCCCGAGGTGGGTCTCTTGTGTTTTTTCTTTTCATAATCACAAGAGATACGTTGTCTGTTATTCATAGGAAAATGGTTGATGGATGTAACGGATGATGGACGTGCGATTCTACTATTATTAGACATTCTTTATAAGAAATCACACATTTTGAGGCAGAAAAGAAAAAAAAAGAAAAGAGAGAGAAAGACGAAAAAGACAAAAAGATAAAAGAGCTGTTGTATATGATTTGAAATAGGAGCATAATGCAGATTCGTCTAAATGCAACGGTCTGCATAAATATAATGATTTTCTGCTTTGCTTTTGGGTGATTTTTTTTTGTTATAATAAGGGGACAAACACACTTGTTAGAAAAGGGGGTGATATATCAAATAATTGATATTTTTTTATATGCAAACTAAAAAAAGAATGTCAAATGCCCTCTCTCTGTCACTTTTCTGGTATATGCAAGTGACATTAGTAATGTCCTTACCTTTCGTCAGTCCTTCTTTAAACCCAATGTCAAGAGACCACAGCTCTACTTCTCTTCGTAATTAAAATTTCCCCACCTGGGACTTTCTTTTCTCTCTTCTACTCATGTCGCGTCAAACATTACAATATGCATTAACTCCCGTGAAATGCTCATCTGGCACTCCCATGACAGAAGGAAACTGGATTCAGCTTGAACGCTTGGTCTATAAGGATAACAAGCACGTCGAAAGATCCTGGGAACGTTGTGTGCGAAAGAAGCCAAGTCCTTCTGCTGTAGACGGTAAGCAGGCTTACTCTTCTTCTTGCCATGTCAATACTAACACCCTGCACCTAATGTAGCTGTAGATATTCATGCCATTTTGTTAACTCCAAAACCTGAAATTCTACTTGTTGTTCAATATAGGTAACAACGGCAAAAAAATAGTTTAAAAAAAAAAGACGGTTCTAAATAAAAAATATAACCTGCTTTTTATGTAGACCTGCAATTGAACGTTACTGTATTGAATTCCCGTCAGGTAAACAACCATGCATCCGTTTTCCTGCTTGTTGACTAAATAAACATATACATGTAGGCTTAGTAGACAAGGATGATCCGATAGATGCAGCTCAACGAGAGTTAAAAGAGGAAACAGGCTATACTGTACCACGAGACAAGATCCTATTGACGAAAACCCCACTGGCCTATGAACCGGGTCTAACCAACTCTTGTTGCTATGTGGCCAAAGTCACAATTGATACAAGTGAGTTGACAGCACCTCCCGTGCAGGAACTGGAGCCAGATGAATGGAGCCTGCAGACAATCAGCTTACCACTAGAAGGACTGATGAATCATTTGCTAGGTACAAACAAAAGAAAGAAATAATTGCTTGTATAAAAACTAAAAAAAAAAATGCAATATGAATACATTAGCATTGAAAGAATCTCAAAAGAATTTGTTGGTGATTGATAGCCGAGTACATGCACTCGCATCAGGTATAGCGTATGCAAACAGTTACATCTAAGTTATTTGTTTGTTTTTCAACGTGCTAGCTGGCCATCTCAACTTTTATTTTATATACACATTAAAAAAAAATCCTTTTATTTGTCTGTGCTTTTCTTTTCTGTTGCACCACTGTCATCTTTCACCACCAATACAGAACATTTTAAATGATGAATAAGATAATCAGACACGGATCCGATGAGTTGTCTAGTTTATCATTCATATTTTAGCTCTAGCCTCATATACACATACACTATACTTTACCTTTTAAAGAAACCTAAGCCTCGACTGCCTACAATCACCAAATCCACATTATGCGCTTGAGCATAATCTTTTAAGGTCTCGCCGGGTTCTCCACTGAGTATCTTAGGGGTCACTGTAATCTAGAATGATCGTAGATTAGCACAGACGCACGCACGCGAACATCAGCAAAATACTTTACGCCTTTACTAGCAAACCATTTGACCACGGACTTTAATGCTTCTGCAGACTCTTTTTCCATAGTAGATACACGTTCAATATAGTCATCTGCCAGCCAACCTGCGGGACCCGCTACAGCTGATTCTAAACCAAATGTGCCTTCCACAGCAATGGCATCGTCATTAACAATAATGGCAAGTGTCACTGAGTCCTCGGGAAGTAAGATTCGCTTTTCAATAATCCATTCCATGGCAGCATTAGAAGCTTTTGAGTGGTCATAACCTATTAATATTCTACGTCCTTGCATTTTTATTTGAGATAAAGGAAATATAAAGAAAAAAAAAGTGTGGGATCATTTAAAATTATAAGAAATCAGTCCACTTTTAATTCGCATAATAAAATGATTTGGTTGGTTTATTTTTTCACGGCCGTAGCTAATTTTTTTACATCACTGCCAACCACTTCAGTTTTACCACTGCTATAAAAATTCATGATACATTCCAACTTCCACTTCTTCCAAACATCTTCGGAAGGGAAGCCCATTTTCTCCCATTCCTTTTCTTCTTCCTCTTGATCTGATTCCTCTTCGGACTCATCCACTAAGTGTTCGTACCGCAACATAAAATTAGGTCGATGATCACTTGCTAATTCCGTGACAAACTGAGTCGCATCCACTGCTAATCTATCATGACGTTGAAGTAACTGATTCCATTGTTTCAGTTGGGATTGGATTAATTGCTCATCGTCAATATTTTTATTCAGCTGGTTTTGATTATCAGCCAGCAGCTCGAGCGAGATGGTCGCCTGTGTGTCGGCTTCCAATTTCTCAATGTCTGGAATGAGTTTAGTACGGAGTAAAACACTCAAGATATTCGTGTCGCTTTCTTTGGTGGTGGGTATATAAGGATGCAGCATGAGTTTTGGTAAGGTTGCATTACTTCCTGTTTCGGTGTAGCTGTAGAAATCTTCAGATAAAGAGGCGAATTTGGCTGTCAACATGTTGAACTTGTTTAACAGATCAGGCCAATTAAAAGGGTACCGAGGTTCCGTTAACGACGCTAAATGTGTGGAAAATGTTTCTTGAAGTGACCATAATTTACCACGCAAAGCTTCTAGTTCTTGATACGTGTTTGGATCAAGTGTTGCCTGAATTTGTGAAGTGTCCATTCGTAAGAAAAAAGGAAAAAATAAAAAGAGAGAAAAAGGTCACACCTGGATTTTTTAACCCTTAGCACATATTTTCTAAATAAGACGGCCTGGCTGCGTACTTTGGTAGCGATATGGGAGCAGAATACTTAATATGTCAACATAGTAAAGCTATTATGTGTATCTATATTAACATTAAGCATAACATCAATCAGCCCTTATGCTGTCTAAAATGTGCAAAAGGCTGATTCATAACCTGATGTCATTGGTCCGCTACAATCAGGAATCAGGCCCGTAATTGAGTGAAAAAAAAAACTTTTTTGAGGGTATAAAAAATGAATCTCCGGGGGTGATGAAGGACAGGGCTTAGATCCCCGAACAGCGTGATTAAAAAAAAGTTTAGTCAACGATCATGCAGCGTCCCAAATTTGGGACGCTCCTTAAAAATAGCGTATTTTTTTCCCGTCTTTGTATATTACAGTAACGGTATAAATACAAAACTGTTCCAAATAAGGAGAGCCAATCAAAAAATTCTCTTGCCTATAGGCCTGGGCTGTGGAAAATTTACCCGAAATAGTAATGCTTCCTTTTTTGGATAAAATGACACATTTACTGGAATCCCATACTGGAGCAGTGTAGAATTGGAAAAATTTTGTTGAAAATGAGCATTTAAATGGGAATAATGAGTAAATTGTCAGACATTGAAAGCCGTAAATGTCTATTTTAAACTACTGCTTAGACTATGTAATACTTTTATTATTGAAATTTTTTGTTGTTGTTGTGCTTTTGTCACCTAAACATTTTTTAATAGAGCTTTTTCTACGAAAGGCATAATTTTTTTTTATTTGATTTTTATGGTGGATAAAGAATAAAGAATGGCTACTAGAATACAAATATATATATAACAAATAAATTTATTGAAGAACTTGTATGCAACAGTGTACATCATATGAAAAAAAAAGGAAAAAAGGAACAAATGTTATTCAGAACTGGTAGGTTCGTAGCTGACCCATCTGGCTTTTTTCGCTCTTGCTTTTTGCTTTGACGAGGTTGCGGTATTCTGGTTAACATTTGTTGATGCTATGGCAGGCTGGATTGTAACAGGGTGTTGATAGTTGGGGAGATCAGGAAGGGATTGCATTGGAAGAGTGGGAAAAGATTGCATTGGAAGAGCAGGGAAATTTTGTGGTTGTGTCAAATTAGTGTTGGCATTTGAGTTTGTGAAAGCGTTGTTGGTGGCCATCATTAGCTGCATCTGTGAATTCAGGCACTGTTGTTGCATCATAAGAATCCTTAAATCTTTTGTCAGTTGTTGGGTCATGTTCATTAAAAGAACGTTTTGCTGATTATTTTGATTAACGTAATTATTAAAAGAATTTTCGAATTTTTCGGATCTGTTGTCTTGTTGATGTTGGAGATGTGAAATTCGCTCGAGTGGTAAAAATTTCTTCGTCTGCAAGCGCTTTCTTTGCTGTTTTCCATTGAGAACCACCAGACAAGCTTTTCTCGGGACTACTACGCCCACGCAATACCTTCCAGTTATGCCATCTGTCTTCATTCAAGAAATCGCCACTAACCTATTGTTTTATACATTTTTATAAATTAGCATTGGATCTAAAATGTGGTATATGCATCTTATTATAATGTTATTCTGTAAACATACCTGAAGCACACTAAACATGAAGAAGGCGAACGCACTGAAAGGGCATCTAAATACGTTTTCATGACGCATAGCACAAGCAAATTTAACCTCGCCTTCTTTAAGGGTCTTGCCCTTGTCAAGACTAAAAACCAAAGCTAAAGCCTGCTGAATACCTTTGTGCTGTTTTTTGGGAATGATGGTACAAAAACAGTCAGCAAAGTTCAGATTTCTCAGATCTTGATCACGAAGTAACATGTGGTGACGAGAAGATATAGAAAACATTTCACGTAAACCAGAATCAGCACTTGAACTCCAAAGGCTTTTTAAAATTCTAATTAATTCGCCAGACTTGTAAGAATCACGAATAACACAATGTGCTGCTCTATCCACATTTGTTTGCACTTGATCGTAAACAAGATCATGCTCGTACTTCTTGATTAATTCAATTATTTCCTTCGTTTTTTTAGGAGATGGCCATTCGACTTCTCGGCGACTAGACTGAAATTCATGCAAAAACATCAAAACCTTTTTGTACTGGTTGATAGATTCAATTCCCGATGGTACTTCAATTACTTTTTTACTACCATTTTTATTAGATGGTGCATTATTTGCCACTAAAAAAAAAGAGAGAGGTCAATGACTGCATACAGCTAGAGTACTTTTTAATAGCTTACTTTGTCGCAATGATGGTTGGTTATCTACATTATCTTCAGTTCGTAAGCCGATCTGTGTTCTAACATCATTTTCAATCGAAACACTCTTCTTATAAGTACGCTTAAAAACAAACTCCTTGAAGAAAGCAACAACAAATTCGGTAGGCCCAACAGTATATGGATACATAGGATCAACGGGATATCTATGTCGGTTCTTTTCACAAAAGTCCTTCAATTTGGAAAGGGTCAAAAACAATAAATTTAACTTACATGATGCATAAAAAAACCTTCAGTTACAACATACCTTCCAATTTTCTAAAGGCATTCTATAAATTGCTGCAGTACTAGCACGCACTTTCATCGGCAAGGCCTTAATTGCAAGTTCAAACTCACATGTGTATCCCAAGGGTCTACTTTGGGATAAAACGAGAGCGCTTGAAATGGGGAGAGCAGGAGGATCGTAAGTTGGTCCAGAACTCTCGGCAGTTGGGGATTCAACGGACATAGTGTTTTTTGGTGGACGACCTCTACGAGGTTTTTTAGGTGCAGGCTAAAAAATGTATATTTAATATTTAAGTTATGCATGAATTCTAATTTTTTTTTTTTGTACCTGAACTTCACTTAAAGTTTCTTCGGCATGCTCGAATACAACTTCATATCCTTCTTCCTCGGGATTTCTAATAACACGGCGCTTAGGGTAGATGGGCTTAGAATACAAAGGATTCATAATAAATACTTTTATAACAGAAGAATGAAATGAAGGTGATTTAAGTTTTTGATTGTAAATCAAACTTTAAATGCCCAGTATTTATAACTGACCAGTTGATAATACTGGAAAGTTCCAGCAGGTTCTCTAGTAATTTCAGTAACATTTTATTGGAGAACTTAATTTTTTATTTCCAAAAAAATAAAAAAAAGAACCCGCGTTTTTTTTTTTTTGAACGTCCTTTTTTTTATATATTCAAAAACATAATGCAAAGAAAGAATAGTAAAGTCGTCAACCGTTTTGCAGCAGCAGCAGAAGCAAGTAAAGGTCGTGTCTACAGTGACACTGGCAAAGACTACAATTTAAAAAAAGAATATCCATTTCGTCTCAACTTTTATTTGAAACCGCCTCTCATGGAAATCACGCTCGAAGAATTCGAAGTCTTTGCCCTTGACAGACTCCAAGGTAAAAAAAAAAAAGGGAACAGCATACAACAAAAGAGTTTAAATTCATGCTAAAATTACCCAAGTTTTAAGAGCCATCGATACAGCTTCATTACGTAACAGAGATATTGCACAAGAAGCCCAGAAAGCGATCGATACTTTTTTACCCCTCAAGTCCAACCTTTCGAAATCAGACTCATTGTACGAAGAAAGACGTAAAGATCATATTAGTCATTACCTGTTGCGCATGGCCTATTGCAGAAGGTATAGAAGAGGAAAAAAGAAATTAAACTTGTACCTGTCTTTTCTAATACTTTAGTGTAGCGACGAAATGCAAGAATGGTTTATCAAGCAAGAATGTGAATTATTCAAGTATCGATTTGACCAAGAGCCAATTTCCGAAAAGAAAAAGTTTTTAGAAGACGTGAATCTGAAATGGAAAATGGTAAAGAGCTTTTTGCTTTTCTTGCATCTTTATGACAACTAAACATCCAATCATAGTTAACAACCGAGGAAAAGGAATCGATGCGACGAGAACTAGAGCTTTGCTCGCGGCCAAAAAATTTGTCGATTGGGATACACGATTATATCACTAATGAGACATTTTTTGAAGTGGATTTCGATAAGGTACCACAAATGGTAGGTCGTCGTGGTGTCTACATCAAAAAAGGTAAAGCCTATGTGCCCATGTCTGAACAGGTGAATATCGTCATGCTGGAATACAAGTCGTACCTGAAACGCGGCTTAGAATCTATCAGCAAAATATTGCCTCGCCTGGAAGAAGATGATCGTCTTCGCCCCATCTTGCAAAATGTTGAGAAACAGTATGTTGGTCTCAGTTACAACTATCCCTCAGCAGCAGCAGGCACCGTCACAGCTTCTCAGGTCGACAGCCTGGTGCAGCGTTATGCTCCCTTATGTATGCGTAGTTTGTGTGATAGTTTAAAACTCGATCATCATTTAAAACATGAAGGAAGATTGCAATATGGTTTATTCATCAAGGGAATGGGTTTATCTGTGGATGAAGCTTTGATGTATTGGAAAAACGCCTTTTCGAATATTACACCTGATAAATTCCAAAAGGATTATGCATATAATATTCGATACAATTATGGTCTGGAAGGAAAGCGTACCAATTATAGTCCGTATAGGTAAAGAAACTGTCAATGTGTGTATCTATCATGTTACTGACACCCCGTTTAGTTGCTCCAAAATCATTGATAACCCACCTTCTGCCACCGAGAATCATGGGTGCCCATTTAAACATTTCTCACCTTCAAACTTGGAAGCAAGATTACTCCGGGATAATATCGGTCGTACACATGTGGACCAAATCTTACAGCTTTCGCGTGACCGACATTACCAAGTAGCCTGTACGAAGCACTTTGAAGTGACACATCCTCAGGACAAGACAATGCGGGATTCTATCGAGCATCCTAATCAGTATTACGAAGCCAGCAAAAGTTTGGATGAGGAACTGGTAGAAAAAACGGAACAAATGGACGAGTCTTTATAAAGTGTGAGATCCAAAAATAAAAACTTATACAGTCACACACAAGTGATTTTAGCGGAATAGTAAATAAATAAATCAGAAGAATTTGTTATCAAATCTTCAAATGTTAATTGCACAATGAAATAATTTGAAAACACTTCCAATTTTTTTATATGATATTTAGTATATATATTTTCATAAAAAAAAAAAAAAATGAAAATCAATATTTTGTGGGTCCACCACGGGCTTCAATTACCGCTCGGCATCGATCTGGCATACTTGAAACTAATCTATCTGCTAGTTCGAAGCTCATTTTTTCCCATTCTTCTTCTATGGCTGCTCTCAAACTACTAATATTGTTAATTGAACCCCTTCGGGTTTTTAGTTTACATTCAAGTGCCCACCAAAGGTGCTCGATTGGATTCAAATCAAGGCTTTGTGCTGGCCAGTACTCAAAGCCACTGATTTGATGCGTCTCTTTCCACCATCTTGCATACGCACCAGTATGACAGGTAGCCCCATCTTCTTGGAGTATAAAGCTCCTGTCGTTATTCTTACTCAATTCTTGGAACCAAGGATGAAAGTTACCTGCCAAAATATTGATATATTCATCCTGGCCAACAGTACCGTCAATGATAGTCAAAGGACCAAAACCTTTAGCCCAGAAACAACCCCAAATCATAACACCACCGCCACCCCACTTCACAGTTGGTACGATATGTTTCTCTTGATACCTTTCCCCAACTTTTCTCAAAACTCTAGCACCTCCATCAGCCCCTTTTACCGAGAAACGTGATTCATCGGACCAAACGACACTGCTCCACTGATCTTTGGTCCAATTCACATGAGCTTGTGCCCATCGAAGCCTGTTTTTCTTGTGTCTCTCTGTTAAACGTGGCTTATGTGCTGCATAATAAGATCCAAATCCAAGCTCCTTTACTGATGCGATAATAGTTGCTCTACAGACGTTAATTTCAGCCCTTTGTAACTCTAATTTCAAATCATCATATGTGACAAATGGATCGTCTCTAATGACACGTTCGATATGTCTTTGCGCCCTCTGGTCAATCTTTTTCGGTGCACCGGGTTGCTTTTTAGGCAAAGGACTACCTGTTTCCTTTATCCTTTTAATAACACTTCGCACAGTGGACGGTAGTACGTCGACTGTACCTGAAATGGCAGTTGGTGTTATGCCGTGCTTATTTAGGTAAAAAATACCCCAAAGTTTATCTTCTGTTGGTGGATTATAGCTACCACGAGTGTTATTTGTCGAGTCTGTTAAAGGCATACCTGGTTAAATAGTGATATATGAGAGAAAAAACGATTTTATTAAAAGGGGTGGCGTTAAAAAAACGCCAAAAATAAGGTTTCGCTAAAATCACTTGTGTGTGACTGTAATTGTGTGCTTTGTTTGACAAAGAAAGGGATTTGAAAAATTACCCCTTTTGGACTGTTCGATAACATATAAACCCCATACATGTATTTTGTGTCCTCTCCCAAATGCATGAACATGTATTTATTTTTCTTTTTCGTACACTCCCAAATGCAATTAAATCGATCGGCAAACATTGAGGAGAAAAGCCATGTAGAACATTAAAAATAATAGAGTGCGATTTTCTCCTTACAATACTTCATAAACAGGATCCTCAGGGGACTGTCATATTATCCTTAAGAATATTTCAAGATAAGGTAACTGGTCATCTAGAAGGACATGTATGTAGATCAGATTGTAGTTTGTACTATCCAATATTTACTAAAAAGAAGCACATTTGTAACTCTCTTCTTCATCCTACTGGGGGCAATAGTTCAAAATTATAGAAGAGAAGCATTATTCAAAAAAAGGCCTACGCAGGGTAACCGAATCCAAAAAAAAGTATTCATTATATGTAAATAGAGAGGAGGACAACACCTGGGCACTAAAGCTGAATACATCACTGCTTATATGCATCCTATCCACCCTTTCCACCCTCGTTAAATTGGTAGCTAACCCGTCAGCTCTAATTAATTAAAATAAACGTTGAGAACCCGAAAGTATAACCCGATAGTTCCAACGCGACCGATCATAGCATATATTAGAAACATTTAAGGAGCTTGACAAATCCTCTTAATTACACTTATTGCTTCAATACTGTAATACATTTAAACACCATTTTTAAATCATCATCAGTAAATGTTTGATACCTCTACCCTTGTTCTTTCTCTTGTTAGATGATTTATATGCCGTGTCTCTTAAAACTATGCGAAGAACTAGCCCTTCCGCACAATAAAATAGATGAGATGCCATGTAACTTACCTTAAAACCTCTAACTCCTCAGCATTTTGTATGAATTCGGAGAAAACAAGAAATACGTACCTGAAAACACTACCTTCGTTAAATAAATTAGTAAATTGAAGATATATCAAACAGTTCTTCAGTAAGAGAAAAAACATTTGACAAATTTAATTCGTATTATTCATATTAAGGTAACCATATATAGTGTAGCATATTAACATAATATTATAAATATACTATATAGATATATGTAATCCTTGGTTGGGAATCTGTCATTGCGTAAAACCTCTTGCTGCCTAGAAAATTTTGCACAACTTTAAATTAAACCAAGAAGACTTTTATGGACATGATATAGCTGAAAGTGGCCACGGTACCTGTATACGACTACCGTTGTCTTTACACAGAAGCCATCGCAGCTATTTGCATTCCAAGCAACTCATGTGTATGAATCATTGATGAAACCAGCCAATGTCAAGTGATATTGATTCGCCAATATTTAATGGATTCACTAATGGATCATGTGTCCGATATACTTTTCAAAAGGTGTGCGAATAATTTATGTAAAAATACAAAAAAAAAGGTAAATGGGGGATTGTGGGAATGAATTTTATAGTACACAAGGGGGATTATTTTAGTCTTCTTGTTGTTGAATCGTCTCTTTCGCTGCTTTAATCAAGGGCGTTAAGGTATAAAAAGGGTCGGATTTGCGCAAAAATGGATGTCTTAGAAGCTCAGCAGCTGAAGGTCGATATGCAGGATCGACTTCAAGACATAACATTAAGAAATCCTTGAAAATATCACTAAGTGTCTCTGGGTTTTGTAAATCGGGTGTACCATTGTTGGCAATCAGATACAGTGCTCTTAATGGGTTTTCGTTTAAATATGGTGGTTCGCCTTCAATCATCTCTATCGCCAAAATACCCAAGGACCAAATATCTACTTTATGATCATAGGCCTTTCTTGTCACAACCTCAGGTGCCATCTAACCATCTCCTATTAGTAAACAAATCTATGCATTATTTTTATATACTTTGCTTACCCAATAAGGTGTACCAACTAGAGTCGTACGCTTGGATAGAGGTTCATGAAGTTGAGCACAAAATCCAAAGTCAGCTATCAAAAAACAAGACGCACGTTAGAAAAGGGGTTTTTCCTGTGTATATGAAATACTTACTTAATTTGATTTCGCCTTGCATACTTAATAGCACATTGTCACTCTTAATATCTCGGTGGATCACTCCGTTGGCATGGAGATGTTTCAAACCCTCCAAAACTTGTTTACAGATAGCAGCAATTTGTCCTTCCATCATCATGTTACAGGTTACAACGTCTGTTAAACTCCCCCCTTCCATATATTCCATCACAACCCAGAGATCACCTTTCCAGAGATAGGATTCGATAAAGTTGACAATATTGGGATGTTGAGAGCGTTGCATTACCATGATTTCGTTAATGATCAGTTCTTTTTTGGGTTGTTTTTCCAAATTCATTTGTTTAATTGCGACGGGTGTAGTAAAACCTTGGCGATAAGCGATATAAACACCGCCCGAAGCACTTTTTTTTTTTTGTTAATTGTGTATTTTGCGTATTACTTTTAAAGACACTTACCCTTGACCGATTTTTTCCATATTTGAATAGATCAAGAGAGGATCCGCATTGGCACATAATTCTTGTAATTTAAGGATGACATCTTGATCGTTCATAGATTTTTCTTTGGGGGGTCTTTGTTTGACGGTGCCTGGAGGAGCGGAGGATAATGAACTAGTGGCGGAATTTTCAGGTATGTCTTGTTTTTGCTCCAATTCTTGACCGAGAGAGGCGGTGGATTCGGTATTAATAGAACGTACATCATCCATGAATTCTTTTTTTTTTTTTTTTTTTTTTTGTGAGTATTAAAGGGATGCGTCATATTTTTTTGTAATGTATATAATTTGGTGTAGTTACCATCTTCTAATTGTTTTTTATGTTCAACAACTATTTGGGTCGTGTTACTTTTTTCAGATACCTAAAAAAAAAAAATTGTGTTTAACCAAAAAGTATATGGGCTTGTGAACTAAAAGTTACCGATTCAGATTCCCCTCTTGTACTTTTGGTGATGCGAAGTGTGGGAAAACGTTCCAGAGACTTACTGGTATCTGATTTATCCAAAGTAACTTGAGGTATCTTGTTCCAAACGACTTCTTCCTCTCGTGTTGAGCCTTGAAAGAATTCGATAGCATGAATTACCGCCTAATGAACTTTAGTAAGTATATTTATTTTAACAAGTGAAACCAAATAGGTGTACCTGTGGGTTATTCTCTTGTTCCTGTTTTGTAATGCCACTTTGTGTGAGTAACGTTAACCATTGTTTGGGTAAACCAGTGAATTCACCTGTATTTGGATCGAACCCCACATGCGTCACATGCACTGTATTATACGGTGTAGATATATCCATAGCCCTTCCAGCTACTTGCTTATTGTTTCCATTCGATGATAGAAATTCTTCAAGAAAAGTTTTAGCACCTATTCTGCACGCACAGACTAATTTTTTTATTAGTTACCGTTAAAGTTGCCCATAAATTTGGTAATAACTCCTTTCAACTTTGTCTTTTCTCGAGATTTATTATTCATCGGTTCGCCCTGAGATGGTGTCAATGGAGAATTTAGTTCTTGCTGCGACGAAGAGGTCGAGTCGCCGAGATTCTTTGTTACTAATTTCGGTAAATGTGACATTGGGAAAGAAAAAAAAATGAAAAGCAAAAAGGGGGAGACAGTGGGGATTCAAACTTCTCTTTCTCACTAATAACGGAATTCTAAAAAACCCATTTTCCCTTTTTGAGAGAGGAACGGGCTAAGTAAAAGTATATGCTCTTTCAGCTATTACATGAATACCATCTCTTAGCAGCGTGTGTCCTGTTTATACTGTAAATAAAACGTTGTCCAAGTAACTGTAGCAGCCAAAATTTGTTCATCATAACTTACAATATGGAATTACCACACTTGTTCTAAAATTACACAGAAAGAAGGGAAATACCAGAAAAAAAACGTGGTGATTGTCGGCATCAGATAAATTTGCTCATTTTTCTTGGTGTGTGTAACACACTTTTTAAAATACCGTTCACGTGTGGTTGCCGTGGCCCCACTCTAACAGTAATGGATCAATACTTTTAGGGTATAGAACTTAGGGGCCACCAATGTCAACAAAAAACACGTTACTTCCACCATGGAAGCTCTGTGGCTCTTTGGAAGGCAAACAAACATTTTGAAAAGGCATTTTTTTTTTTTTTTTTTTTTTTGAAAGTAGTAATTTATTATTATTTTTTTAATACAAGATTACAAGAATATACAGATAAAAGACAAAGAAAACTATAAGCAAAAGAATAATTAGTAAACTTATTAAACTGACAAGATTAATAAAAGAATGCTTCTTTTTTTTTATAAGGATGAAAATGATATCAGTAACAATTGTTCACATCAAGCTTTCAGGCAATGTAGATAAGATTTTGTAAAATCATCATTTTGACATTTTCAAACCTTATGAAAAAAAAAATACACAAAATTCTATAACATATTTTTTAAAAAAAAAAAACTTACCATTCTTAACGATTTGTCATCCATCCATCCTTATTACCTTAGTTAAACATAGTCGGTCCACAACCTAAGAGTTGCCAACACGATTGCCCATGTATAAAACGAAATAATAACAAACAGAAAAGATGATAATAAAACATTGAAAGGGCCCCTCCCTGCCACCATCTTTTTATACACTTTGCCGGAGGGAGAAAATTAAAAATTTACTTGACTGGCAAGTGAGTTTCAATTACACATAATTTTTTTTTTGGCCCGGACTTTTTTTTTTCAGGCGAGCATAATGATGATAATTATTCAGTGACAAAGCTAGTTCCTCCTTTCTCATCGTCTTTTTGTACTTGGTGTAATAAACATGGTAGGTACCAGTATGCATACATCCATCGAAAAGTTATACTAATCCATCCTTATCTAGTCTCACAGGTTAGTTTTTTTTTTCTATTCAAAAATAATCCAACATTTTCGATCCAACACACCAGCATACACACAAAAACGATCTGGATCGAATATTTTTTTTCTATGAGCAGCCCCATTTAACATTTTACATTTTGTAACATTATAGAAAATTCGAGGCTCCCCGTCATGGTCATTTGGGTTTCGGCCCCCGTAAGAGAACTAGATCTCACCGCGGTCGCGTTAAGGCTTATCCTAAGGATGATGCCAAGAAGCCTGTCCACATGACTGCCTTCATGGGTTACAAGGCCGGTATGACCCATATCGTCCGTGACCTCGAGCGTCCTGGATCCAGTAAGTTGGCGTTAATGTCATTTATTTTTTGACGTATATTAACTGTTATGTTTAAACAGAGATGCACAAGAAGGAAATTGTCGAAGCCGTCACTGTTATCGAAGCTCCCGCTATGGTTGTTATCGGTGTTGTCGGTTACGTCGAGACTCCCCGTGGTCTCCGTTCTTTGACCACTGTCTGGGCCGAGCATCTTTCCGAAGAAGCCAAGCGTAGATTCTACAAGAACTGGTACCGTTCCAAGAAGAAGGCCTTCACCAAGTATGCCGCCAAGTATGCTCAAGGTGCCAAGGATGTCACTCGTGAACTCGAACGTATCAAGAAGTACTGTTCCGTTGTCCGTGTCATTGCTCACACTCAAATTGCCAAGGCCAAGCTTCACCAACGTAAGGCTCACCTTATGGAAGTTCAATTGAACGGTGGTTCCATTGAAGCCAAGGTTGAATGGGCTCGTGAACATTTCGAAAAGGAAGTCACTGTCGGTTCTATCTTCGAGCAAGATGAGATGATCGATATCATTGCCACTACCAAGGGTCATGGTTTCGAAGGTGTCACCGCTCGTTGGGGTACCAAGAAGCTTCCCCGTAAGACCCATCGTGGTCTCCGTAAGGTCGCCTGTATTGGTGCCTGGCATCCTTCCAGAGTCATGTACTCTGTCGCTCGTGCTGGTCAACGTGGTTACCATCGTCGTACCGAAATCAACAAGAAGGTCTACCGTATTGCCTCCGGTGCTGATGCCAAGTCTGGTACCACTGAATACGATCTTACCGAGAAGCCTATTACCCCCATGGGTGGTTTCCCTCACTACGGTGTTGTCAACGATGATTTCGTTATGATCAAGGGTTGTTGTGCTGGTTCCAAGAAGAGAGTTATCACTCTTCGTAAGTCTTTGACTGTCCACACCAAGCGTTCTGCTCTTGAGAAGGTCCAAGTCAAGTTCATCGATACTTCTTCCAAGTTCGGTCATGGTCGTTTCCAAACTCCTGCCGAGAAGCATCAATTCATGGGTACTCTCAAGAAGGATCTTTAAATTACTCGTCTTTTATAAATAAAAAAATAACCTATATTTTTTGTTTGTTTTATATATCAAAACTATTTATTTTTATTTATTTATTATACAAATGTGGCATCAGGCTTGCTAAACTTCACAATGCCTGCATTGAGATTATCACCGCCGTATTGTTCCAATGCTTGTAATTCGCGTCTAATATATTGCACTACAAGTGCTAAATCCGTGGCATTGTTGGAAGAAATAGCGAACAGGTTTCTATCGGACACATGTAAGTAATCCCTTTCTCTCTCTCTCTTTCTATCTACCATGTTTTACCTCCATAAAGCGGCCGCCAAGACAGGATCGTCTTTACACATGCCTTCATCATATGCTACCACACCACCGTGAAATTGTGCCAATAAATCCTTAACATAACTGTTGATAACTCTTTGTTGTGTAATCTATGTAAGGTTCGCTTTGTAAGCTCCAATGTCTCCTCCCTCCAAATACAGTTCTATATTTTCACTTACGCCATGATCTCTAATTCTAGCTTCAGCATCCTCAAAGAAACGATTGACTACTTCTTGAATGTAAAGCTTTCCGTGACCTTCAGCACGAAGGTGAACCATCAACATCCAAACATGTAATTGCGTCACTGAGAACCACGATTGAAAGTTATCAGGAAGGTTACACTCTGACAAAAAGAAAACAGTTAGCCCCTGTCAAATGACACTTTTCTCCTCATTCGTTTACCTTTAACATAGAATTCCTTGTTTAATTCCATTTGTTCTGCACACACGTTGTAAAGACTATGACTTGCTTTAATGGCAGTGGATCCGGTAGAGTAATAACCCATCATTCTGGCTAACCCATACACGACCTTTTTGGTAACGGTAGAGTATTTCTCTTCGGCCTGTGTTGATGAAGGTTGTGTAGTGCTGTTCCAACGTGTAGTCATAAATCCAGTTGCTCTCTAATACTCTAGTTAAGTATTCTCTTACCACGAAATAAATAAAAATTCATAATAGACCAACTTACAATGACATGGGCGGGGGTCTTACATGATAACAAGGCTGGAGCTGACAAGTTCTATAAGTTTACATAAAGAAGAGGCGTTCAGTATTCTTTTTATAGACTGTCGGCTAATGTATGTATAAGTTGTACCTTCTTGACAGTAGCATGAAGAGCTCTTTTAGCAATCATTGACATTTTTGGTTTAATTAGACGAGCAATAAAGGGTTGTCCAAACTGAAAACTTTTTGCTATTTGATGGGGGCGGAGAACACCAGAGTGCGGGTTTTTAAATCTCAATTTGCAGCTATACTATAGCAGTACATGAATAATTCTTAACTCACATAATTTTTTACCATTGTCACTTAAAGTAGTACGCTTATTGATAACTCTGGCTGAACTTGGGTTAATACTCTGAAAGGGTGGTATGATTTTATGATATATTAATTAAATTAGATGCTACAAGATGATGATCATATTTCTAAGAGTTCTACCTCTCATTATCTTCCTCCAACCAAACAATGCCACTACATCTGACTTCAATTAAGTAATTTATACTGAAAAGGCTTTAAAATTTTACCTAAAACCTACTATTGTTATATTTAAAAATTTAAGAGGCTGCGAAAAAAAAAAGGAGAAAAAAAAGCTATAAAACCAGACTCCATCATAATAGTGGCATTATCACGAAGATTCTTCACTTGTTGTTTCATTATGACTGATTTTGAGACGTTTTTTTATATTCCCTGGTGTTCAGTTCATTACCGTCGCTGTCTTTGTAAGGATAAAATCAATCTTTTTACCGAACGTTTAGCTGCTGCAGTCAGTGTCTTTATCGTCGGAAGAGATCATGATTCCATCGCATATGCTTTGCAGAACTTGACGACTTGCTTTCGCCACTACACGTAGCAACATGTAAATTAGATATACAAAATTTCTACGTTCAATAATATATACGTACTGTCACGATTATATCTATATCAGCCAGGGCATTCAAAACTATTTCGGAGGAGGCGTGTATCCTTTTAAGATGGTGGTGATTTGATTTATGGTAGATTCACCTTAAATACCGTTGAAGATAGTGGTGTAGTCTCTATTTAGCAAATTCACAATTCGAGATAGAGACAAAGGAAAATATGATTGTTGGAGACAATTATTGTAGTATTCGAACTTCAACACTAACTTTTTTTTTGAGCTACTTCTTCAAGTAATTCATTACATTTGTCAAGCACGGTTACCTCGGGACTAGATGATTTTATAATTAGTATTTAGGCTATATCCAACAGAAATTATATGTACATCTCGATGCACAAAATTTGAATGATTTTGGACAGTAACGTTGCTTTGTTACTGCAAACAAAGTCATTTTCAAGTTGTACCTTTAAAAACGCACCACCCAAAAGTGGTGCATTGAGAGTGTAAAACGACAATAACTCAGGATTGGTGCTTTTGTTTTTGAAAAAGATTCCTGCTAATGAATTATTAATATGTAGTTTTTATGTCTTGTTTTTAAGCGACTTCTTACCTATTTCGACAGCGGAAAAAATTTGATATTCGGGCATAGTTTAAAAGTAGTAAGGAGACAATTTTGAGTCTGGATACAACTCGTTGTCTTATGCCAGTAAGCCAAGTCATACAACTCATTAACGCACGACAACAAGGGAAAGTGCGATAATAACCACAGATGAGGACGCCCGAAGAACCCTGCAAGAGAACCCCAACCAGCGAGAGAGAATCACCAAAAAGAGACCAGAGTTGAGGATAAGTGGAACCTTGACAATTTCCCTGGTCTTTAACGTCGCCAGCACTAACACAAGGGTAAAGGGAAAATTGGATACGCTTTTTCTATTGAAAAAATGTATAACATCATTAAAGGACTGTATCAAATTAATATATATAAAAAAATCCTTTACATTATTAAAAGCTCGATTGAGTGACCACCAGAAGTCGGCTAAACCCCTTGAGTCAATGGCACTTCATGCTATACTGAAACAAGAAGGTTCTTTTTTACAAACTGTTAAAAATTTGTTCAAACGCAAGTTGATGTAATTTTGTACGAACTCTTTGTCCTTCGAAATAACTAAATAACATATTCGAAAGAAATACGAATTTTTTTTTTTCTTTTTCTTTTTTTTTGATTTTGGAGTGATACAAAATTAAACTTATTCCAACGTACATCTTATATATTTTACTATAAATGCCTATATTTCTTTCATCTAATAAACCACAGTCTGTTCTTTCGCTAAAATCTACTTATAACCTATGGTTACATGGTGCTCACTGCTTTTGCTAGTCGCGAGTGAACTCAGTTTAAAAAAATACGATGTTGGCCAATCAAATTTGCAACAAGACTACTTCCCCTTATAGCTTTGTCCAACGCCTCACATCCTTTCTTGTGTTATTTTTTAAGGCGGCGTTTAATTTATCCAGAGTGCAACTGCTGAAGCATAAATTGACATGTTTGTTTTTTTTTTCTCAAACAATCAATGCATTTCTGTGGCTTTTCCATGGAAATATTAATCTGTTGCTATGAAACGGTCGGTGGTATAGTTAAATCTAGCTGCGATATCAGCTCTTTGCCTAGATAAGAGTGTGTGGATAATAGTATAACACGAGGCGATAAAAGTTCTATTGGATCACTCCCAGTATGTTTAATTACCAGTAAAAGATGAGAGGTGTCAACCATCTGGCTCTTATTGTTGATTCCGGATATCAATGTGTTACACAAACCGATTGAATCCTTGTTCATGCAAAAAAAAAGAGGGGGCTGATGGTTTAGAAAAAAAAAAGATCACGTCATGAGGGTAGAGGGGTATTTGTTTGACACTCATTGATTGCTGGAGAAGAAGGGAATAAGGGTAAGATGTTTATTCTAAAATGAACAGAAGGTAGTTGGGGAGGAAGAAAGAATAAAGAGGCGACTAGTTACTTTAATTTGTGTTGTAACCTTAATATACTTCTTACATCCGCCGCGAATCTTAAAGCATCTAAAAAGGGTAGGAGATCCAATAGAGATTCATCATTGGGGTTTGATATCCAGGTTGGCAATGCAATTCCATTCTCTGAGAAAAAAAAAAATTAGTAACCCCACACAAAAAAAAAGGGACTCTCAATTTTTGGGAAATCCCAAAAAATGAGTTTTTATCATACCTTTGTACAAATCAAATGCAATAGGACTATTATCAACAAGACACACTTTACAGAGATCCTCTTCAGCCAGAGTAAGATCCTTTAAGAAATTACCATTTTTTAACACACATGACTATGATGAAACAAAATAAACATGAGGACATTTTTAAATTAAAAAAGATATGTGTAATACCTGTCTAAAGAATCTCCGTGAAATCACATTGTCTTGATCAATCCAATCAATCACGGGGTCAGCATATTCTGCCATAGAGGCAGTATAGATTACCACTTTATACCACTGACTGATCTAAAAAGAGTGATTGAGTATGGGGAAAAGATAGCTCGTATTAGAATATCATATCTTACTGTCTTTAAAAAGAAATCGACATGAGGCCTTTTATAAACCTCGTACAGCAAATTTTGCTTATCACATTGAACCTCGATATTCTTCTTTATAATGGAGGGGCTTACTTCTTTCATGGAGTTTTCTGAACCGAGTCGAACTGAATGAACAAGCGTTTCATCAAGGTCCAAGATGAGTGTCTTTCCCTTGTAATATTGCATGTCGTTATTCTTGGGTATATTTTTGGTTGCAGTAACCAGCTTTTTTCTTGGAAGTATCACCAACGCACATAGAAAGTTGTATGTCAGGCTAAGGTAATGGTACATTTGACTAAAGAACAACCTTGTCCTCTTCTTGCGTAAACTATTATTTGTTGTCAACCCCGGTGTAGATAGAGCTGTTGTAAAAGTAGCTGACATTTGGTTAAATAACAAAATAAAAAAGAAAAAGCAACAACAAAAAAGAAAAAGAAAACAAAGCCCAATAATAATAAAAAAAGTGTGACAAAATAATACACAGTCAGTTGATTCCAACCTATAAAAAAAAAAGAAAGTACGATCAACCCGCGCTTTATTTATGCCTTTTTCTCGTCTATTTATATCCAAAAGTCGTAAAATTGACTTTGAGTTAACGATACTCATTCAAGACCTTACCAATGTTCCTCTTGTCAGTGGTTTATATTACGTCAAATGGAAATTAAAAAATGCTACTCATACGACAGGTTCCACTGTTCGGTTCGTTCAACTCATTTTCTGCATTGTGTTTTCTCAATTAACCCTTCTCATCTCTTTTTACAGTGCACCCATCAGAGATCATTGCATATTCTGGGGTCATCCCATCAGTACAATGGCTCAATTAGTTGTCTCAAAACAACATGTATTGGGTCCTTGTGAATTTAGGTTAGAGGTCTATCAAGAGTTGGGCGGCAGTAAAGACTCAATTCCAATAGGCAGTCTAACCATTAATTTATCCGAGTATGCTAGTTCGGGCCTGACAACAAGACGATACTTATTGGACGAATGTAAATTCAATTCTACCATCAAGGTACGCCCTTTGTCTCCTCACCTCTTTATCTTTACTTGACTAAATAATCTATAGTTATCAATCCGAGTAGACCAGAAATCAGATGCTTTGACCCAGTTTGAAATGTATATAAGAAGCCTGCTTTACCCAAAAACTTGTAAAATTAATTACTTTTTTTTTGAATTAGTCCTCCGTTAAAGAAACAGCAGATATTCACAGATATACCTTCCATGATTACAGAAAGACAAGAAAGATCGCAATTATTTGACGAGCGTTCTCTGCGTATGTTTCTTGCTAGATAATAGAAAAAGCTCCCCTTATTAAACAAAATTTGCATTTTAGATTCTGCAAATTTTAACCATAATTCAAATAATAATATACACAACAATGAGACAGGATTTCGACCTCAAACTCCTATACTCAAAAAATCACAATCCGCCATTTCGCTTGTAAGTCATTGTTCTAAACTATCGTAAACAAAAACTAACATACAGTAAATACATAGCCTCATTATTGTCGACAAGTCACTCCTTTCAACGAAAGTGATGATCCGTCCCCCACAGATCTTGTCGAGCAATTATTTAAACCGAAACCAAATAATATAGAATCTTCATCATTGCCATCATCGAATCAATAAAACATATATATTAATCCATGTACATACACGCTCTTCTTTTTTTTTTCCCATCAAAAAAGGAGAGACCCCCAAATAAATACCTCCGTGACACATTAGCCTGCTTAGCTTACAAGGGCTCAGCTAAAGTTTGACTAGGTCACACACATACACAGAAATAAAGGGGATAATGCCCGTCATAGCCTGAATTTTATTCAAGTCAATACATGTATCAGAAAAAAAAAAGTGTATCAACTTAAATGTAAAGGCACCGGACACTTGAAATCAGCTTGATAATCAGCTTGCCTTATATTAAAAATCAACGATAACCCTTCAATTGAATAGCTCAGCACAATGGGCCATGTAGCATCCTTGACCGGAAATATAAACCTGTGTAATTTCTTGAACGAATTGTTTGAAATATTGTAATCTGGAGAGCCAGTTTCCTTCGTAGAATACAAGACTATCAACAAAAAAAAAATGAGTACAGTTGAGCTAATTAAATAAAAAGAGAGAGGCATAATTACCGGCTGCGATTGAGCATTCATAAGGTATGACAAACTTTAAAATATTTTTTACACCTTCTTCATAGCGAACTAGTGGTTTTCCGTGCTCGATAAGCGGATGAAGACAGGTAAGACCTTTTTCACTAACTCCATCCACAGTTTTAGCTTTGATCCTGACAGAATTCTTCTCTGTAATGTCATCGCTAAAATCGTGATTCATTTCACCTACTTTATAGGAAAAATTGGGTTGACCTGGTTTCACATCAAATGCAAGCAAATGTAAAGCATATTGCTCACCCGATGTATATTCCGGTTTATGTCGACTATAGCGGATCGTACCGTTCATTAAGCAATCAACATGGCGACTATAATCAGGACGATTATCATACAATATACGGAAGTGTACGTTTGTATTGACACCAGACACGAAACACTTTTCTAAACTGCTCTGTAAGAAATGAAAGAGATAATCTGCCCAAGTATATGTCTCTCCTCCCGTGTAGAAATCTTGCCACGTTCCACTTTGAAAAGTTGGTGGGGTTAATTCGCATTCATGAAGTCCATGACCTTTTGTCTCGACAATTTCACCTGTAAATATCAAGCATAATTCGTGACGTCCCCATTCAAAAGATTTATAGCGACGACATGTAGATACGATAGACGGCGCCAACACAAGCTTTATATAAGGTTCGATCAATAAGGAGAGAATTAATCTAGATGTGACCACTGCGTCTTTGAAATGATTGATTGCATATTCGAAACCCTTCATGCTGCCCATAAACGTCATTTTAATTTTTTTATGAGTCTCAGCATCGAAAAACATATCTTTGATTGAATGCGTCTGGCCAGCTATCGACAGATCGACATGGTTCTTGATATAAGTATTAATAAAAGCAGACATACAATCGGTTTTTGTCGCTAAAAATGGCAACAAGTTTGCCAAAGTATATGTATTCGATCTGATGAACGTCTTTACCATGTGAGGATCAGGGTAATCAAAATCAAACATAGTTACAATGCTATCGCTTTCCATGTCAAAAAGAGGAAGAATTCTATTTTCGTATTTATACTGGTTAGTTTCCTTGTCAATACATGTAATGACTCTGCATTTTCCAATATTGTCGCGCAAAGAGAAGGCAAACACTTGAAAATTGATGTCGTTGTCGAGATGAGCGATATTGATAGGAGAGAAAAAATAACGGTAGGCCAAAAAGGATTTCGTGATATAACTACCATCCCATAAGAGACGTTCTGTGCTATTCCATGCTTGTACCATGCCTATTTCTGATGCCGCTTGGAATATAGTTTCCGACATGTCTGATAAGTCATCGACTTTAACAGGTAAAGCTTTTTCAAAGGTCACTTTTTTAAAATATTCGTGTACTTCGATTACATCCTTTGGTGTGAAGACGGAATCTTTACCCAAAAGTTTAGATAGAAGACTGCTATTTAATTGTTCCATACTGGTTTCTTGTACATTACGCATGATCTGACGCTTTGAGGCAGGTGCAAAAGTATATCGAAATTGAGCGTCTGCTAGAGCTCTGGAATTATATCCAAATACAGACCTGCATGCCTGTTCCATCGATTCATAAAGTTGTTGAATAAATCCCTTGATGAGGCAATCGTAATAAAGCCTATTCTCACATGTTCTTCCACCTGGTAATACATTTGGGAGTGATGTGGTATCGTGTGTGTCCTCCAAATAGTCATGAAATATATCAACCAAATAGGCATATTTCTCTGTGATAAACCTAATAAAGCGCTTATTAATGACTAACGTCTGGTTGGGATCAATGATATGTATATATACCTTTTACTGTCAAAATCAAAAACTTGACAGGAGAGAATTTCTAATTCCAAACTACACAGATATCAAATAAATTAAAAATGAAAAGATCGAATTATTTACGACACGTACTCTTTTTCAGCTATAGTTTTTCTTAATATCAGGTCAACTCCCTCATTGATATTTCTCACCAAGGTAAAAGTTGCAGACAAATCGAAAAAGTTGAAATCTGTTTCGGTTGGTTTGATTTAGAGACGCATTTTCTGTTTTTTTTTTTTTTTTTCTTACCTATGCCTACTAGATGCTTGTATTCGTTTAATCGGTCATCCAAGGGACGGGCAGAATTTATATAGCGTGACAAAAACTCACTATTATCTATTCCAAAATAAATACCGCCTCTCATCGATGCCCTGTAACCGTCTTCAGGTACTATCAGATGCGACACCATATTTGTACTTGTTATGAATTCGTGATGTAATTTTTTGTATAGGTATGGAGATTGCCCAAACCCTCCCAGTAGGAATAAGGTGTCAATCTGGGTATGCGATTTCTTGATTTGTTTTCCAATTAATAATGTTACAGTTTCGACCACCGGATCAAATACATGTTTCGAAATATCTACATGACTGATACGTAATTGCTGACAGTTTTGGTGATGGATGATGTCTCCTTTAAGCGAAAGATTTTCAAGAATCGATGGGTCAATACCTTCACCGGAACTTGGTAATGTCAAATAGATGTAATCACTGGGTAGCAATATGTTTTCTTGGGCCGAATCGTTTATGGTCATATCTTCATAGCTCTCTTCATCATCAAACATGCAGTCATCATCGTCCATAAATTCATCATCATCCATGGATATGTCTGAATGTTGATCTTGGTAGTCTTCCTCATAGTTGTAATCATTCTCACGGACTTCGAGCATTTTAGTGACTTCGGTCGTAGTCAGTGTTGTGGCAACTGTTTCTGTACTTTGTGTATTTCTTGTGCTAGGTCTAATGTAGTTGTTTCGGTTTTCATCGCCACCAAAGTAATGCTACAGTGGTACAAAAAAAGGAATGAAAATTATTACTACATGATCTATTTTTATTTTATTTTTTATTTTTTTTGCTTTTTTATTTTTTCGTACCTTTATATCTTTGACAAATTGATCAACCAAGGATTTCAATATCTTTTCCTCAATACATCCAATAAACACTTGCTCTCTCAAATACCTTTCCATGTTTTGATCCAAGATAGTGGAACCACAATTTCCACCGCTTTCAAGCGCTAATTGACAGTGTTCGTTTTGCAATAAGTCATTACTTGTCTTATAGTCTAGGCCAGTACATTCATACGTGGCCAGATCAATAGTGCCACCACCGGCGTCACAAAGTAAATAACGCTGCCCTTTAAATAGTTTGCTTGTACAATTGTCTGTGACACAATATTCTCGCTCACAGAAAAGTGCCGCAGCATAGGCCTCGTTGATAATCAGCAATTTCTCCTTTGAATCATACTCTCGAATCAAACCAGCCTCTATTGCCATCTCTTGCATAGCCAAATTGTCTTGATTGATCCACGTAGCGGGTACAGTCAGTACGTATCGGGTACTATCTTTAGAAAAAGAGGGCCCCACAGTGCTCTTAATCTGGGCACATGTGTATTTATCTACCTCTCTCAGGTAATCAATAGCAGCAGTTCGATATACGTGTTCTTCCTCTTGTAAGTTGGCTTTATTTTTTTGAAATTGATTTTGTAGTTTTAATTTGAATTGCTTTACCAAGACAACTGTATCATCGTCTGGGTGGACTATCATGTGATCTAAAGCGGCCTTTCCCCACTTGAGTAGTTTTCGAGATTGTTTACTATAAAGACACGCAGTAGGTGTTTTTTCAAAGGTATCGTCTGCTCGTTGTTCAGGCCTGCACAATTTAGTCAAAAAGAAGAAAAAAAAATTAAGGGGATTAATGGCATATCACCAGTAGAATGATGAAAAAAAAAGATTTACCATTTTACAACGTGTATGATGCTTTTATCGTCATTAATAGAAGTAAAGCAACTTCCAGAAAATGTTGTACCAATATCTAATACAAACAGTCAAGTTAATTTCATCATGGTTGATTATCTTTTTTGATAAAGCTAATTACCGATACTTATGATATAATCATAAAATTTGGGCTGAGCCATTGTAAAGTGTTGAGAAACAAACAAAAGAACCGGATATTTAAATAGGGTTCAAAAGTTTAAATTTGATGAGTGGCGACTGGGGAAAATGTCTTTTTTTTTTTCTACGTACGGCGTTTTTACAATCACGTGTTTTTTTTTAAAAAAAAACAACCTACGTACTTTTTTTATAATACGGCCCTAAAAAAAGACATTCAGATATATGGGTGATTAAATATACAACTAAATTATCCTGATGTATACGAAGGCTTTTTTATCAGTCTACAAATAAAAACCATTCAAACATTTTTTTTCCGGGTCTCTTAGGGACAGCCATTTTTCTTAGGGACAGCCAGGGTGCGCGTAGTCGTAATGTTGGGATTTTGATACTTTTATAGACATCAAGAGGTCAATATAACTCAACAACTTGAAATATATACACATTTATTACAACCAACATAGTTTAAGCCAGTATATGTGTTTTAAGGCTTACTTTCAGCTTCTCGTTTGGACTTTACCTTAATATTTCTGCGTAAGATTAAGATTAAACGAGCTTAAAGGCGAAAGAGTGATGATAGAATTGTCAAAATAAGTATAAATCGTTTAATATACATTTATTTGTAATTTTTACATTGTTTTTGATTATATATCCTTGTTCCCAGGTCTACAGAACATCCAAATCACAGATTTTACGTTGCGACTACGTGCACTTTGGCTGTCCCAAAGGAAAATTTTGCTGTCCCTAAGAAAAGCGTTTTTTTTTTTCCTTCCCTTCTTCCCCTCTTCTCTTCATTTTATTCTTTTTTATTCTTATGCTGTATAACACCATCTTTTTATAGAGAAGTATAAATAGTGGGAAAAGGTTAGTTAATAACAAATTTTGTTCTCTATAAAAACACAAAAATATTACCTTTTTTTTTATAAAAAAAAAAAAAAAAGGATAGACTCCCATTTTTTGTTATAACGGCTAAAGCTAGACTTCTGGATATGATGAAGACCTTCCCATTACCCGTCGTAGGCATTGTAATCCTTTATCATACAATACCAACTAAGGCGGGTCAGAATTTTGAGTAGTTAGCCGTCTTTAGGTATCCGCTGATGATTTACAGTCGGCCTGTTCATGTAAGTAGTGGGGTGGTTAGCAAGAAAATCATGAGTGAATGGGGGGGGGGGAACAGGTCCTTTAGAAGAACAATCAAGAGATCTGCATGACCAGCTCGGTGTTACTACTGGTACGTCTGATCGATTTATAACGGTAGAGTTACGTCAAGAGGATACTCCAGGTATAAGACCAAGGGAATATTGTCAATCTTTTCCAAACGTTTTTATCAATTCCAAACGATGTCATCAATTCCAAACGATTTTATCTTCTTTTTCTTTTTTTGTTGTTGTTGTTTTGATGTCAGGTTATCATGGCGTTTGCAACTTTAAAGGAGGATTTGATTGCACAGCTCCAACCTTATAAATCGCATATTAGTGGTGGCAATAATATTCATGTATTCAATGACGTTTCCATTCGGTCTTCGCTTTACAAACAAGACAATCCAGAGATCATGGGGTCAGACGTCATGGGTCTTGTAGTGATGAAGAACAACGGTAGGATAATATTAAGCGAGCAAGGCACAGTGATCGAATTGTTACCTCAGCAAAGCTCGTATTTGATGCTGTTTATGTTATAAAAGAAGCAAGGATGTTCAAAGAAGATATTCTTTACAATCATGCCTATGTATGCGAAAAAGAAGTCACCAAGCACACATATATTGTATGCGATGCGCAAAACATTACCTAATACAACGACCATTTACGCCCAGGTTTAATATGGAAGCACAGTGTGACCCATATAAAACTAAATGTATCGCTGTGGAAACACTATTGTTAAGATCGAAAGCGATAGTTTAATTTTTTTGTAGATACGGTGTAAAAACAGAAGTTAAAAGAAGGAAATTTATGATGATAAAAGTTTTAAAAAAGAAGAAGGAAAGTGTGATAAAAGGAAACAAAGAAGAAAAGGGAATAATTTTAGCTTTTAGGAAATAGTAGTGTACCAATTTTGTTTTTTCATGCATTAAAGAAAGCGTTTCATTTTAATTGGCTTAGTCCCTTCGGAAAAGACAATTTCGTCATGCTAAGTGCTTTGGTAAGACCTCGTTTTCATCATTGTTGCTCTTTGAATTCTATTTTATAACATGGGCTTGGTCCCTTTTAAAAAGTCCCTTCTACACTTTCTTCTTCACCCAGAGTACAGTCTTGACTGTGTCCACATAGCCTAAAAAACATGTGCGGTAACACAAACAAAAAACTACATTCAATTCCAACATGCTTACCGACCTACAGCCTTTTTGTCATTTGTCAAAGTCAGATCTCACATGGAATAACTCGGTTCCTTTTTTTAACTATACTCTTGAGTTCACCTAATCCTTTATCAAGTTCATTTCTAGCCTATCCCTCCGTGCATCCTCTCCCCCATTCTTTTCTCCCCGAAAGCACACTTGACTCAATCAGAAATAGGAATACAAATGGAATATATTGGTGTCATTGCAATGAACTCATCTTGCAAGGCATTAGTTTAGTTTCATTACAAAAGAAAGCTTAATATCATTATATATTTTATAGTCCCCCTTTTTTTTATATTCTGCACCAAAGATGTGTTTTCGACATTGCTTTTTGGCCAAAGAAAAAAATAGGTACGGTGTGCAACCACGGTAGTGAGATTGTTTTCATTGAATTTATTTGTATTTATAAGGCACGTTAGTTTAATAATAACTTAAATCTAGATCAATGCAAACAAAAAGAAAAACATAAAGTACAGGTATCAAAGCGGTATACGCTAGAGTTGGAGATATTCCCCCCAAAAAAAAAAACAATTGTACGTCCTGCCCTAGACTGGGAGGTATTTTAGTAGCTAACAAGTTATGTGTATTGAGTATAAGAGACAGTGATCATAAGAGTATAACAGATATAAAAGTGGATCCACAACTAAAATCAACCTGATTTTTGACATCATCCGGAGTCTATAATAAATATGGCAAAAACTTTTTTAATGACATATACGTCGTACGGAGGCACTTTGGTGCTGTTGTCCTTTTTATTAAATGTATTTGATAGTTAAAATCAGCTTTACGTAATAACATTTTTACCTATGTCTTATCTTTTAATTTTCACCGGTTTTTATATCCACCTTCTAGATGGAGGTTGTAGTACGTACACAAAGAGGCAAACAGAAGATCTGTCACGGGATAACGCTTAGATTTACTTGAATCCCCATTGTCTGCACTTTGTTGAAATAATTTGCAAGTGTAGATACACATGTAGCCGCCATCAGAACAGCCTGCAGGCTTTAATACTGAGTATCTATAGTCTATTGTATATTTTTCTTCTTATACTTGCAATATTTATTATTTCGACATAGTTACTTACACTTATTTTATTCTGTAAAACTCGGACATAATCACTGTCGCGGCTGCTTGAGTATTTGCCGATAGCCTTCCAAACGTACGTACCTTTTTTAATTGTGTGGTTATAGTTGCAATGTCAAACACTATCCAAGTAAAGTATAAAGGGTAATCACAAAAACATAGCGTATTTCTTTGTCCAAACTAGTAATTGAAGTGGATCACTACCTGCAAATTTAATCAATCATTTCTTGATATTTCTTTACGGATTTCGATTTGTCGGTTTTTATTTTTTGGTTATTACCACTTGTTTAACGACTATGAGTACAAATCGGTCTTGGTGATATTGATTTAAAACAAAAAGATATTGATACATCTGCATTTAAAAACATGTTGACAGTGCACCTGGTATTAATAAACAGGACCCGACAATGCCATTGATTTTAAAATTCATCTAGCATGTAAATACTGGTGAAATGATGTTTTATGGGGCATAATAAAAAGGCATTATAAAATAGGAAAAATGAATTATTTTTTATAATACCACTGGGAGATTTACTTCACTACTTTATTGTATTAGCAAACCCTTCATCCATTGCATCCAGCTTTTTTATGGCCACGCCTAAAAAGTGGTTATTTTTGAGTTGGCTAAATTAAGTTTTACATGATTGTCCAGTTGCTCCACATCTTTACCAACATAAGCAACTGTTCTTCCGGTAGTTATGCTACGTCATCAGAAACTGTTCCTGAATTATATATTTCTAACGTCACCTTTTTATCATATAAATTGAATTTACCTTCTCCCTGTTGGAAGTATGATATCTTCTAATATGTCTTCTATTAGACTCATCGTTTTTAACAGCCTAACAGGGATATTGTTAGTCTTGTAATTAAAACCGTATTTCTAGTTAAAAGTTCACCTTGTAAATAAACATCTTTTCGAAGAGAGATCCCGCGTTAAAGGTGGTCCTTAACTTGACTACTCTGTTATTAAAACGCAAAAAAAAAAATATGTCCTGTCGCTTCGTCAAAGGTTCTTCGGAACAATCTTTGTCGTGAAAATATGCTATCTAATTCTTCGTTGATGCTGGATCGCTGTTCAAAGACTTCCTCTGTAGAATTGAGGGGCTATTTAAGCCTGTTCGTAAATAGTTTTTATCAAAAATGACTTGAATCGTTTGATTCATTAGGAACAAAAAGCTAAAACCAGGAAGTAAGAAAAGCTGTAATGCTGAAATGAGAAACTGTGGTGTACGAATTAAGCCGGCTCGGAATTGATTATTTGGCAAAAGACAGGAAAAATGTTCTCACTATAATTTACCTTCTTCCTTTTTATCCCAAAGAACCAAATTATGGAATTGCTTCTGCCATCACTGACTCATTCTTTGTTTTGTAAAAGTCGTGTCTTAAACTGTAATAATAGTATTCTCTTTCTTTACCCAAGACAAAATCAATGCTTACGATTTTCTTTTTCATTTTAGAAAATTCACGACCAACATGAATCACCGTCATCTAACAAGACATTACAACTTTTTTATGGTCTAACTACGAACTATGAATGATAGTATCTAAATACAACAAGTTGGCGTTGAGGATGACTGTTATTGCGGGATCAAGCTTATGTCGTTTTACCAAAAAGCTATTCTCATTCTTTCACACCAGTATGACATTCCCTCAGTCTATGATTAGGTGGATTAAAACACAAATACCTGTCTACACACGAGCGATAAGATACCCATTAGTTTTCCCACGAAGGCTTATATTGGGCGAACAAAAGTTAAACAAATCTGCAGATGATGATATTACGATTACCAGCAAAAAAGGGAGATTGAAGGATGGGCGTTTGAAAGAGTTGGACGCAAGAAATTTACAAATCTGAATATGTAGACATAATCGTGATCAAAATAATGTAGCGGAGACAACTGGAATCGAGGATATGGAATCGAACGTCTTACTAAAAGTGCTTTTAGAGTTTGTTAAAGATCAATGCGATGAAGATCAAGTCGAGAGAGGACAGGATATGCACCTATCAGAATAATTTGGAGTTATCATCTGACGACGAGGGGATCCACTGTTATTACTTAATAAATCTTTCACTCGGAATGACCGTATTACACGCCCAACTATTCTGAGCCAGGTATAATCATATGTGCAAGCAGTGTGTTATCGATAGTAGCAATATAGGATTACAACAGATAGCGAGATTTGGTATACACGTACGTCAGGGGGTTAGAGCAGTGTTGAAATTTGGATATACGGAAAGGATACTAGGGTAGCAGTTTTAGTTCAACTTGGTGGATCCTCGAGCCTAGGGGTACATTTATCATAATCTTTATAAATTGAATCGAGATTCTAGTACTTCTGTGGGGGAACTAGTAGAATAAAACGAAAACAGCAATGCTGGCAATCATCCTTATCACGGCCTATGAATGACAAAAAAAAAAAAAAAAAAAGAATGAAATGACGAGGATTCGGATGATAAAATGAAAACTATGAAATATCAACGATTTGTAATCCCTGCGTTTGCAAGATGTATTCTCGTTTGTTGTAAACAGTTTGACAATTATGGTATACATATTTCTAAAAAAAAAGTGATGGTGAGTTTAAAGCAGATATAAATAACTGGGGCACAATAGGTTTCTATAAGATGTTTCTTTTTTTCTTTTCTTGGAGTCTTTCATTATTTCACAAACAGTTTACAATTAAAATTAAGTTATTTTTCCGAATCATCATTTTAAATGTTTAGTTTCCCCAATCCATGTGACATTATCTTTAAATCAGATTATAAACATATACGACCTCTTATTTTTAAGCCTGTTTTGTAAAGCCTGTTTTTTCTGTTGAACCATCTACTTAAAAATCACAGCATCTAATAATTTATTGGATAATTTTAAGGGATCAAGTACATTGTCCTAATGCATTTTATGTTATTTTGGTCATGCCCCCACCGAGTCACCTAAATAGTGCATTAGAAACAGAAATATGGGATTTTTAAATACCTTTTTTATTTACCTTTACAGCTGCAGCGATATCGACTACCATTTTTTTGGGACCTTCACACAGGACATTATAATAATTGCAGCTACCCAGTTCCCTTTCCTTTTTTTTTTATCTGCGTCTTATGCACTTGATATATATATATATATATATATATATATATAGATACTCCTATGAAATTACAGAGCTCTGATGGAATTGATAATATCAAAGAAAAAACCAATGGCTACTTCATCCAATATAAGCCTCTTGAGAAGCACATTTATTCTGATCCCAGTAAGGGACAAGGTGGTTTTGTGTGATAAAAATCGAGAAGCTTTGATGCCGACTGATGGCATGTTGTTAATTTTAAGTCACACTTGTCATTTAAAATAAAATATTAAAACCGCCGTTTGCATGTCCCACTTTCTTCATTAAAGTCTACTCGAAGTAATGTTACTGTCGAAATGCTTTGCGATTAGCAAAACACCAAGTTGACACAACGATACAAAGCTTGAAATTCAGTCATAATGTCACCATCTCGACCTTGTTCAACCGTTTATAGTCCTTTCTCCAGTCTTTATCGAGTCAATGCAATATCTTGACTAGGTTTAAAAACGAATTTGAGAATGTTCTTTATAAACACAAAACTGATCCTCTTGATTTCTAGTCGTAAACCTCCAGCTGTTGTAAATAATTGACCGCAAGAAGGCCTTACTCACCGTAAAAGACTATTGTATAATAAGTTTCGATTTTTTTGCGTTATAGATCGCCTATATTCACCAAATAAAAAAGCGAGGGGGGAGCGGAACTATCGACGAAATAATATGGCTTACAGTTTCTATTTGCAGGCATTTAAGTCCCCTTTGCTGGTGACATTCTGGTCTTACCTACATTGTGGAATTAAACTCGTCTTGTATGCTGTCATTTCTGGACCAGTTTCGTAAAGGTCTTATATAAATGTAGCAACTGGAACTTATGAGTGTTTGTGATTCTGACAAAATCAAGTATAGAAGAATAGTGGTATATTTCGGTAACATCCCATTTTATCAATGAGCATGTGATTCATGCACATTTTTTTTATCTTTTATCGTAAAGATTGGGGTAATTTCTCATACGATATCTGTATAATTTTTTTTTTTTTTTGTAAATCTTACTTTCCTTACTTCGGTCAACAATAAATTTATGTCTTTTGTGTTTTTGTCATAATTTTTCTCTTTTAAAACCAACAAACGTAACAGTCAATGGGTTCCGGTTGTAAACGAAATCAAGCAACAGTAGCGAGTAATACTTTTAAAGATGTTCTACAACGGCTACCCCTTTTACCAGTGATACCCACTATTTTTATCTCCATATCCCGCTTTCTTTTTTTATTTAGTTACTGCGAAAGAGATAAACATATTTTTTTTTGCAATACAAATCATGTAAGCATGCCTCTTTTTTCTTCTGTTATTATCAATGCAAACCATCGCCTTATTTAATCCTCAAAGTAAACATATAACTACTTTTTCGGATCTTGACACAGTAGACAACAAATATTTTCTTGCGTTAAAATAATGAGTAATAACTTGTTTTCGATACTTCATCTCACTCTACTGCAGCACAATATACTGTAAACTTTCTTAAGTCGTTCGCTAATGGTCAGCCTCTTAAACCGTTATAACATTATTCTAATTGCGGTTCTTTTTCTTTAAATAAGCTTTGTTAATTAGAAAAGTTGACAGACACAGTTACTTTTTTTAAATTCCAAAACAAGGCATTTGTAACAATATGCGTTCAATAGTAGAGCTTCGTTTACAAAAACAAGAATTATAA